ACCTTATCTTACAATTAGACAACTTCTACATGACATGCATTCCATATTCCACACCACGTTGCGCACTGTATGGTGAAACTTCCACACAAATTTAGTTGCTTGAAACTTACATAAAACTAAATTTCACCTGAATTGTAAAAAAAAGCATCCTGCAATGTGAAACTCAGCCACAACAGTTGCAAGCATCTCAACTTCGTAAAATAAGATTCATAAGACAGCCAAATGCAGATCATACATCTCATGTCCATGTCGAAAAATATTGTTTCAAACATTTATTTCACTGGTGCAATAGACAAGAAAGTAAAACAGAAAGTGGTTGAAAAGGAGCTCTCCAGCTGTTTGTGTCGCCATTTGTTTTTCTTTTTTAATGAAATTATATAGTGAAAACGATATGATGTACCAACAAATAAGAGCTGCTCATTTGGTTAACTAGTGGAGCAACTGAATGGAAATTAAGTTGCATGTACCCAAAACCATGCAAATAGTTGCATGAAAGTTTCTCTGTGCTAAGCCAGCCTAAGATGTTCCGATGCAAAAACAGCCCAGAAGCTTAGCTTTCACTATACGAACACAGCAGTGAGGTGGCAGCTGGTCAGGGAGATTGGTCAGGATCCTTCTGAGACGATGTTCGAACTCTGGGGGCTTGACACCGGAACATTCCCTGGTTTATTTATTATCACAGTAGAGGCAGCCGGGTCAGCATGGGCTGAAGCTGAAGGCCGTCCTGAGGGTCTGCTGTCACTGCAGGCCATGAACACACACACTCGCTCACATCCAAATATATCCCCCTGCAGACAGACTCTGCCAAGGCGAGTCAGTAGGAGGTAAAATTTCCGTCGCAGTCTACGCCAGAATGAATTCGAGACGCTTTGATTTATCTGATTTATTTGCTTGGTTGTCTAGGAAACACCTTAATTGTTTCAATGATCTGCCAATTTGAAAGCTCCCAAACCTCCGTCTGACTTCAGTTCATCAGCAGCAGGCTTAAACATAAGTTTAAGCTCTATGGTAGTAGTCCAAATTTATACAATTATAACAACTTCAACTTCAGCCCTGTTCACACTTGGTATTAACATCGGTCTTTAGCAGCGTTTCTTAAACTACAGTGTTTTTTTTCTGTGTCATGTGATGTGAACAGTTTGGTGATTTAAAGCCCATTATCCCTCCTCCACCAAACTTTGGCACTATGTATTCTGGTAGGTAACGTTCTCCTGGCATCAAACCCAGATTTATCCATCAGACTGCCAGATAGTGAAGCGTGATTCATCACTCCTGAGAACACGTTTCCACTGCTCCAGAGTCCAGTGGTGGTGTGCTTTACACCACTCCAGCCGACGCTTGGCATAGTGATCTGCTGCTGCTGTGCCATGGAAACCCATTTCCAGAAGCCCCTGATGTAAAGTTCTGTGCTGATGTTGCTCCCAGAGGCAGTTTATAACGGTGATCGAACAGAGGACAGGCGATAGGCCCTGCTCTATGAGGTCTACCACTTTGTGACTGAGCTGTTGTTGCACCTAGATGTTTCCATTTCACAATAATAGCACTTACAGTTGACCGGGGCAGGTCTAGCAGGACAGAAATTTCACAAACTGACTTGTGGCAGAGGTGGCATCCTATGACAGTGCCATCTTTAAAGTCCCTGAGCTCTTCAGTACAACTCATTTTACCATCCTGCCAATGTTTGTCTATGGAGTTTGCAAGGTTATGTGCTTGATTTTATACACCTGTTAGCAATAGGTGTGGCTGGAACACTTGAACTCAGTCCTTAGGACGGTTGTCTACATACTTTTAGTGGACAGTATTTTTAAGTTCCTCCCACCTTCAAGATACATCATCAGGAGAAGGTTTTCTAGTCTTTAAAGCAGGAAATCTCACTCTAGAGCACATGTGTCAGGCTCCAGTCCTCGCAGGCCAAAACACTGCAGACTTTAGCACACTGCCTCATTAAACACACCTGATTCAGTTCATCAGCTAATTAGCACAGCCTTCTTGAACTGAATTCAGGATGTTAGAAGAGAGTAAACGCTAATCTTTAGCACTGAAAGCCTGGAAGGTCCCCAGTTTGACATGCATGCTCTAGAGACTGTTTTGGCCCCACTGTAGGAGGTGAGTAGGCATGTTTGCAACAGATGTAGTGATGGTTACGTATGTCATTGTGAAAGAATATCTCTTTAGGACATAAAATATTTAACATCAAATCAAATGTAGAGCTTAGATTTGAAAATCAAACCTGAAAATATATGATTTTTTCCCCTTTTTGGCCACAGTAGTCAATGCAGACCAATGAAAAGGGTATTCCGCGGTATAGATGCTGTCATAAAGCATATCATATCCCCACAGAGGTAGTGTGAATTAACATCCAGCCCTAATCAAAGCCTTGCCCTTTCGTTAATTAAACCCACTCGACGGTACTTCATACATAGAGGCCTTTCAGCCCTGCCTGCTGAGACTCTGGCATGTGACTGTGGAGCAAAGAGACAGGAGAGGAAGCTGTGTGTGGAAGAAGGCGGAGATCCGCTATTTAAAGACAAAGAAACCTACAATTTACCGTCTGAGTGCCGAACACCCGTCAGCCCCAACAGAAGCATTTCAGCACCAATATTTAGTACTTTTATATGCTAACAGCACAATCTACTGCGGCCCAGAGGAGAACAGGTTACTTCTTTTGAGTCTTGGTCCCTCTCAGTGGTTCTTCCTCATGCTCTTAGAGAGTTTCTCCTTAAAGTCTTGGTTCCTCTTAATATTTCTTACTTATCCTCTTACTAAGCTTTTCCTTTTGACTCTTAGTTCCTCTCAGTGGTTCTTAATCATGTTCTTAGGGAATTTCTTGGTTCTTCTCAGTGGTTTTTCCTCATGTTCTTAGGGAGATTCTCCTTTTGAGCCTTGGTTCCTCTCAGTGGTTCTTCCTCATGTTCTTAGGGAGTTTCTTGGTTCTTCTCAGTGGTTTTTCCTCATGTTCTTAGGGAGATTCTCCTTTTGAGCCTTGGTTCCTCTCAGTGGTTCTTCCTCATGTTCTTAGGGAGTTTCTTGGTTCTTCTCAGTGGTTTTTCCTCATGTTCTTAGGGAGATTCTCCTTTTGAGCCTTGGTTCCTCTCAGTGGTTCTTCCTCATGTTCTTAGGGAGTTTCTTGGTTCTTCTCAGTGTTTCTTCCTCACATTCTTAGAGAGTTTTTCTTGTTGAGTTTTGGTTCCTCTAAATGTTTCTTACTCATCCCCCTTATTCGGCTTTTCCTTTTGAGTCTTGGTTCCTCTCACTGGTTCTTCTTCATGCTTTCAGAGAGTTTTTCATTATGATTGCTTGTTTCTCTCCTGTTTTTCCACTTATTTTGCATTGACGTTCCATTACATATATATACATTACATATATGATATATATAATCTCCTCAGAAATAACAAACGAATCCAGAGCTCATATTTTTCAAGCCAGCCTTACAATTTACATGCAATTCACAGTTTACAAACAAGTTTTGGTACAGAATATTTTTTTGGAGGTTCCATTTTTCCAGCACATTTTAACCACGCAAAAACTTCTGATTCCTGATCGGATGTTAATTAGTATCAGTTTTATACTTTGGCAACATGGCTCAGAGACTTATTAACCAAGCTGCAGGAACTCCGACAAAGTCAGCTTAATGTAATAATGAGGTCGGTAGCTCTGGGTTCATAGAGTGGAGACGAAAACAATGCACATGTGTGTGAGCTGTAAACAAAAATACACACCCTCAGCATTTTCTCGTAGAGTGGATAAAGTCAGGTTTCTGGATGCTTATTGTTGATGATAAGGCCTTAACATGCATTAACATGCTGTAGCTGCACCACTGGTTTGAGGAATGAGTAGCAAAATATGTTTGACAAGAAACTGAACAGATTACTGAGCCAAACAAATAAACAAACAAATTTTTAATCCATTCAATCCCATTTTGAATTGCTTGTTTTTATGATGTCATCCAAACATTTACATACATCCACCTATTCAGCCTACAGCACTTTAGCTCCAAGTTATAAGGAATGTTGTAACCTGGACTGATTTTTTATAAGGCACAAAATAGCACAACCAATCAGAACAGAGCTTATTTCCATATGTCGGTCTTAAAAGGATGGTTTGGCAAAAAAATCCAATTTACACAATGTTCCACTTATCCCAGATCTAGTCGATCAGCCAAGACATGTTTGGTCTCAAAATTCTGCTACGAGGCTAATGTTGCTAACAGACACTAGAAGTCAATAGTCACCCAAATCTTTTTTTGGCAAATACATCCCCAAAACTTTTCACAAGCCACTCAGACTACCTTCAGATCTTCATTAAGGTTGCATAGGCTTGTTGATGCGGTTTAGGACACAGCGTGATTTACTGTGAGCTACAAAAATGGACAGAATGGGCAGAATTCCAAAGCCCACGCAAGTCACGCTGGTATATAGTCACTAGATCACACTCAAAATTGCTTTAGTTTCTTTTTTTAGTTTCTTTTACTTTATTAAGATTAACAATTATTTGTAAATCGAAACAACAGGAATCACTAACGTAACCTGCGGAATTCATGTGTCTGCGTGGCGTATGATTCAGCAAAACACCTGTTGTCTAAAATGTTCATTTTTTTAGTTTACAACAATTTATATAGTTAAGAGAAAGTCATTCAGTGTCCTTAACAAGTCTGCATGACCTTAATAAAGGCCAAGAGGTGGTTTGACGGGGATGAGAAAAGTTTTGGGTTTGTATTTACGGAAACGTTTTCGGTGACTATTGACTTCTAGTGTTTGTGCCTTGCAGCTCCAAAAGAATCAAAATGTGAACACCAAACATCTGTTGCGTCGTCTGTGGTGGGGAAAAAATTACATAAAAACAAACAAACATTGTAAAAGGACCTCAGGGAAAGCATGAAATATTAGAACATTTTCAGATATGAGAAGTTTAAATATCACCAGCGTTTTGTAGTGATGCTGCTTTATTAACTAATCTGTCACTGGTCTGTTTACTGTCCCCTCCCTCTCTCCTCTCCTCAGTGTAAACCCGTCCCAGGACACGGCTTCGTTCTGGACAAGTATAAGTGCCAGTGCAAGAGAGGCTTCTACTCACCCAGCCGAGTGGCACTCAACGGCGTTTCAAGTGAGTGTTTCACCTCCTCACCCCACCCCCTCACCTAAAGAGTGGGCTGTTTTTAGATACTCTGTGTATTTTCAGAGGGCTTGTTTCCTTATACAGGGCTATTCCCCAGTGAAACAGAGCAGCAGGTGAGTTAGAAATAGAACGAAAGGTGAATCCTTTAGTGTCGTTCTGGGAAAACCAACTCCAAACCCTTAAAACTCTACAGGTGTAATTGTCATTGTGCTGTTTTTTTTTTTTACAGTACAAATTATTTACATGTAATTGTATAGTTGCATAATTAGTCACATACTGTGATGAACCATGACTATTAGAGCTAGGCCTTCAGTTCGGGCAATAAAGTAGTCAAAAACTTGGAAAAAACTCACTTCTACAATAATTTCTATTAGCACATCTATGGGATTCTAGTGGTATGTTAGCGCTACACTACATATGTGAGCGGCATTTTACGTTAACTTATTTTGACAATTCTACATTAAACAGAGTGATTAAGTCACCCTTATTTATCCCACAACGGGGAAACTTCACCTCCGCATTTAACCCATCCGTACAGTGAAACACCACATACACAAGGCCTTCTGTTCAGCTCCTGAAATCCTAACCAATGGGATAGCTCGGTTGGCTGTATCTACCTACAAAGAACGAAAAATGACAGTGTTTTCTTTAATTTCACAGAAATGATTAGGCCTTCTCTGCAGGCCTAGATGGCCCTGAGAGTTTCCCTCAGTTTACACAGTTACATAATGAACTGCACTTTGATTTACAGTCTGTAATGACATGTTCAAGTCTGAACTTGTGAAGTTTTTCTGTTTGTTTTGATACTTTCTCCAACAACTCTCCTCAGATCAGACCTCCAGGGAGATCAGTGATGAGTAAATTAGGTACAGTTCTTTTCTGAGGGTGTTGAGTAGAAATACCAAAGTTTCAGCTCAAAAACCCTTCCAGTACCACCTCTAGAACTGTAGTAGAACCTCATAAAACTTGCAGCATTTATCAGCATATGGGCTGGAGCTCAATTCGTCTGTTTTTTTATCAACACTTTTCACAAACATAACATAACATGACAGAAACGCTAAGAGCTAAATGCTAGTCACTAAGTAAAAAGTCCTTCCAAGCTTAAAAAAGATGGTTCTTAAGGGTTCTTTAGTATGACAGCAATTCTGGATAGAACGATGAACACTCAAAGAACTTTATACCTACTGAAATGGTTCTTGCCATGGTGAAACGGTTCTTCAGATTGATGGAGAATGTGTCGTAGATGGTTCTGCATAGAACCTTTTTGAAAATGGTTCTATGTAGCACCAAAAAGTGTTCTTCTATTGTTATCAAGCTTCTCACAATAAAAGAACCCTTTTCGATGCTATATAGAACCATATACAGCACATTCTCCATCAGTGTGAAGAACCATTTCACCATGCAAAGAACCATTAAAGCATGAGTGTTCATGGTTCTATGTAGAAACATTGTTTTTACTAAAGAACCCTTGATGAGCCGTCTTTTTTAGGAGCATACAAATCCATTAACATTGTACTGGAGTAGGTGTAACTCTGGCTATGAGTGAGAAATAATTCATATGAAATTACTGCATGCTTTAGTTAGCGCTGACGCTAGCTGGGTTAGAGATGAAACCCCTGAAATGAAACAAGGCTTAAATCCGGATTTGGAGCAGGGAGAACCGTCTAATGACTGCTTGCTTGTGGCTGCTCAGGTACTTTGCATCCAGATCATTAAATCTGAGAGCATCGCTGTCTATCAGAACGCAGCCCTAATTAGCCGTGGGCGATGCTAACTCAAACAGATAGCGCCTTCCAGTTGTGTCTCGGTTCATCAGCCGGCAATTACACCGCTGATAGCTCGAGGAGCGCCGTTTGATCTTCTCCGTCGGAGCTGCGTATCATACACAACTGTTTGTTTTCCATGCATTATGTAATTTGTTCTATTTTCCAGCCCTTAGGGGGGGAAGAATAAGAGGAACATATCAGGATACGTTTCAAACGTATTACCTTATTTACATTTCTATTACCGTCCCCTTTACCGCCCTCAGAAGCTGCTTAAAATATAAATGTGCACAGCGCAAAAGTCAGCGGGGCTCATGTGTTTGGGATTACTTGGATGGTGAGAAGTAGAAAATGCAACTTCTAAGACTGAACTTTGGAAGTTTGGAAAGATATCCCTGCAGATTTCCTTGGAAAAATGTCTAAATGGAGGACTGAAAGCTGAAATTTTCAAATACCTTTTGTTTGTTGCCCAGTCCATATCGTCCATACGCTAAAGCTAAGCAGCTAATTTTGAATTCATTGCTTCTGTGATGTCCCAAAAACAACTTCATATACCCGTCTATACACTGAAGTTATAAGAAGTGTTTCAGCCTGAACTGCACAAAAAATACATAAAATAAACAGTAAACTCACTTTAATGTCCCATGCTAGGCTTTTATGCTGGTACAGGTTGTGCAAACAAAGCTAGCATGCTATTTGATAGCTAGCTAGTGTTAGCTAGCTAGGCTAATGTTAATTAACTTTGCCACTAGCTAAATATAAACTTGTATTTACCTTGTAATATGGAGAGTAATGCAGCATTTTTAACATAAAAATAATGGAAACCTACTGTAAAACAAAATTAGATTGCAGGAAAAATGAGGCATCAGAAAAGTATGTTTGATTTTAAGGCTCTACTGTTACAGTAAAGCTGATGATCCTGTATTCTTCTATTATTCTTACAATAATAATACAGTAGCCATACAATAACTGTTTAATACAGTATAATTTGCCTTTGATTTTTGATTTACTTTGATTTAAATTGATGGAGAATGTTTTGTAGAATGTTTTGAATAGGGGTCTATATAGCACCAAAAATGTTTTTTCTATTATTACAAGCTTGACATTATAACAATGGAAGAACCCTTTTTGGTGCTATATATAACCATAAATGACACGTTCTCCATCAATCTGAAGAACATTTTCACCATGCAAAGAACCATTTAAGCATGAAATAGCTCTAAACAGAACTCATGGTTCTACAACCCCAATTCCAAAAAAGTTGAGACGCTGTGTAAAATGTAAATAACTAAATAAAAACAGAATGCAATGATTTGCAAATCTGATAGACCCATATTTTATTCACAATAGAACACGTCAGATTTTGAAAGTGAGACATTTTACCATTTCATGAAAAACATTAACTCATTTAGAACTTGATGGCATCTCCAAAAAGTTGAGACAGGGGCAACAAAAAGCTGGAAAAGTAAGTGGTACTAATAAAAAACAGCTGGAGGAGCAATTTGCAACTAACTCACATGACTGAGTATAAAAAGAGCATTTTAGAGAGGCGGAGTCTCTCAGAAGCAAAGATGGGCAGAGGTTCACCAATCTGAGAAAAACTGCGTCTAAAAGTTGTGGAACAATTTCAGAAAAATGTTCCTCAGCGTAAAATTGTGAAGACTTTGGAAATCCCACCATCTACAGTACATCATATCATCAAAAGATTCAGAGAATCTGGAGAAATCTCTGTACGCAAGAGACAAGGTCGATGATCAACATTGGATGTTCGTGATCTTTGGGCCCTCAGACGGCACTGCAATAAAAGCAGGCATGATTTTGTACTGGAAATCACTGCATGGGCTCAGGAACGTGGCGTGGGCAGCTTACACATCTGGAAAGGCTCTATCAATGCTGAACAGTATATAGAGGTTTTAGAACAACATATGCTCCCACCAAGACAGCGTCTCTTTCAGGGAAGGCCTTGCATATTTCAGCAAGACAATGATAACCACATACTGCATCCATCACAGCAGCATGACTTCGCAGAAGAAGAGTCCGGATGTTGAACTGACCAGCCTGCAGTCCAGACCTTTCACCAATAGAAAACATTTGGTGCATCATGAAACGAAACTCCAGCAAATGGTCTTCGCACTTCCCAGACGGTTGTTGTTAAAAGAAGAGGGGAAGCTACACAATGGCTCCATATACTCTCCAACTTTCTGAGATGCGTTGCTGCCATCAAGTTCTAAATGAGTTAATGTTTTTCATTAAATGGTAAAATGTCTCATGTTGATCTGTGTTCTGTGTTCTATTGTGAATAAAATATGGGTCTATGAGATTTGCAAATCATTGCATTCTGTTTTTATTTACATTTATTTACATTTTCAAGCAGCGTCCCAACTTTTTTGGAATTTGGGTTGTAAATAGAACCATTTAGTTTACTAAAGAACCCTTGAAGAGCCAACTTTTTAAGAGTGTAGGCAGGAGACATTTAATTTCATCCATATTTTTCTATATATTTTCTCTCTCTCTCTCTCTCTCTCTCTCTCTCTCTCTCTCTAATGTAAACGTTATAGTCTATAGATGTGTTCCTAATAGCTCCGGAGTTGGAGGAATGGGTGAATGTGCTCTTGAATGAAACAATGGGTGATGAGAGGGATGTGCAAACGTGCTGGGGTGAAATACAGAAATTATTTATAGCATAAGATGGACCACAGTTGGGTGGAAGCTCACCATTGCGAGGGTCAAGCAGGCTAAAATACGACACTGTGAAAATGACCTTTACCTAAATTCATATATGAGCATCTATTTTTCCCCAATGGAAGTTTACTTTCCCTCCAGAATTCTGATTTTAAGGCTTTCACAAGGTCCAAATAAATTGATTAGGTCCTGGTTCCCCCCGTATTTGGTATATTTTATGGTATCAGGATGTCATTCAGAAGATTAACTGGAATAGTACAGGAACTTCACCTCCCGTCACCTTCCTATACACAACAAGACACCCAAAAAAAACCCAAAACGTGAATCCATATTCATGGTGAATCCCGGTTGCTATGGGCGACATCCCACTTTACATAGTCCTCTCATCCTTCCACGCACACGCGCGCATTAAGGGATCTAAAAATAGCTCATGAGTCACCAGTGAAACGAGACTGCGCCGTTTCTTAATGAAACCACACCAGTGCGGGAAAACGCTGCTTCATTTACATAAAGGGGAGCGAGGGCTGTTCACACAAATGAGGGGCTCTACAGCAGCGGGACGCTTTATTAGAGTGTAGAATTCAGGCCACTCACATGTACATGTTTCCCTTACGCCCCAGAGACGCAGCTAGAACTGATGCATGCTGGGTTTGCTGTAAATTTGTTATGTATTTATGTGCTGTGTTCAGACACAGTTGGGGGCAAATTGGCCATTACAGCTGTTTAGCTGCTCCCGCCAGTTGTGAAGTCGCATGTTGTGTGTTGGGCTCTACAGATGTGAGTTTGTTGACTGCGCTCAGAACTTATGCATTCGGTACCAGCACAACACACACTAACACACCACCACCACATCAGTGTTACTGCAGTGCCGAGAATGATCCACCACCCAAATAGTACCTGCTCTGTGAGGGTCCATGAGGGTCCTGACCACTGAAGAACAGGGTAAAAGGGGGCTAACAAAGTATGCAGAGAAACAGATGGACTACAGTCTGTAACTGTAGAACTACAAAGTGCACCTATATAGTAAGTGGAGCTGATAAAATGGACAATGAGCGCAGAAACAAGGAGGAGGTCAGAATGTTATGCCTGATTGGTGTATATTAATATATTATATTTTTACAATACATGTTTGTGAGTTTTACCCATGTAGTTTTCAAGTACTTCACTCTTAAAAAATGGTTCTTCTAGGGTTCTTTAGTAAATGGTTGTATTTAGAACCATGAGTTTTGTTTAGAACCATTTGCTTTGCATGGTAAAAGTTCCAACCTAAAAGGGTTCTTCTGTTGTTACAAGCTTGACATTATAACAATAGAAGAATTCCTTTTGGTACTATATAGTACCAGGTTCTGTATAGAACCATATACCACACATTCTCCATCAATCTGAAGTACACTTTCGTGATGCAAAGAAACCTTTACTCATACAAAGTGTTCTTTGAGTGTTCATAGTTCTGTATAGAACCATTTTCTTTACTAAAGTACCCTTGCAGAACCATCTTTCTTAAGAGTGTATTAAAAAAGATGGTTCTTCAAAGGTTCTTTAATAAATGGCTCTGTTAAAAACCAGTTCGTGCTTAAATGGTTCTTTCCACTGTGAAATCGTTCTTCAGATTGATGGAGAATGTGTTCTATATGGTTCTGTATAGAACCATTTTGAAAATGCTTCTATATAGCACCAAAAAGTGTTCTTCTATTGTTATAATGTCATGCTTGTAACAATAGCAGAACCCATTTTGGTGCATTTTCAAAAAGGTTCTATATAGAACCATATACAACACATTCTCCATCAATCTGAAGAACAATTTCAAGATGCAACGAATGTTTTACTCATATAAAGAGTTCTTTGACTGATCATGGTTCTACATAGAACCATTTTCATTACTAAAGAACGCTTGATGAACATTGTCTTTTTTAAGAGTATTTAAAAAGATGGTTCTTCAAAGGTTCTTTATTAAATGGTTCTGTTTTGAACCATGAGTTCTATATAGGACCTTCTCATGCTTAAATGGTTCTTTGCGTGGGGAAATAGTTCTCCAGATTGATCGAGCATGTGTTGTGTATGGTTCCGTATAGAACCTTTTTGAAAATGGTTCTATATAGCACCAAAAAGGGTTCTTCTGTTGTTATAGTTTCAAGCTTGTAACAATAAAAGAACCCTTTTTGGTGCTATATAGAACCTTTTTTAAAAAGATCCTAAAGAGAACCATATTACAGTTTTTTTTCCTTTAATCTGAAGAACTTTTTCACCATGCAAGGAACCATTTAAGCAAGAACTCATGGCGCTAAATAGAACCATTTCATTTACTAAAGAACCCTTGAAGAACCATCTTTTTTCAAACTGTATGCGGGTACATTTAGCTTCATCTACATCAATATGAATGATTTTTACACATAAAAGCTGACAAGAAGACTTGGCAAGCAAGTTAATTAATTAATTAATTAATTAGGACAGTTAATTAATTAAAAAATATTATTTAGGCAGTAAAATTTGACCAGATTCAATAGATTGCATGAGTGAGTTCAGATTTTCCAGGGGGAGGAATCTAATGCTGAGAATGCATCATGAAAATGTGGACAAGAATACGGTCACTTTATGCAAGGGCTTTTATTTTGTCAGAAAATTCACATTTAATTCAAGGAAATAACACACAAAAGAATTTTAAGTCAGTTAATGAGTTTTGTATGTGTATAAATGTGTGATGAGGTTGTTGGGGAGCGTAAATAAAAGCATTTTCTCTGATTTCTCTGTGGTCAGCAGAGTCGGAGCAGGGTCTCTACAGTGACGAGCCCTCGGACGTGTCCGTGCGATGCCTGCCGTGTCGCGAGGGCTGCTCCTTTTGTCGGGACGACTCGCCGTGTCTGGCACAGGAGGACGGCGTCCTGCGGGTGGCCGTGGCCTCCTTCCAGGGCCTCTGCATGCTGCTGGACTTCATCAGCATGCCGGTGGTCTACCACTTCCGCCGCAACAAGGTCAGCACAGTCCATTAAATAATTTGTTCAAGCATGCTGCCGTAACAGTTATTTCATAGTTGCATATTGTAATACAACCCCTATTCCAGAAAGGTGGGACACAGTGTAAAATATAAATAAATGATGACCCATATTTTATTCACAATAGAACATAGAACACATATCAGATGTTGAAAGTGAGACCATTTCAGGAAAAATATTAACTCATTTAGAACTTGATGGCAGCAACGCATTTCAAAAAAGTTGGGACTTGCCAATTTGATTGATTATCAAAAATTGCATTCTGTTTTTATTTGCATTTATTTACATTTTACACAGCGTCCCAACTTTTTTGGGGTTGTACATCATTTTTAAGATATGTAATATTTTCAAAGTCACATTAATGCATTTTCAACATTAACACTTTCTGAAACAAAGACGGTAACAATGCAGGCAAACTGAACACAGGTGAGACAGATGACAACAGGGGGCAGGGCTAGGGTGTCCAGACGAGTTAGACACAGACGGGGCAGGGTCAGCGCAAGGAAACCATGACAGACAGTAGTTTGAAGGGGAATTCCATAAGTTTTCCAAAATCTATGCATAATTAAATGTCATTCAGAGTGGTTTGGTGTGAAATGCTCCATTCTAGAGCAACCGAGTCAGAACTGTTCACAGTGGTGGTGATAGGAACCAGACGTCCACGTCTAAAAGCTCCCTCACAGAAAGGTATTACATGAGATATGGTTATGAATTCACTGCCTGGTGCCTGAGACACTGTTTAACGATAGTGGTAAGAGTTTTGGCCTAAAAAATTGAGTGTGTTTACATGCAGTCAGTTATCCGATCATTATCAGATTTCTGCAGTTATCTGATTATTCAAATGGTCGTGTAAACAGCACACTCTGATTAGAGTGTGATCAGAGTAAGGTCTAGAAATCTGATTAAGAAATCTGGTTTTAGCTCAGCAGCACTGCTGTGTCTGATCCACTCACACCAGCGCAACACACACTAACACACCACCAGTGTTACTGCAGTGCTGAGAGGTAAAGTGGCTCAATGTCTTTAAAAAAAAGCCGCAGCATGAAGTTTGAGTTTTACATTTATGTTTACATCACGTCTTCTTCTGTGAGTTTATCGGCTGGTTGCAAAGCAGAAATCTGATTACTGTCTGACTCATGTAGACCCGGAGTCTTCCCATTATCTGATTACTCAAGTGCATGTAAACGTGTTGATCGGATTACTGCCAAAAATCTGATTTTCTGCAGTTATCGGATTATTAAGTGCATGTAAACACAATCATTGATAAATATGTTTACATCTCAGTGCATAAATTACAGAGATTTTGAAAAATCATACAAAAATATTAGTTTAAAAACACATAACAGTTCAGTTTTTATGACTTATTTGACCAAACACTCCGAAAAACGTTCACTTTTTTTGCACAAGCTGCCTTTTATGTTTTTTTCCTAATATGTGCTCTAAACAGTAATTGTGCAATAAAATGTGCAGAAGTGTTGAGGATGTGTTCACTTAGAAAATCAACACAACACAACATTTGACAACACTCTTAAAATGATGGTTCTTCAAGGGTTCTTTACTAAGGAAAATCGCTCTGTATAGAACCATGAACACTCAAAGAATCCTTTGCTTGATTAAAGAGCTCTTTGCATCATGAAAGGGTTCTTCAGATTGATGGACAATGTGCTGTAGATGTGGATAGAACCTTCTAAAAAAAAGGGTTCTATACAGCACCAAAAGGGTTCTTCTGTTGTTACAATGTCAAGCCTGTAACAACAGAAGAACCTTTTTGGTTCTATATAGAACCATATAAAACACAATCTCCATCAATCTGAAGAATGCTTTCTTGATTAAAAGAACCCTTTAATCATGCAAAGGGTTCTTTGAGTGCTCATGGTTCTATACCGAACCATTTTCTCTACTAAAGAATCCTTTAAGAACCATCTTTTTTAAGTGTGTAGAAGCCCAAACTTTTGCATATGACTGTAAGCCTCCGCTGGACTCCCCCGCTCCTAAAGGAGCAGCTCACCTGACGTAAATAGGTCTCTCCAAGCAGAACCGTATTGGTATTCTTCAGCTCATTAGTGTCAGAGATTTCAGAAAGACACCCACTGAGGAATAGTTCTGCGTTCCCCCTACACTAACGCTTGATCAGGGGCAGGTTTATGTCATCTTTTCATTACGGTTGGGGATCTAATGGCTTCGTGAGGGCGCCGTGTCAGACTCTGGTGAATAGAGAGAGTAGATATTAAAATCCATGCAAAGTGGCAGAGCCGGGCTGTGTGTTAGCAGAGTGGAGCACAAGGGAGGAGAACCTGAATTAGCTCCCAACGTGGGACGGCCCTCTGCTCTAAGAGACTGTCTCTCTCTGTTTCAGAGAATCAAATCTTCGGGTCTGATTCTGCTGGAGGCCATCTTGGCAGGTGCTGTTCTCCTCTACTTCCCTGTAAGTCTGAACATTTACACTTGTCTTTTGCATTAATTCAGTAATAATTTGCACTTTTTATTTTCCTATAAGCTCCAAAACCTTCACGTCTTCTCCTATTTTGGTCTTTATGAGGCAGATGGACCAAAGGAGGTGCTGAGAGATGGTCAACACACTTAAAAAGGATGGCCCTTCAGAAGGTTCTTTAGTGAAGCAAATGGGTTTATATAGAATCATGAACATTAGTATGTAATGAGACTGGGATTTTAAGGGGTTAAAGAACCATCTGTAACAGGGTCTCCACGATCAAGCTTTCAAATAGTTCTTTAAGAACTAAAGAACCCTTGCCGGAAAAAGCACAAAGTGGCGTGTTGTTTGAAGGATTTTGAAGAATTTGTGCTGTTAACTTCTTGGAAGTGTGATGAAATATTTGTGTGGACTCTTCCCTCACGCGGCCTGAAGCCTCTACTCTCTCCGATTCTCTGTTCATCTGAACGCACCGCTGCTTTCTCCCCAGCTTCTCTCCACCGTCTTCTGTTCAGAGGACTTAGCCGTCCTCCCAGTCCATCTGTGCCTGTCAGCAGAGAGAGAGAGAAGAGAGAGTGAGAGAAAAATACCGAAAAAGCAAGAAAAAGGGTGTTAGAGAAAAGTAAGACGATAAGAGAGAGAAAGGTTGACGGGGTAAAAAGATACAGAGAGAGAGATAAAGGGAGAGAGAGAGAGCGAGAGAGGGAAAGAGGTAGGAAGAGAGAGCGAGAGATAATGATTTTAGTTCTCTCTTTCTCTCTTCTGAAGAGAGAGAGAGAAAGAGTGAGAAAGACCAATGTAACCATGCACTGCTTTTACCAAAACAACTCACTGTGAACACAACTGAACTTCTCTGAACTGGGACTGACGCAAAAGGACAAAGACAGATAACCCTGGGTCTGGGGAAGACCCCCGATCACAAGTTCAAGCAAACACACGTGAAACAACCTTAACACTTACTAAATTCTGGCTGGACAACTGGAAGAAAGTGGAAGAAACTGGAAGAAATCCGCTCAGCTCGGACATTTCCAACTTGGAATCTCCTACCTCCCACCTAAAAGCGTGCAACTTCATCAATTTGAGGAAAAAAATGGATGTTCACAGTAAACCAGCTCTTATCTGGCTGCTATGTGTGCATAATAAGCTCAGCATTTACAGTCCAAGTGCTGTTTATATATACAACCACTAATTTACATGAAAAATGACATGAAAGTGCACAGATGGGTCAAAAATCTGGCTGTGTTTATTGGCGTCATATACAAAAAGCATATGATGCACTTTGAAAACGTAAAAATCTGTTTAACCCTTTTGTTGCAATGTGAAGACTAAAGCAGAGAGCCAGTAGCAGGTTTTACAGTGATCTGGCTGTGTTTGTGCTGTATTTTTGGGTTGTGTGATGTTAGAGCGGTTTCTCTCACTCTGGCTAGTGATGGTAGGTTCTTCTGAGTGCTCTGATGTGTGAATCATGTCACTATTTTTAACCCTTTGTTTATAATATGAAGGCTAAAAGCAGAGATGTAATATAACAGTAGCGAGTGGGCTCTGGGTGATTTTGGAGCTGGATTGCTGGCTGATGGACGGTCACAGGTGGATGAAATCACTCTGGATGGTGAGGCAGAGTCTGATAAGTGATCTGATGTGTGAATCATGTTATTATTTTTAACACTTTGTTGGAATATGAAGGCCAAACAGTAGAGCAATAATATCAGGATTTTGGGTGATTTTCCGAGCCGAATTACTCACTGACACTGACGTCACAGCTCGATGACGCTGGCTAGTTAGGGCCGGGTCTGCTGAATGGTCTGATATGTGTATCATGTCTGTAACTTAAACCGTTCTGAAGTTATGAAGGCTAGAAGTCAACTAGTTTTACTTGTAAGGGTTAAAACATGTAAAACATGCTGTTACTTCTTGTAGGTGCTGTCATGTTGTAATAACATCATGGATTAGCAACTTTTGAGAAACTCTGACTTTCTGAGTGGGAATTACGAGTTCGAGGGATGTTCACATTGATTCTTTCCTCTTGGAAGTCCCAGTACCCACTTGGCCATGAACTAGAGCCCACCCACACAGCATTCGGTTTGGGCGACACCTCTGATACTACTCAAGAAATGCATCATCTTCTTCCTGCTGTCTCAAAAGCTTGAAAAACACATTGAACTTGATGTGAAGATTCCACTGCGTTAAGAAACTCTTTTTTGTCCAAAATAAACTACATCGATAACAGTAAGCCTAATAAATAAATAGGGCTTCAATCATCACACACACGTCTTATCATCTGCATTTGGGATACAATGAAAATTAGAGTTTTTGCCACTTTAAGAACAAGAAGGAAGAAACGCAAAAATAGACGCTCCCTGTGCGGCAGAGAGGCAGGGCAGGGAGATACTCAGCTATGCGCGTGATCCAAGATGCACTCAGGGCTCTGTGTGTGTGTGAGTGTGTGTGTGTGTGTGTGTGCGTTTCTTACCACCATGCCGTGCGCCGCCGAGTGCTTCTACTCCGCTGTGGAGTTCCATGCATTTTTAACGAGTCCATCAAGTTCTAACGCAACGTGTTTAAAAATAAATCCACTGATTAATTAATGCCGGGGCGTTGAGGGGGAGAAGGACACTTTCTCGGCTCCCATCTGATGATACAAACACACACACAGTCGGCCGCGGACCCTCAAACTCTCCAGGTCGCAAACTTAGAGCAGGAGCCCAGTCAACAAGAAAACTCAGGTACCAGACTGACTGCTACACCAGCGTGCACCGCTCATCGACCTAAACACCGTCCTCACTGCTGCTTTCAGTCTCCCTCATACAGTCCAGCACACCTCGACTCACAGAACATTTAGTAGAAATTGGGACAACAGTACCTTCTTTGGTGAGAGAACATTTCTCAGATTGAAGGAGATCCGATCGTGGTTAAGGAGTCGGGCTGAGTTCTCAGTCCGAAGGAGCAGAGAAATCATTTATCTATCAGCGTCACCTGAAAGCTATGCCCTTTCAGAGTACAACATCTACATCAACAAGTATTGGTGGGAAATATCAGTTAAATCTAAACATCCGTCTGATGCGGTTCATTTTTTAAAGCAATGATCAGATACGATTCCACCAACTTATTTATGCATATCATTCAGACCTTAATAAATTAAGCTCACCAGACAAAAAAATTGTCACCTGTGATTAGGGATGGACCGATACCACTTTCTCCCTTCCGATAACAATACCTAATCCTTTAGTATCAGCCGATACCGAGTACCGATACCGATACTCTATGTAACCTATCTCACCTATAAGTTCTGATAATCATACAATTACTTAGCTTGGCTAGATGGCATTTACTTGTTGGAATATATTTATTAGATGCTTAAGAAGACTTATTTTTATTTATGCACTGTATGTTTAGTGTTTACTAACATATAATTAGTAATAAGAGGCATGTTTAACTTAAGTAAATGTAGCTAAAGTATCTTTATTGTGCAAAAACATTAAAAAACAGAGCTGAACAGTAAACAGATAAGCCTGTGGTGTTTACACATCAGCATACAGAAGCTTCTTTGGCTCAAACGGAGTTTCACATTCAAATTTCTCGAGTCGTTTGGCTCCTATGTGCGTCTTTTTCCTTTGTGCTGCATCTCTGAGCGTCAGTTCCGTAAATGTCACCGTCTTTACAGCTGACTGACGGAGGCGCACCGCAGACAGGGCTAGTGGACACACAGGCCTGGCTAGCAGGCTGCTATGCTAAAGGCTGAATCAAGGCTAAAGGATATCATTACGCCAAAAGTCTGGCGGTTCCTTCCGCACTTTCAGTAGCATTAACTAAAACTGATCCTGCCATGAGCATTTTTACTGCTGCTTGTTGTGCCTCACCGCTGAAATGGTGTTCAGTTCTGTCTACTGGCGCGCACAGTCGCATAAGAAATTGCTTCGTGGTGTCAGTCACAGGTATCGGTATCCCCATCACCGATAAGATACTGCTTTTAAGTACCAGTATCAGCTCTGATACCGGTACAACACTACCTGTGACTGAAACGTTATTCACCAGTCGTGAAACACGCCAGCGGTCCCTGTCCGTCAGTTTCATCTTTCGGCCACAATTCCGATGAGAATTTCTTGTAGACTGGGATTTTTGCCACTGCTGGTCGACCCGTATGACTGTGCGCTTTGATATACAACTGCAAATTCAGCTACTTCCTTCACGCTGTGGCCTTTGGCTGCCCAAATGCAATGCCAATCATTAACATCTGCTTTGCGACCCATTTTCCACACATCGAACGAGACAATCTATCAATCCCATTGTTGTCCAGGAGCTTATACTGAACACATGTATTACAAATGATGTCTTGACCAGCAAACGCAAGTTTTCAGCTTTTCCAAAATGGAATATAGCCTTCCCAGAGTCACCAGACCGAAAGACTCCACTCTCTGTGTTGCAGAAAAAAAATTTGAAATTCCAAAAATAATCACATCACGTTCAGTTTCTATTTTTGTGTCATGTACTCACATTTGGCCCTGACAGAAAAAAACAGAACAGACCAGCATGCATTCCATGCTGGTTTAGCTGGTCACCCAGTACAGTCATGGTTTATCTAGTTTATGCTGGTTTATGCTGGTCTGGTGTTTGGTTGATCAGCATACCAGCATCCAAAACACAACGTATGCCATCCTGGCATGCTGGACTATGCTAGTTTTTCTAGCTGAGGGTGTAATGACCTTTAGACTTTGAATGAAATTGACCACGCTCATGTTTCAGAGATGTTAAAAATGACCCCTCCACTCCAGATGAACACGTTTACTTTCTTAGGAAGTTAAAATCTTTTTCTGTTCATCTATTTTGCGTACTGTTTTTAAGAATGTTCTTGGTTTCACTCCCAAGAATCGTCTACAGAGCCTAAAAAAAGGACTTTCTATTATTAATGACTCCTCACATGCCTTTGAATTGTCACCTCTGGGTTGCTGTTATTGCGGCCCTACACATCAGCCTGGCCGACGGAGAGTGTTATTTGGGCTTGAGGCCATCAGGATGATCACTGACCATTCACAGTTAGCCATGTGCTTACTACCCTGTTAGAATAACCAGCATAGACCTGCACTGCTAGTCACCAGCAAAACCAGCATATGTCGTGTTTCGGATGCTGGTATGCTGGTCAACCATCATGGCCATGATGGGGTGACCAGCTAAACCAGCACCACACCAGCATAGACCAGCTTAGACCAGCATGACATGCATGCTAGGGTCTGTGCTGGTTTTTCAGCAGGGTATGCATTTTATTTTTATTTACCTACTTCTTATTTATGAAGATGTTTGTCTATAGCTGTCTGTAGATTTCTTTATGTTGTATGTTTGTGCTATATGTTTAGATGCCCAGTTATGAATTGCACGTTGGGGACAAAAAAAAAGTTTATTAAATTCAATTCAGTCAACGCATGGACTTTTTTGGATATTCTAGATTAAACACAGATATTTAAGCTTATAAAAGACTCTCCGTGATTTATATGAAGCTTAAACAGGACTTTAGTTTATATTTATTTTGTATGTATCAGTTTTCCATTCCTACCAACTAACTGAAGACATCAGTCAGGATACCACTCGTACAGTCAGTGATGTATCTAGAACTTTCAGAAGGTGTAGAGTGGTCTCACTACACTGGTCCTATTGGAAATCAAAGTGTTGTCCATAGTTGGTAGTTGGTAGTTAATCTATGTATTATTTTTTAATTTAGGTCTAGAACGCCCTGAGGGTCACTGATAAATTTTGTTTGCCTATAAGCAAAAAAAACAAATGTCAATTTGGGGTATAATATGTGCATCAAAAATGAAGTTATTTCACTCCAGAATATTAAAGTACTGGTAGCCAAATCATCAGGTAGGTCAGTCAAATTTGACCACATGCCAGAATTAGGTGCATACTAAAAATGAAGTAATTTTGCTGTATTATTAGTTAGCAGACTAGCATGCCTCACCTAAATGATGTGTCTGTTTTATCCATGAAAACGAAAAGACCAGAAGTACTCAGATTGGATCAGGGGACAAAAATTCTGAATTTTAGCATAATATAATGGTAGAAGAGTTATAAAATATGATAATCAGTACAAATATTAATGCAAATCAAATGAAAGATGCAGTACGCGGACATCAGACACAGCGCGATCATGCTCCGTGAGGATGTACGATTCCACACCGTCATACATTTTTAATCAGCCTCCTCGTCCCTCGTAGACGCTGCGTTTCGGTACGGCGCGTGAAGCCGTGTTTACACTGACTTTAATTTGCACGGGCAGATCGGTCCCAAGGCTGCCAGCGATGAATCAGAGCGATCGGAGTGGCTAACAGCAGGAGTGCCAGGCCCCAGATCCGCCTTTTGGAGTGGGAAAGCACTGCAACAGATAAAAAGAACAAAACAGAACGTTAGTCAGTTGTCGACGTGAGAGAATCAGTCAAGCAGCCTGTCTGGATGGGCCACGATTTCTTTTGTTTCTTCCATCCTGGACGGCCAACAGCTCATACGGAGGCGCCTACGTGGACAGAATTTGGAAAAGAAAAGTATCGCCCACTGCTTTTATGTGCGGATTTGCCTTGCTCATGATTTCTTGTTGTCTTTTTCTCGTAGGTGATGATACTTTACTTTCAGCCAAGCGTGTTCCGCTGTATTCTCCTGAGATGGGTTCGCCTCCTGGGCTTTGCTACTGTCTACGGAACGGTGATCCTCAAGCTGTACCGGTATGTGTTCAGACTACAACGGTACAGTGTTTTTGAACTACTCACACTCAGTGACCACTTTATGAGCTCCACCTACCTTACAGGGCCACTGTATTGGTGTTCATTTACAGACTGTAGTCCATCTGTTGCTGCACCATAAATCAACCCCTCGACCCCATTCATCATTCGTCAGTTTATGACCACAGGAAGCTGTTGTGCAGATATTATTTGGGTGGTGGACCACAGCAGTGACACTGACATGATAGTGTGCATGTCACTGCTTGGCTAAAAGTAGTCCATCACCCAGAAATATCCAGCCAAGGGTGGCTCTGTGGTCAAAAACTGACCATCTTTGAAGGGCTAGAGGATGGCCAACACAAACACTCCATCAGCAGAGCTACAGTCGCTAACCATACGGCATTAAAGTGGAACTATAAGAGAGGGGTTTCCGATAAAGTGTAATAAGACAGTCTGTGTCTGTGTGTGTGTATATATATATATATATATATATATATATATATATATATATATATATATATATATATATATTCTATTAGTCCATTCATCAGGAAATTTACACACATTGTTACGGGTAACGACCATTTTCAAATTATGTCAGAAACTGAAAAATAGAGATACAAGGTTTTCTTCCGACAACAGATATATACATATATACATATGATATACATATATATATACATGTATATAGATAGATATATGAGTTGCTCAGTATAATATAATAAGCCAGTATAATAATGTTGATTGCCTTCCTCTATAGAGAACTTTCTGGCTAATTTGTCTTTCCACTGCATGACCGAAAACAAGAATCTGTCACGGAGCAAAAGGCTAAATGGAGGCAGTGAGAACTCAATGAGCAGCCAAGCTGATAGACATAGAAAAGGGCAGAGAGCAGCTTCAGTCGATAAAATATGCAGCTATATCTCAGGCTGTGGTGTTGACCTAAAGCATTTTCTCTGGACTGGTGATTGGGCTCGGACAAATAACGGCCATAGCCTCAATTTCCTGCCAAGTCCAGTCCCTGGACAGGCAGAAACGCTGCAGCTGAGTTTTAGGAAGCGGGAATGAATTTCACAGTGCATCACTGCAGACTGACTCAACTGAGTCATTGCCTTTTAACAAATCAAGCAATCATGAGGACAAAGTGGCTTTACACTCTTAAAGGTGCCAAGAATGATTCTTTTGCCTTTTCACAATACCATATTAGAACCATAAAGAGCCTTACAGAACCATTTTTGTAGAAAAACTCAGATTTCTATACAGTGGTGATGATAGGAACCAGGGGTCGCCATGACAACAACACAGATATAGACATTTTATTTACTATCCAAAACCACCACATGAGTTTTTATGTGGAATGTTGATGATGGCCAAATTTGATAATGCCCTGCAAGTTCATCTACACTATGAATGGGTTTAAAAAATATCGATGAAACAGAAAACAATCACATATCTTCCATTCTCAGCTCATACGGACTGTTCTGGTTCTTGTCCAGGGTGCTGAAGGTGTTCCTGTCGCGCACGGCCCAACGGATCCCCTACATGACCAGTTGGCGTGTGCTGCGCCTGCTGACCGCCATCCTCCTGGTGGTCCTCTGGTTCCTGGTGGCCTGGACCTTGGCCATGTGCCAAAGCACAGACATCCATCATGCTCTCGTTGACGTGGGGGTCACCCCAGAGGGCCTGCATTTCAACATGTGCCTGCTGGACCGCTGGGACTACATGATGGCTGTTGGTGGGTGTTAATTTGTTAATAAATAAGTGCTTGTTTTTGTAAAGTGGGCACTTACACCCACTGACCACTTTATTACAAACACTACATTGTAGCTCCACCTTGCTGGTGTACAGTTAGAGACTGATGCACAGTTTGTATTAGCCGGCCTATGGTCCTTCATCAGTGGAGAGTTTCTCACCCCAGATGACTACAGTCTGTAATTGTACACCGATATATTGGCGTTATAAGGTAGGTGGAGCTCATACAGTGGACACTGAGTGGAAGCACTTATGAGCGCACATCAACTGAATTCTGTATTAATACCAAGATATTAAAAAGCGTTCCTTGTGTGGATATAGAATGTAGTATTAATAGATTAAAACAGGCATCAATGTGTATGTAAAGTAAATGGATTAAACCTGTTCATAGTTTATATTTTTTAACTGTTAGCACTGGTCAAACTATTGTCTATCTGTAGGTTAGCCCTGTGGGGCCCACAAACTCGCCCATGCGTCAAATTCTATATGTCTATATCTGTTTCGGGCGGCACGGTGGCCCAGTGGGTAGCGCTGTTGCCTCACAGCGAGAATGGCCTGGGTTCGATTCCCGGCCGGGTGACCGGGGTCATTTCTGTGTGGAGTTTGCCTGTTCTCCCCGTGTCTGCGTGGGTTTCCTCCGGGTACTCCGGTTTCCTCCCACAGTCCAAAAACATGCAGTTAAGCTAATTGGACATGCTAAATTGCCCCTAAGTGTGAGTGATTGTGTATGTCTGTCTGTCTGCCCTGCGATGGACTGGTGACCTGTCCAGGGTGTATCCTGCCTTCCGCCCAATGACAGCTGGGATAGGCTCCAGCACCCCACCGCAACCCAGAAGGATAAGCGGTTTAGATGATGTATGTATGTATGTATGTATCTGTTTCTCTATCTTTGCAATAAAACAGCACAGAAATTCAAACACTTCCTGAATCTGTAGAGTCACCCTTTCCATTCCATCTTATCACGAGATCATACGAGACTCACATCCGGAGTTATGAGCCTATGAAGAGGGGCGGAGATACACACCATCTGCCTCTCACCATGTGGAACTGGTGGATTCGTGTGTCCATCTACATTCTGTTTGAAACTGACCAATGGACACTCAGGAAATCACTAAGAACTGACCATCACGCCGGAAATCCTTCATTCTTTATTCAGTCCACATCAGAGACTCATTTGAAATGGTGTGCAGAGAGTTTACAGCTGCTGAAGTTGCTGCAGTGGTTTTGGAAAGTAGTGATGAAGATAACTGGTTCAACTGGTTTTCATGCAGTGCTGACCCTGTGTCACAGTCACCCGACCCACGGGCACTGACAACGGCCACAAGAGAGGGCGAGAAGGCAGTGCCCGTGCCTCACACTCTAGGAGCCACGAGAGACAGCGGTCTAAGAGTGCTAGAGGAGGACGTCAGCCGGGCGAGAGGGCAGGAGAGCGACGACAGTCACGAGAGGCGTGAAGGCTGTGCACAACTACCAAACTACGCCTCCTTGGCCCTGCCTCCTGTTTCTCAGCTTGGCCGCTGGGATAGAATGTGAGGCACAGTCTAGCGGCTTCGCTGTGGATTGCTCTCCCGCCCTCTCACACCGCTGACATCCCCATCATGGCTCTTATTGTGTGAGGCTAGGGCACTGCCTTCTCACCCTCTCTCGTGGCCATCATCGGTGCCCGTGGGTCGGAAGACTGCCACACACCAAAGTTTTGGTAGTACTGTTTTAAATATGGCCCTTCTGGTCTGTTTTTATCTGTTCCATCAAATTTCCGGAAGAATAAAATATCGACTGCACATCATGTTTCGCGAAAGTGTCTTTATGTATTGTAATATAATATTTTAGCCATATCAGCCACCCCTACTGCAGCCTTCCACGTAAGCATCCTTTGGTTTATTTCAGGCCACCAAACTGCGTTCTCTCTCTGAAAACCGCATTGCCAACAGTCCCAAACTAACAAGAGAAAATATGGGAAAAATACCAGAGTCTCACGGCTTAAGGAGGCTGCTTTGACAGCAGAGGCGTTGGATATATAATCTAATCCTCCGGGGGCAGACGGGGAGAGCCAGCGAGGCGTGCAGCTGCCAGACACAGCACTCGCACTTTCTCTCCCCATCTCTGACTGCCCGGAGGAAATGGAGAGAGAGAGGGAGGGAGTGCTCAGGTCATTGTGAAGATAAGATGCTGGGAAAACACACTGTATCTTCTGACAGCGGCACAGCTGTGAATCAGCGTGAAGAACCGGAAGAGCAGAAGTGGAATTGGGACTCTAATACTGTGGCAGACGAGTGGTCAAGGTTTAAAAACAGGCTTCCTTTGCTCTGAGATGAAAACTGTAGACGCCATCCAGGTTTATCTTACCAAGGGAAAAAACAATATAAAGTGTTTTAGTAAGGTTTTGGGCCACCACAAGTCTCCGGAACAGCTTGGCATAGATTCTGCAAGTGTCTAGAACCGTGCTGGAGGGATGTAACATCATTCTTCCGAAACACATTCCCTCAATCGATGTTTTGATGATTCTGCATAAAAACTCCCATAGGAGTTCAACTGGGTTGACATCTGGTGACTGCAAAGGCCGAACGGTGCAAAGAACCTTTAATCATGCAAAGGGTTCTTTGAATGTTCATGGTTCTAAATGCAACCATTTCCTTTACTAAAGAACCCTTGAAGAACCATCATTTTTAAGTGTGTAGAATAAAGGTGATCAGTCAGAAAAACATTATATTGATTGGTTCCCTGTAAGAGGACAAGTGGACCCAAACCATGCCAGCAAAATCACCCCCACAGCATAATATGATATATATTAATATATACAGTCAAAAGCAAAGGCCCCAGAATTGATCCTTGAGGTACACCCTTAGCCATCGTCATGGGAGTAGACATAGAACCTTCAGCCTGCACTCAGAGGATTGAATGACTTTCAGTCATAACAATAAGTATTACGATAAGTACTGCGAAAACTGTTTAAACATCGTTTAAAGCTGTGCTACCTCCATTAAAAACAATGGTTTTGAATTTTTGGACGCGACGCGGCGCATCCAGTGTGCAGTGGCCTTTGAAGAATCCAGTTCTGCATGCCCAAGATGTAAAGATATGTACATGTAAAATATCGCTTACTGGCATCAGTCCAGAGTTCCCATATCGATGCATCCCTAATAATATGCATTATCATTTAGGGTTTTTTGACTTTTATGGCCTAAACTCAATGCCTAGCTCTAGCAGTGACAGTTCACCGCTGGTGTTACGTCATCTTGACAACAAAGTTGACAAAAGCAGACTTTATAACAGATGACTCCTATTGGAATGAGGCTTATAAACATTTAAGTAGGTTTATGTCAGGTGTCATGTGGCCTTATAAACAGTAAAACATTTGTTTTAGCACTATTACATTTTCTTAGTGATCTACTGAGAATCAACATTAGATCTAAACTGAATAGTACTGATGTAGTCTCTATGGGCTGTAAGGTGGGATCTGAGCATCAGGCCTCCTTCAGTTCATGAATCCTTTTCATTTAATTAATTTAATGCAGACGCTATCTGAACAGATTCTGCTGGATTTGTTGAGTCAGTTAATCAAACATTCAGTAAAAGGCCTGCATCTGGTGTCTGCTCTGAATCATCAGAGGAGACATGGAGGAGACATGTCTCGGGGAGAGGGCAGCCGCCTTTCGCACAGTCGGAAATCCCTGTTGTCAACTGTGGTGAATGATTAGCAACTGTGTGTTGCTCTGTCTGTCTCCCTGGCCTAGCGGAGTTCCTGTTCCTGCTGTGGGGCGTCTATCTGTGCTACGCCGTGCGAACCGTGCCCTCCGCCTTCCACGAGCCGCGCTACATGGCAGTCGCCATCTATAATGAGCTCCTCATCTCTGCGATATTCCACATCATTAGGTGAGTAATACACACGAGGCCTGAGCTTTTCGGAGTTAAACACCGAGACTGTGTTCAAAGCTGGACCATTTCCTCTGCAGATTTTTTTTCTTTGATTGACAGTTGAGCACCAAGAACCTCATTCCCAGCTCAGCTCATGTTTGTTTTAAATTTCTGACTCACTCTCCTGTGATTCAGTGAAACGGTAAAGGGATTTGGTTTTATATCACATTAAATATGTCTTTGGTTGACAGTAATTCAGTTGCTGTCCTTCAAAATGAATAATTACAGCTACAGGCGCTGTAGTTTACTCTCTCGAGTGTTGTTTTGGAGAAAACTAATAACCAATAAGAAAATCAATAACCAAATGAGGAAGATGTGCTGTCTTTTTGAATTATGTCTCATTTGTTATTACAAAACAATTATTAGTCAAATTTACTGTTACTACATAATTGAACTTAAAACAATCTAGCATCTTCGATCATTTTTGTGGAGTCCCACAGGGTTCAGTTTTAGGGTCCTTGCTCTTCTCTTTGTACATGTTACCTCTAGGTGATGTCATTAAGAAACATACATTTTCATAACTATGCTGATGACACGATTGCGATTCCTTCTGATGATCAAGACCCTGTTGACAGGCTGACCAGCTGTGTGTCAGATATTTCTCAGTAGATGTCACAAAATTTCTTGGAACTTAATAGTGAAAAAACTGAAATATTGATACTTGAAAAATGCTTTATGAGAAGCTCAGTTCTTTAGCTTTGTATACCGAACCTGAAACACGAAACCTGTGTGTAATCTTAGACTCATAATATATAAATAAAACAGAAAAATTAATAATCAACAACCCACAGTTAATCATTTAAAACACTGACAAACCGTGTTACCCATTGAGGCTTAAATATCAAAGAATCATCTAATACAATATTTGTTTGTAGACACATTTTTAACCACATTTCCCTTTGAAGTGGTGACGGAAGGTTCGAGGGCATTTTCCTTGCATTTGTCAACAACACTGTTTTAGTTTTGTGAACACTTAAAACAAGTTTAAGACTTTAAAGTACACATTGTCTAATATTAAAAGCATCTTAAAAGTTGTACACAAAGCTTGGCTTTGACTAGGTGCTGAACACAAAGTAACAGTACCGTCAGCATAATAATGAAGATTTGGCACATTATGACAAAGAAAATTAATATATACAGTCAAAAGCAAAGGCCCCAGAATTGATCCTTGAGGTACACCCTTAGCCATCATCAAGGGTGAAGGCATAAAACCTTCAGCCTGCACACTCTGTGCTCCACCAGATAAACAATTCTTAAACCAAAGAATGGTATCTTCAGTTAATCTAATGCTCATAAGCCTAGATTTCATTACTGTATGACCCATTGTGTCAAAAGCTTTCAGTAAAACAATAAAAAGGGTCACACAGTGATACTCTTTATCTAACGCAACAATTATGTCTTTCATTACTTTCAGCGCCGGTGTGATTGTTCTATGACCATAAAGGGAAACAACAGGATTTTTCTAGTTCTAATTCATATCCAAAGACAAGGACTCACTCTAATGGGAAACAACTCTTGGTTCATTTTCCACCTGCTGGAGACAGCTGGAACTACCTCAGAAACTGTGATTAGTTATTTAATTGCCTTTTTAATTGTATTTTATGCAACTCTAATGCAGCTAATGTGGCCAATTAGCTACCTGCTTGCGAGTTATAGTTGGCATAACATAGTGGCTGATATGAAACAATAAAACAAAAATAGGAGTCAACACATGAATATACAGTTTTAGCTTATTGGTGATGGATGAGTGCTCTGTGAAGTAAACTGATGTTGCCTTCAATAGCCAAACACAGAGGAGAACATTCTCAAGTATGTTTACGTCCTGTTGGTACTGATCTCAAGCAGGTACCAAAAACCTTGGTAAACACTGGAACCTTCGGTACTGGACCGATGGCCAATGGAAAAGACCTGTGATATTTATTATTGATTGATAATCCTGATTAAAAAAGGGGTTTGAAAAAGACTGTCAGAAATATTTAGTTTTGAAGCATGTGGTTCTACAGCATATGAATATCCTCCTCTATCAGGGCTGCTTCTAGGTAGAAGCAATACAAGCAGTCACTCAGGGCTCTGGAGCCTCCAGGTGGACCCAAGTCAGAGACTAGCCTTCATACATTTAATTTCTAGCCAAAATGGCCATCATTAAGTTATTTTATTTCAATATGAGGAAGAAAAAAAAACATATTTAACAGAAAATTACACAGAAGCCTCAACAACTACATAAAACATCAATTTTTCAATATTTTTTGTGTCCACTCTTTACCTTTATTACAGCTTCCATTCTTTCCAGGAGACTCACTTTCAGTTTCTCAAAGAATCTGCAGACACGCCTCCAAAGTTCAGTCTTAGAAGCTGGTTGATCATTTTCTGAAATATTCAAACACATTCAGTGATGTTGAGGTCTGGACTCTGGGGTGGTCAGTCCATTGTCCAGCTTCTTTGTTTGATGTGTCTCCTTTTCTCAGTGAGGTTCTTCTTGACAGCTACACATCCTTTCAGCGCTGAGTCGTCTTCTCACAGGGGAAGGATGGACAGAAACACCTGTGGATGTTTTCAGATCTGAAGCAGCTCTGAAGGGGGGGGTTTGGTGTCTAACAGGTGGTTGTTAGGAGTCCCATTTTCTCTGTATCTTCTAATTGTTTTTGGAAACCTATTTTTTCCACATATTTTCCTTTGACTTTCTCCTTCCTTATGCATGGCTGCTCAGAAATATATCCTCAAAAATTAGTTTCTTATATTTGATACCTGTTTTGACTGTGGTCTCTGACTTTTGCATGGTATTTAATAAAGTAGTTAATTCTTGTTTTGCTATTGCATATTGCAGCCCCCCCATACCCCGCCCCTCCCTCAAACCCCACCCCTCCCGCCATGTAGGATGCCGCTTAGGGCCCTGAAATGTTCCGAGCTTGTGAAAAAAAGATTATCTGAGGCTCAACTTTAGCTATTTGGGATCCAGCATGAAATAAAAACTTTAGTCACACGTCAGCAGAAGTCTTGCCGCAAACCGTTCTGGGCAAAGACAGCTCCCATCAGCTAAATGACTAGTGTCACCGGGACAGCACAGATAAGCCAGTTGAAAGGAGGTGAATAAAATATGCCTGCTCCAGACAGCTCGTGCATAAATCTGCCAGGGCTTAAAATAAACCCCTTGTGCCCTCTTCCTGTCTTGTTCCGAATCTTCCGGCTTTGATACTCTGCTTCTGTCGCTCCTTAATGCCTCCTTTTTGACCACAGAGCACATTAGGTCCATTCAGCTCGTGCCATCAAGAGGTGAGGGTTGGAAACGTCTCTGGTTATAATGTAGTTATGAATAAGCAGCCCTGACCCAGTAGTAGTCAGAGAAACAAACTACATCCATGTTCTTTGAAAGGTTCGTGGACCAGGAACAACGGCTCTCACAATCAGTGAATCAGTTTCTGGCAGCAGTGCCTTCCCTACCCTCCCTGCCTTCGCAGCATGGCTGGAGCCCCTGCTGGCGCTGGGAGATAAGCTCGATGTTTGTCTGAAGAGGCGGTGATGCTGGCTTTCGACAGGCTGCCAAAACAGCCCCTGAATGACTAATGATCTTAATGAGGCAGGATCTTGTTATTCTGGGCCAATACAGACATGCAGTGTCCTCCACGGCACCTTGAACACCATCTCGGTCCCTGCTGAGTAAAAGCCCTTTAAGGGGGCTCTCTAATGACACTCATCATATTTCATTAGGATGGTTTTTAATTGATCGCTCATAAACATTGCATTGTATTACTGCCAACAGAGTAGGGAACGGCTGCTGCTTCATTGCTGGCAGGCAGCATATCAGATACATCTTTGCCAGGGAACAGTATAACTCTTCTGGTCTTCTCTACAGATTCACCCTGGCTCCTGGACTGCACCCAGACTGGATGCTCATGTTATTTTTTGTCCACACACATTTGACAGTGACGGTGACTCTGGGTTTGCTGCTCATCCCAAAGGTGATTTCTTCGTTCAAGTTGCACTTTCTTTGCACAAATGTATTCCACATTTATAGTTATTAATAGTTTATGTCATTGGTCACCAACCGCGGTCCTGGAGATATACCTTCTTGCAGAGTCTGGCTCCAATCACAATCTGCCACACCTGCTCCAGCCAATTAACTTCTACAGAGGTCCTTGACTGGCTGGATAAGATGTATTAGTGTTAGCATGGTAGATGCAGGTTGGAAACCAATCTCTGCAGGCAAGTTTTTATTAGAAGTTTCTATTTAGAAATCCTGGCCAAATGCATTTTTAGACCCCAAAAAGAGAACATGTCCTCGAAAGAAGACGTATGGTCACCGTATTGTTAAATAGCTCAGTCTCTGAAATGATGAGAGAAATATCATTTTAAAGGTGCAATGTGTAAGATTTAGAGGGACCTATTAGCAGAAATGGAATATGGTATACAAAACCATGTTTTCATTAGTGTTTTTCGTTAGCTTAGAATGAGCCCTTCATATCTACATAGGGAGCGGCTCCACTTCCATTAGAGGCTGCAATGTTGCATTGCCATGTTTCTACAGGAGCCCAGAACGGACAAACCAAACACTGGATCTAGAGGGCGCCTTTTGCGTTTTTACTTTGAAGCTGTAGCTCCGGTTGGAAGATGTAGAAAGAAGAATCAGTGGTTGCTGCCGGTGCTGCCTGACCATTTTGTGTTGTGAGAAGTTAAAGAACCCAAATATTGACAAATAGAGGATCTTACTTATTATTTAGCAGAAGAAAAAGCAAGGTAATGTAAATATTTGTAATCAAAGAAGCGAGAACATGAAGAACCAAAACAAAATCGGGAAAGGCGACTACACACTTGGAAAGGGAGCGATGAGGGAGGGGTGTTCAGTTCAGTCACCACTAGCTGCCACTAAATCTTACACACTGCACCTTTAAAGTAAATTTACTCTAAGAATACAAAACCTGCATCAAAAGAGCCAAATTCCCTTAGTCATAAATAAAAATGGGTAAGATTAGAGAATACACTAATGAAATGAGACAAAATAATGGCTAATGACCATTAAAACAACCAGAGCTGTAGTGAACCTCTCTGGAAGAGGACACATGTTCACACAGTGAGGAATGTTTACAGAGTCAAATATTTTGAGGTTGCCAAATCTCCAAAACTAGGTACACCACCTCCACGCCAAACTATCTGCAAGACATGCTAGAGGAAGGCCTTTTCTTTCATCTAACCAGAGTTCTTTGTCTGGAGTCAGGCTCTGTGGTCAGATGAGACAAAAATAAAGCTATTGGCAACAAACACTCAAGGTGGATTTGGCACTGAAAAAAAGATGGTGATTCAGAAAAGAACCCAACTGAGATTTTGAATAAGAATCTAGCTGCTTCTGCCAAAAAGCAATCCAAACCACATTCAACTCCACACAAAAATGGTTCACTGCCCACAGAGTCAAGCTTCTGACATGGCCATCCTAGTCCACTGACTTACACCCCTTTAAAAAATCTGTGGGCTGAGCTGAAGAAGAGTGTCCAAAGGAGAGGATCTAGGACCCTGGAGGATCCAGAGAGATTCTGTTTTGTGGAATAGCCTCAGATTCCTTGTACTAAAGTACTAAATGCAGTGGTGCCAATAATGATATACAAAGTTTTGTATAAAATAATTTGATAAAGTTTTTTCTTTTCTTTGACTCAATTTACTTCAACTAAAGTTCACAGTTTTTACATATGTTCTGTGGGAAGTTGAACTAATTAACCACAAAAACATCTTTTTACCCATCTTCACCGATGGTGCCAATAACTGTGGAGCTGACTATAAAAAGTCCAAGTTTATTATGTTGAGATTTAATGGCAAATTAAGTGAAAGTGTGTTTCCTTTGCAGTTCCTATTCACTGGTACTCACATGCAGGATGACATTGCTACTGAGGCCTATGAGGATGAGCTGGATATGGGCCGGTCCGGTTCTTACCTGAACAACAGTATAACTTCAGCCTGGAGTGAACACAGTTTGGACCCTGAAGACATTAGAGTGAGCTTCCCATGCTCGTGTTTATCCATAATGATTTATTAAGTTGTATTCAATAGAAAAAAATCATGACAATACGATGAACCACTTTCTGATTTGTACATTCTGATTTTTACTGTTTGTTACTGTTCAAAATATTTGGAGTCACTTGCAATATTACTTTTTTATTATTGTGTGAACAATAATAATTTCTGTAATGTAGATTTTAACATTACAAAATATCAACATAATTTATTTTCAAATGTTATTCGGTATTTCAAGAATTTAACAAAATGATAATACACTGTAATTACCTCTTTACATTAACCCCTTGAAATCCCAGGCTTATTACATATTAAGGCTTATTACTCAGTAACAACAGGGACTTCAGTGCAAACTGGCTGAGCCATTCTTTTAGAAATGTGTAATACAACTTTGGGCCCACCGGTGGGCTCTGGCCATTTAAGCGGCTCATTTTTGTCAAGTCTGATTTGATATTATTCATTGTTTTACAGCTTCCTAGTGTACAACTAATTATTTCAAATCTGTGGAGTTGCATAGGACTAGCATATTAGTTTCATACACTTATTTGCAATCAATCTGGTTTAATATAATTGAAAACACTGATTCCAAACTCTAGAACAGTGATTCCAGACTTTTGAATAATAGTTCAAATAAGCAGAAACACTCTTAAAATGTAGCACCCAACTAATCTACATCAATTGTATGTTTTTTTCTGCCTAGGAGGAGTTAAAAAAGCTCTATGGCCAACTAGAGATCTATAAGCGGAAGAAGATGCTAGCCAATAACCCTCATCTCCAAAAAAAACGCAGTTCCAAAAAAGGCATTGGACGTTCTCTCATGCGGCGCATCACAGAAATACCAGAGACGGTGAGCCGTCAGTATAGTCGTGAGGACAGGGACGGAAGTGAACATGGCAGCAATCGCAGTACCCTACGGAGAAACCCATTTGAGCCTTCCCACAGCGGGAAGTCCAGAGAGGAATCTCTGAAGAACAGGGTGTTCTCCCTGAAGAGGTCCCACAGTTATGACCATTCGCACGATCAGGGCGAAACTGCAAATGGGGGTCCAGCAGACAAATTGGAGAACTCAACCACAGAGTCATCTCTGCTGGACACCTTGATGGGCAGAAGGTCTGCAAAGAAAAATCCTGAGGTGCCAAAGGTGGAGCCTGCTGAATCTGCTGAGTCAGTACCACTGGTGTGCAAGTCTGTTAGCGCACACAACTTAGCAGCAGACAAAAAGCCTGTGCATCTCCGGACCTCAATGCTACAGAAGTCTTTAAGTGTTATTGCCAGTGCCAGGGAGAGAACATTGGGGCTTGCGGGAAAGACCCACAGCGTTGAGGATGCCAGCAAAAAAGGCCTCAAGACCCGAGACACCAGAATGCTTTCAGAGGTAGATGAATCACCTGAATGCTTTCCAAAGATGATCATCAGCCAATCTGTCGAGTACACCAAGACCCCAAGCAAAATGGGTATCATGAAGCAACAAGTGAGCGGCAGTCAACCTTCCATTTGCTCTGAGCCAGGAAGGAGCAAGGACCTGTATGACCTTTCTGAAGTTTGCCCATGGGAAATGGAAGACTTGCCCACTCCATCAGAGGGGAAGGCCCAAAAACATGTTTCAATTGCACCAAGTGAAACCACCACAATCCACGGGAGCAGCTACAAAAGTGGACGGTCTCAGCACAAACAAAAGACGACGATCCAGTCTCCGTCAAACCGGCGCCGCTCCAGAGACAAGGGTAGCACAAGGGAGGAAGAGAGCGACAAGCATGAGGGAAGAAAGCCCAAATCACCTCTTAAACTGACCGCCCACAAAGGAGATGTTTGCCCTTGGGAATTTGAGGATCCATGTTCCAAAGGATTGGAGTCTGAGATAACCAGCCGCAAGAAAAGTGTTACCCCAACAGATGGAAATCCCAAGATGATCCTCTCCGACATCTCCAAGTCAACTGGAAGTCTTCTGCAGCCTCCAGCGCTCATGGTTGAGATTTGCCCTTGGGACTATGATCAACCTCCTTCCCCTAACCAGGAGAAGACCTCCAGCCCCACACACCATTCAAAGAGAAGGGACTCTAACGCGAAGAGAAAAGGTTCCTGCTCGTCAAAGGTGAAAGGGAAGGATAAAGAGGACGATAAACAAAGACCCAAAAGCAAGGAGAGGAGAAGCTCTTCAAGCAAACCTTCAGAGAAACGTCGCATCAGTCAAACATCAGATAGCAGCCAGGCTACCATGACAGCATCTGGTAGGAGGAGGAGCTCAACAAGGGAGGTTGGGATCACTGACAGTAAACGTGCTGAAGCATGCCCTTGGGAAACGGAGTGCGTGCCGAGTGTCACCTCAAGGGACAAGCACTCCTCAGATAGGGACAACCACACACCTTCTCAAACAACAACAGCAGCAGCTTCCGCAGCCAGTAAACTCGACATGGCTGAGGTGTGCCCGTGGGATTTCAGTGCATGACACTTTCGCACACATTAACCTTTTTGAAAAGAGCTGTTGAATTTTACTTACAGCGTGAAGCTCTCCAGACTGGGTTTCTGAGGCAACTGAAGGTGACGTGGACGTTACATTTGAGGAATTGCCTTATGTTACCTCTCGTTTCGTTACAGTTTTTAAAGCAGAACACTGTTCATCCAAAAATGCAAAACAAACTGCTGAAATATGTTTGTGTTGTTTTTAGGAACATGTTGCATCCTGATGATTGAAAACCACAACCTAATTCACTGGTACTTTGTTTACATGCACTTTAAGAAATTTGAAGGGAAAGCGTCTTGAAAAAATGGTCCAAGGTTCAAGGCAATAACCAATACCCTGAGTTTTGGACTTGTAGATTATTATTATACTCTAAAAACTGAAACATGAGTTGGTTTCTAAAAATGGCTGCTGCATGAGCTCACAATCTCTGAAACTGGTGAGGCCAACATACCTGCTACCCTTCCTTCAGCTTTATAGTGAATCAAGTGGAAGGGTCACCATTTTGTTGTTCTAATTTCACAGGGTGCACTTATAAATGTAGTGCTTCAAACTAAATTTAATGAAACACTAACAAACTTGTATTTTTTTATTTATCTATTATTCTTTTACCCAATTTCCTCCCCAATTTAGTCATTGCCAGTTCCACCTGCTAGCTAGGTCTCCCCCTCTCACATGATGCTCCCAAATTGGTAGGGTGAAGGTTAGCAGATGCTTCTTCTGAGACCAAAGGGCCACTAGTTACTGCTACCTGCCAGCAATGCAACGTCATTGCACTGCTTTTTCTGGAGGAGAACGCTAACTGCCAATTCTGTTATCTTAGCTAATAGACAACCATGTTGGCTAGCATTGTGCTGAATTATGGGGTGGGGGGGATCCATCCTACCCTGTCTTGGACTCTCAGATGGCTGTGGCATCGCCAGGGATCGAAGTCTCACGATTAGACAGTTGCGCCATCCAAGAGTGTCCCCAAAATTCAAGGCTAATAATTTGTATTTTAAAACTGGATTTGCACAGAAATTAAGCCAAATTTTATATCTTGTTTCCAGTATTTTACAGTTTTATCATAAATGCGTCACAATCTGGTGAGCATATCTATCCTAACAATTAAAATATAGAAGTTACTTTTAAAAAATTCTGGTAAATGTTCACAATTAATTTTCCCACAAGAGTTTTCAATTATTGTCATACTCAACAGTTGTTCCACTCAATAGAAAAATGCATGAATGAAGATGAAATAGTGTAAAATATTTCTCCCGTTCTGAATCTTCGGAGGCAAATTAGGACAAAGGCGATTCGGAGGGAGAGCACAACACGTTTGTTTGGGAATTGCATGAATGAGCTAATTGTTGCGTTATTGTTAATGCAGTATTGGTTTACCTTACTCAGCACTGTCTACTCCAATATGGTGGTGTGGTGATCTTGCGTCAGTATGAGCTACTGTAATAACACTTAACAATGTCACCCAGCCGGGTATTTACTGATCGCTGTATACTATCAAATAATGTTACAGTGGCTTCTGCATGACAGTAAATTAGTAGGCCTTGTCTTTCACAGCACAGTCCCTGATCATTTGGACTCTTAACTCACTGTATTACATTGTTTGTAAATGGTTGATAGTAAACTGATGCATCCAGCCTGGAACATTTCTACTGTAAATTTAAAGTGTGCTCTTCTGTGATAGCATGTACATAAAACACATCCAACCTGCAATAAACATTTCATGTTCTGATTTTAATCATGAGCCTTATGACATATATATATATATATATATATATATATTTAAGACGAATCGTTACTGTTTGACGTTTGAAGGCTTGTGTGAAGTTTTCATTAAATCCTTTAACGGGTACAACTGAACTTACATTATTATATAAATATATGGGGCAAAATCTTGACACCCACTGAAAAATATCTTCCTGTCGACAGTCTTCACTTTCAGAGGGAATGGAAATGTAGAACTGCAAATCGTCAGCTATGAAAATGTACCCGTTTCCTGCTCACATTTCCTAGAGGTAGCGTGTACAGTAAGAAGAGCAGTGGCCCTATAGCGGAACCTTGTGGAACTCCAAGGGAAACACTAAGATTCAAAGAAATAACACTAGGTTTAGATTTTATTCAGCTAAGACGCTTAATAGATCCTCAACAGAGGAGTCAGTATGGAAAAATACATATCAATTACACTTTGATATTGTTTTTATTTGAACTGATATTCATTTATATTAATTTACATTCAGGTGCATTGCCAAAGTCTGCAAAATCTGTAGGAAGGACTTCGAACAAATGAGCCAAGTTTGGATATTCAGGTCTAATTTTACTTTTAACATGGTCAGAACGGTCAATCAATGCTATGAATCATTGTGACCCATCATAGCACATTACGGACATTCATTATAGCTCAGAGAAATGTAACTGCAACACACACAGGGGAAAAATTAGAGCACTGTGCGCTGAATGTAATGAAGTTAGCTTGACTACTTAGTCAGAAATGTATCGATCGCTGTACATAACGAGCCTGCAGGTGCACTTAGAGAGGCCTTTTTCTCTGACATCCAATTGAGGAGAAATAATTGTCCAATTGAGGAGAAATAAATCAGGAAAATGGATAGTGTGTAATCAAAGCATGTTTTAAATCGTTCCTGTTGGCGTTAAGGGCCCAGTAATGAGATGACCCTACATTGGCTGGACTACAGAAGGCGAGAATGTTGATGAGACCACTCAAGAAAGCAATGCCTGAAGAAAGTGTTAGACATCCTGGCACTCACTGCATTAAAAGGCCCAGAGACTGTTTGGAAAGAGGTTTACTGCAAAGCTGCAGGCCTCCGGGTGTGTTATCCCTCCACAAATTCACACACAGCCAGAGTTCATTAAAGGCTACTTTAATGAGCAGCCAGAGTGTTGCTATTTTTGTCCGTCATCCTTTTTGGAATTGCTGTGACAATTTGCTGTTATGGCTTCCGGGATGGAAACGTAATAGAGGAGACCTCGTTTTCGATTCAGAGTCTAAATGGGTTAGAACTCAGTCACTATTGAAGGCTACAAACACGAAATTGTGTCCAAAATTGTTTTGAGAGTGGTTTCTTCTTCGTTCATTTCTCTCCACTTTGTACTTTATTCGAAGGATGCTTTAGAAAACTGAACAGTTTCTTCACAGAATGAAAAAACGCTTTGTTTATACACACTCCTAATTTGGACATACGGTCTTAGAAAAAGTCTATAATTTATTTATAACGTTTTCACAAAGTGGAGCTTCTTTAAACTTTAAAAAGGTTCGTCTCATTTACAAAAATGTCTCTTTGAAGCCCCGGGGGGACCTAAAACCACGTTTTCTTTCTAATGTGGTTAAAGGAGCACTATACGGTTCTGGAGAACAATAGTTCATATTTGAACTCAACAGCAAAAACTGTCGAAACAATTGCTGCTGCAAAGCTAACCAGTTGCCATCACAAATATCAGCAAACAGGACAAAACAATACTGACCTACTGATTCTGTGAAATACAAAAATTAGTTAATGTTGCCCACCTGTCCAGCATGAGCGACCTCCTCATCCCTTTCCATGCTTTTCAACCCTCAGTGAAGCTTGTCAGCTTCTTTTTCATCAGCTTCTTGTTCAAATTCTCCTGTTCCACCTTAAAAGATGAAGCTAGATTACATTCAGGCGCCTCAGCTTCTTGTTTGAATGTTCCTGTTCCACCTTAAAAGGTGCAGCAGCTAGACTACATGCTAGTGCCTTAGCTTCTTGTTCAAATTTTCCCATTCCACCTTAAAACATGCAGCAGTTTAGTCTACATTCTAGTGCCTTAGCTTCTTGTTTGAAATTTCACATTCCACCTTAAAAGGTGCAGCAGATAGACTACATCCAGGCTTACCCAGCAAAAGCTAACAACCAAGCGAAAACTCACAAGCATAACAGCTCATAACTACCATCTTAGCCTAGTTCTTCAAGGGTTTTTAGTAAAGAAAATAGTTCTATTTAGAACCATGAACACTCAAAGAACCCTTTGCATGATTAAAGGGTTCTTTGCATCGTGAAAAGGTTCTTTAGATTGCAGAGTGCAGTAGATGGTTCTACACAGAACATCTTTGAAAAGTGTTCTGCTATTGTTATGATGTCAAGTCTGCAACAATAGAAGAACACTTTTTTGGTGCTATATAGAACCTTTTTCAGAAAGATGCTACATAGAACCATATATAACAAATTCTCCATCAATCTGAAGAACGCTTCCACCATGCAAAGAACCCTTAAATCATGCAAAGGGTTTTTTGAGCGTTCATGGTTCTACATAGAACCATTTTCTTGACTAAAGAGCCCTTGAAGAACCATCTTTTTTAAGAGTGTAGCTCATCTGTCGACCGTTCGTCCAAGTGGTCAATGCAGCTTTCTGTGCGTGTGTAAAAGGTGGACATTGATTTTAGTGAGTGGACACAGCTACTTGCATATGTGTATCTAGAACAAGTTTCGCTCATTTATTCCTGCTTCACTCGTGCCGTTGTTTTTGGCTCTGCATTAGCAGTGTAGCAGGCCGGTAGTGTTAAGACAGGGAGCTGTCAATCAAACATGCTTATTAGAATATTAGGCCACGCCCAGGCCATCCTCAGATGAGTTTGGACCAGAGGTCAGCAACATACGGCTCTTTTACTGTACTTTTGCGGCTCCACAGCAGAATCAGAGCCTCCTTTACAGTAAAATAAAGCTCTGCTGATCGTTCAACACAGTTTAACAATAAATGGCCTTAAACTCTGGAGTTAATGTAGAACTGCTAATTCACCCTTTAACCCTGAAGATCAGCGCAGACTGCTGGTCACCATAGCAACGTGGACAACAATCTCGCCTAGCTAGTAGCTAACGAAACGGCAAAGAGGAAGATTTAAGACGAACATCAATAATTTGGAGCTGAATGGACTTATTAGTGTTTATATTCACTCCAGCTGGTTTCCTGATACGTTTAATCTGCTCTGAGAAACTGACAAACACTAAAAAGTCGCGAAGCTTAAGCTTCTCGTTTGAATTGTCCCGTTCCACCTTAAATGGCGCATCAGTTACATTCCAGCGCCTCAGGCACCATTTAAGGTGGAACGAGAAAATTCGAACAAAAGGCTGGCGAATGAGAAGCGACTTCATCATCGTAAAAAACGTAAAGAGACATTTTACAAGAAAATATTCCACTTTTGGAAAAGTTTCCTGCTGTAGAAAAAATGAGAAAAATGGCTACAGCTAAGCTAAAACTTAAGGCAGAGCAAAGTAAGTCTGCGTTTTCGTTTATATTATATTTAAGCCTATACTAGGATATTATCACATATTTGAGACGTATTTACAGCCAAGATGGTAAAATGGACATAAAATATTGTGGCTCAAAAGGTGGTTGATTATTGTTGAAAGGACAAAATGGCTCTTCTTAACATTTGGGTTGTGACCCCTGGACTAAGCGGTGTTTTTAAGCTGCCTTACTATATTCCTCTTGCTTGAGGAAAAATGGCTGTAAAATGGTTGGAGTCGTTATATAAGCGTCTCTGGCCGAGCCACGAAGGTGGTGTTGGATCTGAAGCAGCTTCTGAAAACCCCTTTGCGAGCTCCTCTCGTCAGGCTGATGAAACTGAATGTGAAAAGCAAAGGAAACAGACAGGCCAGCTGTGCACTCAGCCACCATCAAAGCAGCGCCTTAGTGGCGTTTTATAGGCACAGGAGTAAACAGTGCAACAGTGCCCCCTTGTGGTCAGACAGAACACTGGCAGGAGAGCGCAGTATGCAGTTAATATGCAGTTGTACACAAAAGCTTGTCTAAGTGTAAATAAGTGAACATATCCTGTACAGAGAACATGGTTCTGCTCATCTTAATACACAATTATTGTTTATTTGTTCAAATTTACATATTGTGGGGGGGAGTGGACCAATATAAAACGAGGTCTGTGCAAAAGTTATGGCACATTTTACACCGATCAGGCATAACATCCTTGTTTCTACACTCATTGTCCATTTTATCAGCTCCACTTACTGTATAGGTGCACTTTGTAGTTCTACAGTTACAGACTGTAGTCCATCTGTTTCTCTGATACTTTGTTAGCCCCCTTTTACCCTGTTCTTCAGTGGTCAGGACCCCCATGGACCCTCACAGAGCAGGTACTATTTGGGTGTTGGATCATTCTCAGCACTGCAGTAACACTGACGTGGTGGTGGTGTGTTAGTGTGTGTTGTGCTGGTACGAGTGGATCAGGCTGGAGTTTTTAAACACTGTGTCCACTCACTGTCCACTCTATTAGACACTCCTACCTTGTCAGTCCACCTTGTAGATGTAAAGTCAGAGACGATAGCTCATCTGCTGCTGCACAGTTTGTGTTGGTCATCCTCTAGTCCTTCATCAGTGGTCACAGGACGCTGTCGGCTGGATATTTCTGGTTGGTGGACTATTCTCAGTCCAGCAGTGACACTGAGGTGTTTAAAAACTCCAGCAGCACTGCTGTGTCTGATCCACTCAGACCAGCGCAACACACACTAACACACCACCACCACGTCAGTGTTACTGCAGTGCTGAGAATGATCCAACACACAAATAGTACCTGCTCTGTGACGGTCCATGGGGGTCCTGACCACTGAAGAACAGGGTAAAAGGGGGCTAACAAAGTATGCAGAGAAACAGATGGACTACAGTCTGTAACTGTAGAACTACAAAGTGCACCTATATAGTAAGTGGAGCTGATAAAATGGACAATGAGCGCAGAAACAAGGAGGTGGTCATAATGTTATGCCTGACCGGTGTAGATATGTGTTTAATTTTTTTTTGTTCTTCAAGGGTTCTTTTGTAAAGAAAATGGTTCTTTATAGAACCATGAACACTCAAACCTTTTGCATAATTAAATGGTTCTTTGCATCGTGAATGGATTCTTCAGATTGCAGTAGAGGGTTCTACATAGAACCTTTAAGAAAAGAGTTCTGCTATTGTTATGATGTCAAGTCTAATAGAAGAACCCTTTTGGTGCTATATAGAACCATATTTAACACATTATCGATCAATTTGAAGAACCATGTTACCATGCAAAGAGCCATTTAATCATGCAAAGGGTTCTTTGAATATTCATGGAGAGCATAATAGGGTCCTCTTTAACATAACGCTGTTATATCAATGAATAAAATTGGTCAGGGCAAGTTCTGACTGCATATATCTGCCATGACCCGTTTATGGCATGATAACGACCATGTTATGTACTGTGTAAGCAGTGTTACCGAATAAAGTGAATAAAGTGCAATTAATGCACAAACCGGAATCCAAGAGGAGCAGAAGTTTGAGTATAGAGAAAGGACGGACGCTCACACTGACTGCAAAAACAATTTTTTATTATTTTTTTTGCCAAATTTTCGTTCCACTCTAGCTGATTCCCACCATCTTTGTAGGGATACTGTAGGAACCCAAGGCCTGCCGTTACATCTTTTCAAATTATTTCTCAAAACGCAGCATCATCACATGTTCAGAGGAGAACTGACTGTGACCAACTGGACCCTCTAGCTGGACTTGCGAAGAGAAGGACCCTGCCATCCCTCGCAGCCGATCATGGTCATAGCCTGGACCCTCTGCGACGAAGGGCGTATGGCACAGCTGCGATTCAAACCCAGATTCCTTCAGGTTAACAAACGCAAACCGATCCTGCTGGAGCTGTCAACATATATATCTATCTTTATAAATAAAAAAGAACAACTTCTCCTCTGCACTTTTAAAAATCTCCCAACACATCATTGCTGACGAACCTCGAAAAATATATTCTTGGTTAATAAAAAAATGCATTGTTATAGAAACATTCAGAGGAGACGCAGGTATTAAAAAAAAAATTAATAAAAATGTTCCAAAACACTACAGCGGAGCCGGAAAAGAGAAGCTCTTCAGATTTGGACACTGTTGTCGTCGTCTGCGCTACATTCACCTTCAACCAGTTCATCTGGGTCATCTCCGAAACCAAAGCACAGTCATAGGATTATGGTTTCTCAGCCGCTCTTCTGTCAGTAGATTATACCTCACCTTTAAATCTAACCAAGTAATTAGTACTCTGACCTCTAGTGGGAGTAACAGGCCTGTTTCTCTATTAATGAGGGTGAACATCGATTCAAGTATGCTACCTCTATACAAATGCTGGGGCTTGAAGAGACAGTCTGGAATAAAATGAAATGTATACAATTTTCCCCTTTTCTCAAATTCAGTCGATCAGCAAAGACATATTTGGTGTCTGAGGTTTGCTTTGGAGACACAACGCTAATGTAGGTAAGAAGTAATGGAAGCTTATGTACACCAGTTAGCGCTGTGCCTAATTAGGGACGCCCGATTGGAATCAGCCAAGACTGGAATTGACAGATTTTTCCTCCGACCGGCCAATTATTTTGATTTTGGCTCATGTGTGTCTGACGTGAGTGAGGTTTATGCACTCATGCTGTATCTGAATGCTGCTGCTACACCTGAACCAAAATATCATAGCATAATTACACGACTCGTTGTGCTAAAACAGCCAGTCGCCTCTTATTTTCAAATCAGCACTTTATTTGGTTCACATTATTTAAATAACAAACTGATTTTTAATTTAAAATTTGCCATTTTGGCCAATTAAAGCATGAATAACGTTATGATGTAACTTTGGCTAATAGAAATTACTAGAAGTGCGATTTTCATTTAACCCACACAGTTTGATCTTCAGGATGAGGAAAGTAAAAGTCCATCTGCCAATTTGACTACAAAGAAACCAGAATTGGCCATAAAAATGAGTGCCGCACTGACACCGTATGGATATCGCCCCTGATACTGGCACTTAAGCAACACATCAGTGGTGCGGGATCTATTTCATGTTTGAGACAGGCAGTCGTTAAAAATGCTCAATGCAAAACCTGTAGAGCCAGTACTGCGAGGGGAGCAAAGATTTTAATGTTAAATTTAATTATGCATAATTAAACAAAGATAAACCGCGAAAAGACACAGCGACTTTTCATAGCTCTGAAAAAGTTATCTATGCAGGAAACGGCATTTCATATCACTGCTGTTGGAAGAAAACCTCGTATCTCCAAAATGGTAACTTTACAGGAGAAGGAAAAAACATACTTTACTTTTAATGTAAGTCAATGGAACCAGACATGCCCCTGCCCCGCCAAGTCATTTTGGGCTGTTTCTTTTGGTCCATTCATCATGAAATTTGCACACAATGTAAAGGGCAACAGGCATTTTTCAAATTATTTCACAAACTGAAAAATGTAAAAAAAAATGGAGATACAAGGTTTTCTTCCAACACTGATATGTTTTATATGTTTTTTGTTGTTATATGTTATCGTTAATTGTGAATCAGAACATTTTCAAAAAAAATAAAATATTTAAAAATTGGAGTTGTATAAATATCAGAATATATGGGCAACTATCAAGTAGACAGGCTAGACAAGGTTAGTATCGGCAGACACATGAGTATCAGGTATTGGTATCGGAAGGGAAAAAGTGGCTGATTGGTGCATCCCTAGTGCAAACTGCACACCTACATCACACATTCACCTCAAACTGTGTATAGTTTTTAAGAAATCTTTCATAGACTTGTTTAAGTAGTTTCTGACACTGTTATCTATAAACAAAGACAAAACTGGCTTTAAGACAGCTGATACTTTATAATTGTGTTTTGTAAATTGGGAAAAATTGTGTACATTTGATCTTTCACAGCCTACTGAAGCCTAAATTTAGTTTTTATTAATTTTTATAGACAACATATGTCTTACATAAATAAGCTCCCTTTACTTAGCTTCATTAGCCCTGCAGCTCCAGTGCCAACCTGAAGAAGCAAACTTCAGACACCGAACACGTCTCGGCTTTCAGGTACCGGAGAAAACTGTGTAAACCTGACTTTCACCAAACTATCACTCTAAAATCTACCGCTGTTACTGCTCTTTTCCAACCTAACTGTAAAATGATCCCTGGTCATGTTTCCAAGTTCACAAGGCGAAGGTTCCAGGCACCTCGGCACCCGTACAGCCGCCCAGTCACATGATATCGACGAAGAACTCCCCATTGGCGGTGCTGCAGGAGCGGCGGGAGCTGGTGAGCTCTGAGGGTACGTGGGCGAGGTGGCGTCCCGAGGGCGACCCCGGTGCACCTCGAGCCACTCCGTGCATGAGGCTATAGGTGTGTGAGCGGGAGCTCCGCACGCTGCCCTCGCTAGGGGGCGCGGCTGAGCGCTCGCTGGCCGCTCGCTCACGCCGGAAGTCGAACTCTGAAGCGTCCCCAGTCTCATTCGCCCCGGCCAGCCTGAGGTCCGCCGGTCCTGCCCTCCCCTCCGTCCGGCTCCAGCTGCAGTTCGAACCGCTGCTCCCTGACGCAACACAAAACATACCCGTTTGGGTTTTTCAGTATGCAGCAGAAGACATGCATAGATATGGAATTTAATAATCCCTAACATGGCATATCAGTGACAACAGATGTAAACATTTATATTATTTTATTACCAGAATAAACATTCAAACATGAACGTAATATTATGAGCCTTGCTAAAGGACAGGTGTGGTTGTGTTATCCACTAGGCTATCCATCCAAGTGAAACATTTGCAAACTTTTCTTGTAAAAGAACAAAAATGGCCAGTTATCTACTGTAATTACCAGCTTTAACTTAAGCTTCACTTCAGATTTGCATCATTAAATGATACACTGGCTGCCAATATTGTGCACCCATAATGGTAAAGGCTTACTGAACAACACAATCACTCTGACCTTCTGGAAGTCATCTTGAAAGAATGAGTTACATTCCAACAGCACATACCAACATACACTACATGGCTCAAAGTATGCAGACAAAGTGTGCGTGCAATATATCAAAGTTGGGAAACTTGGAATACATACTCTACTTTTAGAAGCAACTAACTTAAAAATCACATACACAGCTCTTTTAGGTAATAAACGGCTTCGTTTCCCATGGATGCATTCATAACAGTTTCTTTCCTTTCACAGTGATGCACCAAACAGCTCTGAGTGCTCACAGCTCCCTCTCATGGAGAATCTGAATTATGTCTTAAACCTTTCCATCTACACAGCAGTTAATACTTTCCACATTTTTTCATGAAGAAATCATTATCATTCTTCTGAGCACTGATTGCTAAGAAACATCTGCTTTGCAGCTAACCGAGGATGTTTACACTGTGACGGCAGAACAATTTAAACTGGAATTAGCCAGAAACAAACAGAATGGGCTGTGAAATGAATCACAAACTGACTGGAACAAGACGACATTCAGGACGTCCTGGCCAGTACCGAAGTACTGAAAAAACTGAGCTCAACTAACTTTGCTCTGTGACAGCACGGTACAGTTGGTTTTGTATTGGACGTCGTTGGATATTCCACTTTCTCTCCTTAATTTCTGATGAAATTAACTTCTTAAAATGAACAAACATACATTTTCAAAAGACAGACTACAAAACAGCAACCAAATATATTTTAAAAAACGTCCATTGTTAGTTTCACCGAACCGCTCAGAAACACAGATGAAAGACCCTTTAGTCATTAAAAAGTGCATGAAGTGGGGCGCCCTTCAAATCACGTCAAATCACTTGTAGTAAACAGAGTGGCTTCCTTTAAGCCCCCTACAAATCAAAGTTAAGTGAAGGTGCTAAATACATGGGAAATGTGTTATGTAATGTTCAGATGGTGCCTTAATGATTAAACAGTTGTTAATTAGCTTTTCTCAAACATGTTCAGTGAAATTTAATGATGGACATTTTTAAATACATTTGGCTGTTTGTTCTGTCTTTCAGGAGAGAGAAAAAGTAGGTTTGATCATTTTAGCATGTTTATTTCATGAGAAATGGAGGAGAGAAAGCTGAATATCCAGCGAAAGTCCAATATAAAACCAACTTTACCGCACTATCCCTGACCCAAAAGGATGTCACTTCTTTGGTGAAAGAAACTGCCAATATTGAAGCATATTTGATATAATATTAGAGATGGCTTACTTTTATTTATTTTGCAGAACTGTTGCATAAAAGCAACAGAACAAGGTTGCGCATTATCACGAATAACATCACAGCTAAGTTGATCTGCTGTACTTGCCTACAGGTACTATACTCGCAGTACAAGATAACACACTCGCTACTGTATTCTACTGCTTTAATACAGCTCGTATTATATGTGCCGTTTTATCTTAAGAGGAGACTCAGTGTTAGCTGCTCATGCTGCTCATGCTGCCACGTTTTCTGCTTTTCTGTGTTTAACAAACTTACAAATCTGTCTGTTTGACCAGAGGATGATGATCACCTGAGAGTCAAGTCAAGTGACTTATTAGTCCCACAACAGGGAAATTTCAACTCCACATTTAACCCACCCGTGCAGTGAAACACCACATACACACTAGTGAATGCACACTTGCTCGGAGCGGTGGGCAGCCCTATCCACAGCACCCGTGGCGCAGTTGGGGGTTAGGTGTCTTGCTCAAGGGCACTTCCGTCATGTCCTGTCGGCTCAGGGGATCGAACCGGCGACCTTCCAGTCAAAAGGCTGGTTCCCCAACCTCCAGCCCATGACCGCCCCCATCACCTGAGAGCATCAAAGCACAAATAAACAGGACGCCCTACCTTCGCTGTGCTGGCTGCCGGGACTGCCTCCTCCTGCCTCTGAATACGCCTGCGGTCCATCCTGCAGTGAGTGGGGAGCGGGGTACTGGTAGGGGAAGCTGGGCCACGGAGCCTCGGCCGGGTGGAGCAGAGGAGCGAGAGTGTCCTGATCAGAAGCCCCGCTGGAGCCATCGTGGTCGTGCAGGGAGAGGTGGGCCATGTCTGAAACACAGGACAGCAGGGGGGGCTTCTTTTAATGTTTGTTTGTGTGCGTTTTCATACGTCATCAGAACAAAATTCTCCAGACTTTGTAGGAAAAACAATGAAAAACATTAATGCTGGTCTATTAGAGGTTTCTGAACAACTCAGCATGGTCGGAGCCAAGTGTGTGATGATTAAGGTTTCCAGTTAGCACGATGCTAATTGGTGGGTCTAACATTTCATCACTACACAGCTCCACTCCAAAACTAAAAAAAGCAACTGAGGGACTCACTGCCAGAGAGGTCTCCGAACACGTAGTAGCACTGCTCGGAGAACGTGATTTTGTTGACAGTGTGGCGGATGAAACCGGCCTTCAGCAGGTTGCTGGCGTATTTACGCGCTTCCCGCCGATCCGCAAAGCCCTCCACATGGTGGAAGAGCCAGTCCACCACATCTGACCCTGAGTGGACAAAACAGACAGACTGATTCAAACCATTAATTAAAAATAAAGGCAAATCCACAAAATCCAGTGTTCACTTGAAGCACTTCGCTCAAAAAGTGATAAATCCAAATTTATAGCAAAAAAAGCATAAAATTACTCTGGAAGAATTTTATATGAGAACATTAGTTGTGTTCAGAATGATGAATAGAGCTCTAGATGACCCCATAACACAATGAAGTTCTAATAAAATAAATATCCAGAATTATATTTTCATAAAATAATCATCCAGAATTCACTCATTTGAAAAGTGCTAATTCAATCTCACAAGACATCTCTACAAATCAATAAATCTCTATAAATATATAATTAAACTATATTAATAATCTAAAAACTACCGAATAAAACATCCTTCACGTGTCTTGTTTATAATTTTCCATCTTCAATGAAATTATTATGGAATAAAATTAAGCGATTCCAATTTTTTGAACTATAAAATCACCCCCAGAGTAAACAGCAGTGGACTGGTTTTACCTATGAAGGCGTTGGCTATGGTGATTTTCAGCCACATCCTGTCTCGAACCTCCAGCCCTGAGTCAGGACAGGCCATTGCCTTGGCTACTGTTGCCATGTCGCTGTGCACGGACAGGTGGTAGTCGTCAAAACCTGAGGAGGAAAAATAAAAAGTAGTTAATTTGAGAAGGGAAATGAAAAGAAGTCCAAAGCAAAACTGGAAGAAGGAAAAACACCACAGGAAAGGAAAAATTTGCTCAGGGAGCTCATGAAGATTTTTTCCCCTGCAAGAAAGTGAAGCCAGAAACGTTCTGAACCCATAAGCCTCACTTAAATCTACCAGTAATGCAAAAAAGAGGGGAAGACAGGAATTTAAGTAGAAAATATGAAAATAAAAAAATATCAAAAGTGTGAAAATGCAACACAAAAAGTGAACCGAAGCAGCTACAGATCAAAAATACAACAGCCTAGTTTTAAATTGGTAAGGAAAAGCCAAAATCCAGCCTCTAATGTCGACTCCCTGACAAAACCGTTAAGTGTCTCGCACATGGAGCACCGCACTTTTTAAACATTCTCGTTATTGTCTGGTCAGTTTAGACAGTAAATAATCTCTGCCCCTTACGTTCGGTCTCAGGGATGGAGCTGGAGATGGAGGAGCTGGTGGAGGTCACTGTGCTCATGGAGGGGCTCATGCCGTACGGGGGGTAGATGCCCGTCATGGCTGCGGTGTGGGACACCCAGGCTGCAGGGTCGATCGGTCGGATGGGTTCACCTGAAAAAGAAAGAAAGCACCAGGAATATTCAGAATGTCTCAATCTACACTCGTTAAAAAAAAGATGGTTCTTCAAGGGTTCTTTAGTAAAATAAATGGTTCTATAAAGAACAATGAACACTCAAAGAACCCTTTGCGTGACTGAAGGGTGCTGTGCATCATGAAAAGGTTCTTAAGAATGTGCTGTAGTTGGTTCTATACCAAACAATTTTAATAAGTGTTCTATATAGCACCCAAAATTGTTCTTCTACTGTTATAAGCTTGACACTGTAACTATAGAAGAACCCTTTCGGGTGCTATATAGTGATATATATCGACCAGAGGAGGATGGGTTCCCCTTCTGAGTCTTGGTTCCTCTCAAGGTTTCTTCCTCCTGATCTTAGGGAGTTTTTCCTTGCCACTGTCGCCAGGTCATAGGGGTTTGGACCCGGATTTTTCTTTCTGTAATACTGATTTTTCTGTAAAGCTGCTTTGTGACAACATCTGTTGTAAAAGCACTATATAAATAAACTTTGCTTGCTTGCTATATAGAACCCTTTTCAAAAAGGTTCTATACAGAACCATCTAAAGCACATTCTTAAGAACCATTTTATGATGTTCTGATACCATTTCGAGTCCTTTAGTCTCAGTATCTGCAACAGAGTTTGATCCGATATTTGTCTTGTAGCTATGACAACCAGAGAGAGCAATAAAGTTCGTAAAGCTAATCTAGTTTAGATAAAACACAATAGGCTGCCAGTAAATACAGCAGTAAAATCCCTTCATGTTCAGTATCTACACAGAATGACAGACAGTGGTCTGTTTCGCTCATTGGGACTACTTTTACCAAAATGACCACATTATGGAGTCTAGCTGCTCTAACATGTACTGTTCTTTTCTCACAGCCTTGAATGTGCTGTTAATCTTACCAGTCATGGTTACAGTGAAGTATAACCACCTACAAAAGGACTGTGGTTTAACTGGTGACACTATTTTTGGGAGATCCCCAGGGATGCCGCAGCCTGTAGCCTGGAGACCAACTCTCTCTCTGTGGGTGAATAGGATGGTCTCCCCTCTCCTCCCATCACTAAGCGCAATGCTAGGGTTTGGATCTATGTGGTTTTTCTTATAGAAATGAAAGGAACCATTTCAAACATATCTGAGGGAGTGTCTTACTTTGTTTCAATGTAACACATAAGCTTGCAACGACGACCTGTATTCACACACCTGTGACCACCTCACGGCAACTGAAGTCTGTATTACTGCGTTAAGTCACTAAACCCCTTGTGCTGTTAATGGAATAATCCTTGATTATTCACTGAACTGCCTGGTTCAGTTTAAAGGGGCTGGCGACTTATTTTCTTAATCAGAACTAGGCTGACCAGATAGCTAAGAAGCTAAAACAAAGCTAAACAACTCCTCCACTAATCCTTCAGCCCTCATTCATAAGAGCCAAAGTAAGTCGTTTTGTAATTAAAGTTCACACTCACTCCTGGGCAGAGCGAAACAGCTGTTGGGGTTCGGATCCCAGCACTTCGCTACCGTCAGAGAGACAGGTCTGAAAAAACACGCACACAATAGGAAAGACACAAAATAAAACAGGATAAGTATCTATACAGACAGAACCGCAGCATGTGATTACTCTCTGAAATAACGCCACGTGTGACTCACCCGGGCTTGTGCACGATGTCCCTCAGCACTCGGACTGCATCGTCATTGCACATGTTCTCGAAGTTAATATCATTTACCTGCAAAAGGAAGATCAGTGTTTGAATTACGCTGTAAGAGTAAAGTACTTGCTTTTTCCTGGTGTGAAGTAGTGTAATGCACTACAGTTTAAATTCTTGTAGTCACACAACATTTAATGACTTAAGAACTAACAATTGCGTTACTTGTGTTACTATATAGATTGTCTACAACATGGTTTTCAACCTGTGGGACATGGGCCCCAAGTGGGCTGTGGTGGTACTGTTAGGGGGCCTATGGCCATCAGTTTTTTTGAAAATGCAAAAATTCCAAATAGCATTTTAAATATGACGGTTTTTGATTATTTGGAAAAATAAACGTTTGTGTCAAACTCATTGATTGTTCAGGCAAAATACTAGCCAGTTATATTTTCAGTGCAAGTCAAAGTTAAATGCTTCACTGAGACTGAGGCTGGGCCATCTACAAGCGAAGAGGCCACCGTATCTTCGACTTAGAAAACCGACAAGACCAAGCATAAATCGAAACGAAGAAAACACAGCAGTGAGGACATGCGCTGGACTTCATGTGCATGAGAACTGAAAACTACCGCTCTGTCGAGTTTGCTAAGGTCTTTTCAAATGGAGCTTTGAAACCCAACAATTTACACCATCTCACGGAGACTAAACAGGCAAACAGGTATCTAAACCTGTCGAATTGAGACAGCTTTGTGTAGCTTTCCTCTCCAGCCTGACATCCAGTAGCTGCCAATTAAGATCAGCTCTCATTAGGCAAAAAACAACCAGATCGGCTAAATATTGTGGGCCATGGAAGCTTCTGAGGTCGTTTGTGCAATGGAATTACAATGTCATGTTAGTGTCAAGCTAACATAACATTGGTGCCACATTAATAATAAAATGTTTTTTTTTTGTTTTTTTTTTTAATACAAGCATGGTGGCAAGTTACATACAGGACATTCTAAAGCAAAACTGTACACCAAAGAAAACTTAACCAATATTTTATAATTAGCAACGTTTTATACGAAAACTCTGAAGACACGCCTCCTTCCGGCTTGTAAATAAAACGACTATTTTAGACATTGCGAGCCCTGGTACCTATCAGCACCACTGTAAAGAAATGAACCACATGACTCTGAATGACTTTGTTTTCATCTCAGTGATTAAACTATGCACAAATTGAAATATTGGTGGAATTAATCAAGGTTAACTAAGATAATCTATACAGCTAGATGCAAAGTAATAAGAATATCTAATACAGTCATGACTATCACTTTGATCATCTTTCCATATCTGTGCTCTTTTTTTTTGCATGGGGGTCAAAAGGCCAAGCCCCGCCCTCACCTGCAGCAGCATGTCTCCAGGTTCGATTCGTCCATCAGCCGCCACAGCGCCGCCCTTCATGATGGAGCCGATGTAGATTCCACCGTCGCCTCGTTCGTTACTCTGCCCGACGATACTGATGCCCAGGAAGTTATACTTCTCTACAATAAAAGGAGAGAGAGAATGAGATGAGGCGAGGGAGCGACACACTACAGGTAAGATTAGAGTTCATTCTTTAATTAGAAAAGGCAGATTCTTAACTTTCAATCCAGACCACATTTGTGTTTGTAAATAGGAGATATTTTACTATGATTTGAATTTGATGAAAAATTATTGTTGTGTGTGTCTTTTGTGGAAAGAAAAAGCTTTAACTTTATATTTTTGCCACATTTCTGCTATTTTTTTGACATTAAAAAGACAGAAAAGTCATAGGTGAAGACTCAGACCTGCCAATGAAGAATGTACATAACAAGAATAGTAATAGTAATAATAATAATAATAAAAAAATTAAGGCAAAATGGGAATGTTTCCCTATCCTACAGTGAGCTTGTGAGATTATATACTACACTGTTTATCTATTATATATATCTATTATCTATTAAAATGATTATATATTGTATAGTCATCTCAATGCACACAGATGGGAAATACTCACCCATGTTTAAAGTGACAGTGATTATATTCAGGGACATTGTGGAGTCTGTGATGCTGCTGAAAGATGAAGACTAGAAAGAAAGACAAAAAAAAGCGAGAGCACATCAGCTTGCACACGTCTGTTTGAATTACATTTCTACACTTGAGTATTTTCCTCCACTGCCTCACCCTCTCCATGTGATGAGCTTTTGGTTTCCGTCGCCGACGGCGATGTCGTCTCATCAGGCGCGAGGAACCGCTCTGCTCCGTCACACTGCTGAAGCTGCACGTCACAGAATAACACATCACATCACTGCTCGCTACCATTTCACCCTGACTTTGTCAAAGACTGACATGAGTATCAGACGGTGACGGTGTTACCTCAATAAGTAATGTCACGACTAACTTTTCTAGGCAGATCACAGATATTAATACTCAAAGAACACCGACCAACTGCATGTATCATAAAAAAAAAAAATCTTAAGTGCTATGGATAACTGGTCCTGTTTAATGGGATGCAGTGATGCACACTGTGGGTAAAAGAAATCTGTTCCAACTGATCATGATGATTAATTTATTGAGGTTTGATATGTACTGTGTATCCCAAAATAATCAAGTATCATTTATATATTATAAACACATTTTATGATTAGCGATTGTGAAATGCGTAACACCCTAGCAACCACCTGGAACACCCCTGCAACAACCCAGCAACAACCCATCAACTGCCCAGCAACAACCCATCAACTGCCCAGCAACACCCTACCAACCAGCTGTAAAAGCAAATAAACCTCAGCAACCACCTAAGATACCACAGCAATTGCCTAGCAACGCCTTAAGAACCAATTGGAATGCCATGTCAACCACATATCAACAGTCTAAGATACCACAGCAACCACCTATAATATAGCAACAGCCTAGCAACAGTCTAACAACGCCCTACCAACCACCTGTAATAGCACAGAAACCACTCAGCAACCACCTAAGATACCATAGCAACGGCCTAGCAATACCTTAGCAACCACCTGAAATGCCATGTCAACCACATAACTGCCAGAGATACCATACCAACCACCTATACAACAGCAAAAGCTTAGCAACCACCTAGCAACTACCTAGCAACGCCCTACCAACCACCTGTAATAGCACATAAACCTCTCAGCAACCACCTAAGATACCATAGCAACTGCCTAGCAATACCTTAGCAACCACCTGGAATGCCATGTCAACCACATAACTGCCAGAGATACCAAACCAACCACCTATACTACAGCAAAAGCTTAGCAACAACCTAGCAACTACCCAAACTACCACAGAAACCACCTAGGGAATTGCTTAAGCTACACAATCATTGTGCATTTTCTTCAGGAATTTTCCCTTTTCTTGTACCATATTTTATAATTTCGCCATCAACCCAAACGTCTAGGATTTACTGTCATCTTTAAACATGACCAGTGGTTTTAATGACCATCACACATGAACACCGCATAGCTAAAACAGTAGCAGACATCTAGAAGCCTGAATTTTCCTTCATAGTGTCATAAACAACGCAAGTCTATTTGAGATTCCTTTACAGTTTGAGGCCAGATTGTGATGATTTAGGCATGTAGTTATCACCACGCTAACTATGGGGGACCAGATTTGCAAAAATGAAAAATAAATAAAATAAAAAATAAACGACTTAGTAAATGAATATATGAATTAGAATTGCAAAGAATAATGATAAATCTACATAAAAATAAATGTACATAAATTAATATATTAATAAATAAAACCTTACATAAATTAATATGTCTGCATTTACTTATGTGTCTATGTAGTAATTTCCCCTCCTCACTAATTTTTGTATTTATTTATTTTTTGCAATTTATTTGTTTCAATCAATGATGTCACGGCGTCTTAATATTCCTATTGGTTGATTGATATCAGATTCTGTAGATCGACTGTTCATGTCTTGCTCTCTCAGCGGTAACTAAGGACAAGACAGTACAGTAACGGCTTCTTACAGCAGCAGACAGTCAGAGATCTGTGAGTCTCGGCTGATCTGGCTGAAAATGCAGGTATGGATTATTTACTCTTTCGTCTGGAGGCTGTGGAGGACAGTGTGGTACATTTTTTTGCATCGGCTGATGCAGAGTTCAACCCCGTAGTGTTCAGAACTGTGGAGGAGGTGGTTCATCGTCAACACGCCCCCCTCATTATCATATGAACGAAGAAATACAGAATTAAATAAATAAATTAATGAAAAAATTAATAAATGAATTAATGCACAAATAAATAAATACATACATGAATAAAATAAAGCGAACAACCATTAAATTTGGATATGGAAAAAATATAAATATTAAAATATAAATAAATACATTGAAAAATATATAACTTCAGAAAAAGAAAATGTGTATAATTACAATCAAAATAAGCAATATATACTTTATTTGGTTATTTTTATTGATTTATTTACTGAGCCATTTATTGTTTTATTTTATTTACTTTTCATTTTGGCAAATCTGGTCCACCATATACTATAAGGTTCCATTATTTATTAGTACTGTATGTAGCGGGGGAGAAACGTTAACATTTTTATGTAGTAGACCAAACGTTTAATCGAAAAAAGAAAAAAATGGTTTTCCATTATATGAGCCTGTTATATTCCATTACACTGCTTTAAACGTTCTGATTTTGTTCAGGCACTGTACTGAAATCGGTACACACTTACTAACTGCCCTGCCTGGCCAAACACTTTCGGTCCATCTATTAGGCTTTGACTGTGCTTTACTGTGCAGCCTCTCAGTTGAGGGAGAGGACCATCTGTGTACGACTCGACACCAAACACAACAGCTGCTCTCAGTGGAGGCCTTGGACCCATCAGAGGAGCAGAAACCTCAAAGCAGACCACACAAGCCTGACTAAACCGCTCAGCCCAGAAAACCCACTTCATCTACACATTTTCAGAGTTAGTGAACTTCAGATCCACCTACCTGGTAGCTTTCATATCTTAGAATAAACCATGCTTGATATATATATATACTAAAATAAACATTAAAACACAACAACATACATACTGTTCACTTCTCACTCCACACACTGCATATATGAAAACTAAGCTACAAAAACAGCCCGTTATGAATTCACTGTTTTTGCGATGCCATAAATTTATTTGTATATAAATTAATTTATATCTATCCACCTATGCGGCCTAAAGCAGTTCAGCTCCACTTACTATACAGGTGCAGTTTACAGCACTGCAGTAACACTGACGTGGTGGTGGTGTGTTAGTGTGTGTTGCGCTGGTCTGAGTGGATCAGACACAGCAGTGCTGCTGGAGTTTTTAAACACCTCAGTGTCACGGCTGGACTCAGAATAGTCCACCAACCAAAAATATCCAGCTAACAGTGTCCTGTGACCACTGATGAAGGACTAGAGGATGACCAACACAAACATCTGCAGCAGCAGATGAGCTATCGTCTCTGACTTTACATCTACAAGGTGGACTGACAAGGTAGGAATGTCTAATAGAGTGGACAGTGAGTGGACACAGTGTTTAAAAACTCCAGCAGCACTGCTGTGTCTGATCCACTTGTACCAGCGCAACACACTAACACACCACCACCACGTCAGTGTTACTGCAGTGCTGAGAATGATCCACCACCCAAATAGTACCTGCTCTGTGAGGGTCCATGGGGGTCCTGACCACTGAAGAACAGGGTAAAAGGGGGCTAAGAAAGTATGCAGAGAAACAGATGGACTACAGTCTGTAACTGTAGAACTACAAAGTGCACCTATATAGTAAGTGGAGCTGATAAAATGGACAATGAGTGTAGAAACAAGGAGGTGGTCAGAATGTTATGCCTGATCGGTGTAATTAGTGTTTCAGCCTGGATTACTTCATGATTCACAACACAGGGAAGCCAATCAGAACAGAGCTCATTCACACATACATCTCTTAAAGCCATGCCTGTTTAATTCTATATAAAAGCAATGTTAGAAAACGGTCAAGTAAAAATTAATGTTCCTCAGGGAACATAAATAAAACGTTAAAAAGATATGGGCTCTCTTTATTTCCATTATATTACCACAGTACATTATACTTCACTGTGATTTCGACTACCCTCACCAAAATTAAATTCTAATCAAAATAATTTTCTGTTGGTGCACATGAACACCCCGACTCATCGAACAGGGCTGGATGTCCCGAAAGCTTAGCAGAGAGATGATTCTTAAATGGTAGAGGTAGTATCACACTAAACACTCCCTCTTGCAGTTCAGATGATCCTAATTCTAAGATGCTTTTGGGAAACCCAGTCCAAAATACTAAAGCACACAACTAAACGTCATTTGGCTCATTTAATTATTGCATCTTTTCTGTGAAGTCCATGCAAAAACCATTATGATAACAATTTGCAGTGGTAGCTTGCGGCCACTTTCTCTGAAGTGCTGCCAGTTTGAGTAAAAGCTGTATCGTGTTCTCTGACTCATTACTTCTGGCACCACAACTCCTGAACTTCCAGTCTGTTCACTCAGCTCAGCTAAAAGAACATTCAGTCCCAACTGTAGACCAAACACCAACTGCGATAACTGATTTCTACATTATATGTAGTATACAGAAAGTGGCCAAGTTGAGTAGACAATGCATACATGGAACTGGTCAATTTTTCTGTATGGTGTTGATGGACGCTATGGTGAATGCTCAGCTGAAGATCAAGCTGGAGTTGACATTTAAGGCTAGTAAACAAAGCAGCTCCTCTACTGGAGCGTCTCGGCTGTTCTTTTGAGAAATATGAGGAAATGAAACAGTTAACAAAAGCATAAAACAAAAAGTCTCAGACAAAATGTTTGTGTGCTGAGCAGGGCTTCTAAACTGTGTTGAATAAATCAAGTCTTGGTGTTGCTCTTTGAAATCCAGAGCACAGCGGCGCAGCAAATGCAAACATTTGTTCATGTGCTATTCCTAAGTGGGACCGTTGGGAGACCCCAGGAAAATCCAAGACTGGAAACCAGACTGAAGGTCTGGACTTCGTAATCGCTGATAGCTGTGACTCTAGGTTGACGATTAGTTATGTCAGTTCAGTTAATTAACAGCAAATATGAAATCCAGGACCGGAACCTTTCTAGAACCTTTCCCCCATTCATACTATTCTAAAACCTTTCCTTCCCCCCCATTCACACTGTTCTCGAACCTTTCTTCCTCCAATTCACACTGTCCCAGAACGTTTCTTCCCCCCTTCACACTGCCCTAGAACCTTTCTTACCCAATTCACACTGTTCTAGAACATTTCTTCCCCAATTCACACTGTTATAGAACCGTTCTTTCCCAATTCACACTGTTCTAGAACATTTCTTCCCCCAATTCACACTGTTATAGAACCGTTCTTTCCCCATTCACATTGTTCTAGTACCTTTCTTCCCCCAATTCACACGGTCCTTAAGTGTTCTCCCATTCACATTGTTCTAGAATGTTCACCGCATTCCCACTGTTCTAGAATGTTCATTCTCCATTTACACCGTCCTAGAATGCTCTCCCCATTAACACTGTTCTGGAATCTAATCTTGTTCTCCTCCATTCACTGTTCTAGAATTCTCTCAGCATTCACACTGTTTTAGAATCTTCCCTCATTCACACTGTTCTAAAATGTTCTCCCCCATTCACACTGTTCTAGAATCGTCGCCCTCCATTCACACTGTCCTAGAATCTTCTCCCCTCTGCCACACTGGTCTAGAGTGTTCTCCTCTATTTGCTGTTCTATAATGTTCTCCTCATTCACACTGTTCTAGAATCTTCTCCCCTTTACCACACTGGTCTAGACTGTTCTCCATTTGCTGCTCTAGAATCTTCTCCTCCTCATTCACACTGTACTAAAACGTTCTTCCCTCATTCATACATATAGTTCTCTCCCCACTTTTAGAACCTTCTCTCCCTCATGAACACGGCTCTAAAATCTCCTCCCCTTCTTTACACGGTTCTAGAATCTTCTCCCCCTCTACCACACTTTTCTACACTGTTCTCCTCCATTTGCTGTTCTAGAATGCTCTCCTCATTCACACTGTTCTAGAAAGCTCTCCCCCAATCACACCGTTCTAGATTATTCTACTCGTCATTCACATTACTCCAGATTGTTCTCCCATCACCAATGTTAGAATCAGGCCTTCAGTCGTGCTCTAGAGGCCGGAATGTAGAAAATAAAGCTCCAGCGAGCTGAGAGACGCACCGGCTGGTGGATCCGTCGTCGTCAGAGTCGAAGCAGCTGCTGGACTCCAGCTCACTGCTCATGAGAGAAGAGCGACTGTCGTAGCCACCCATGTCCATCCCTCTGCCCACCCGTGAGTAGCCATTCATCCTCCCACCTACAGAGGGCAGCAACAAGAGCTTTTTATAATGATGGACAATAGCTAATTTGTTAGACTGTCAAATTCACACACTATACATAAATCATTAATTACCTGATTGGCCATAAATGTAGATATTGAATAGAAACATGAACAGTATATGCATGTTCTACACACTAGTATGAGTGAGACCCAATCCCATTCCACCCCTCACCCCTACCACTTCGCCCTTAGCCCTCTGTTTTGCATGTTCACGTCTAGGGGTAGGGTGTCCTGATTGTTGTTGAGATAGAGGGGTAGGGCGAAGTGTTGGGGCTACATGGCCCTCCAAAAGGAGGTTTTTCAGAGACTCCAAACAGAGAGTTATGAGAAAACAAAAAGAAAAACTGGAAAGTTGGCTGAACAAGAGACCAAAGAAACACACAAATGTGAGAATTTTCTCTGTTAAAAAATTACGATAACCACTGTATTATCTTTGTTTAACGACATTTCAATGTATTAGTGTGCTTTTTTTAATAACAAACATAAAAAACTGCTAACAATATGCTGATGTCTCAGTAGCTAACTAAGTTTCCAGTTCCACCTTAAATGGTGCAGCATTTACATTCTGGCGCCTCTGGCTATAACTGCTGCATTTAAGGTGGAACGGGAAAATCCGAACAAGAAGCTGGTGAATATCTGACTTCAGCCTCATATCACTGAAGAATTAGGGGGGGTGATAATAAATAATTGCCCCTCTTTGAAGGCATATGATGCCCTAAATGTAACTAAAGCCCAGCAGTGAGGAGCTGAACTTTACCCTCCTCTGCTGTCACTGCAGACTGGCAGGGTCGCCTACAGAGCAGCGCTGGTAGCTGTTAATGAAGTTATGCTCTTTTTATTTGAGGGTCCCATTTCATAGGGAAGATTTCAACCACTACCCCTTATAACTCAGTTCCAAGGTGCAAGATGACACTCGAAAACAAGAGGTAGGGTAAAATAAGAAATGGGACTGGGCCTTAATGTGCTCCAGACATCTTCGTTGTTCATCAAAGAGGCTTTCATACAGCCAGCCATGAGAATTTCCCCCTGAATTTCCCTGCTGTTACCCACCATGAGCTTACAGCGGGACATGAGACTGCACACATTCCTTTAGCCAAATTTCACAATGCTTGATCTACTTTATCTTAACTTGGGCAAACTTAATAAATGCAGCTGGAATCTCCCCCTTATAGTGTGCCTGAAAAAGTCCCCATGGTTACTGAGTGTACACAACACTGAGTGCACTCAGAGGAGAAGAAACTTCCCAGCCAACTGTTAGCTGTTACCTTGCTGTGCGAAAACAAATAAGTAATGTGTGTTTAAAATAGAGCCATATTATGCAAAACTGAATTTTCTTACTTTTTTTTTTTTTATAAAACAGCTGATAAAGTTTCACTTCCAGTACATACATGCATTTAAAGCCCATTTTGATTTTCTGAAAAACACTGCATTTAAATATACCCTGTGATGTCACAAAAAACAAAACATTTACATCTATCCACCTATTCATCCCACAGCAGTTTAGCTCTACCGATTCACGCTGGACTGCTTCTTATATGAGGCACAGCACAGAGCAGCCAAGCTAAACATGCTGTTTTTAAAGCTGTGCCTTTAAGAGGGAAATGTAAACCAGGCCTGGTACTCTGCCTTGACTGTGCCTCCTTCAAAAAGCTGTGCAGACTGAAACACTCCTGACAACTTCAGCATGTGGGCAGAGCTAAACTGCTGTAGGCACAATAGGTGGTTATACAACAGTTAGCTCCGGCCACGCAAGCTGATTGGTTGAGAGGGGTTCTAACTGTGCTGTTATTTCACCATAACATCACGTGTTTTTCACAAACACTATCACTTTCCTGAGACGCCGTTGCTAAGCAACGACTTTGACTGCTGTAGGAGACGCTCAAGACATTTGAACGTTTTTACTTCTTAGTTTGCCACAAACAGAAAATGGACACTTTTAAGATCACATTTGACCGACAGCCGATTTGGTCAGACTCTGAAGATGAGACGACACTAAATTCCTAAACTGTCATCACCACTGAGCAGCTTTTCAGTCGGCAGCTGTAACAGAAGAACAGCTAAACAACCTGGAATCAGCCAGAAATGAACCCAACACCATTCGCCAAACTAAATGGGCTGTAAGATGCTTTACAGACTGGCTGGAACAAAACAACATTAATACTGATCTGGCAAAAACTGACAAAACTGAGCTAAACTTGATATTGTGGCAGTTCTATGTCTCAGTCCCAACTTCAAAAGGCGAGGCTTACAGCAGACTCTGCAGCGAGTGGGCGGAGCTCGTTACTCTGACGTAGCAACAAGCTGCTTGTTAAGGAACTATAATTCGGCCAAAGGAACTGCGAACATTAAAACATATTAAATGCCGCGTTCACGGCCCAGTTTATTTACTTCTTACTTTATTTAACTGTTGCCTTCGGCTAGTGTCTGCGATCAAATCACAGCCGTGATGTTATTTCGCGATAACACACTCCCTCTCGTGTTCTATTGCTTAAATATAATATGTAAATGTTTTTTGTGACATCTCAAAAACAATAAATTCCAAACAGTCTGTTTAGTTTCCATATTTGGAACGAAGGGAACATTTAGAAACTTTATTATTTAAATACTACAGTAAATCTAAAAGACTCAGAAGGAGACGAAGAGAGAAAAGCGAGGAGGAGGTGTGGCCGTACTTGAATGATCGTGCGAATGTTTCTTTCGGGGTCTGTCTCTCTCTCTCCTGTGGGACACCACCGAGTCCGTTTCCGTCTCATCGTCCACACCATGCCGGCTGCCTGCAGCTTTTGGACTGCATGGATAAATTAAAGGAAATTAAAGGAAAGAGATTATTAAAAAGATTATTTTTCCTTTTTTCCTTCCATGTTACTCACTGCTAATTAGGCAAACCAGTAGAGCGTTTTAAAATCGTAAAGAAACAGTTCAGTGCAAAAGTATATCGCTGCTGTCGGAACAAAACCTCGTATCTCCAAAATGAGAACTCTACAGGAAAAGGGAAAAAACACAGTTTACTTTTAATATAAGTCAATGGAACCAGACATTTTTCCAAGTGATGTTGGGCCGTTTCTGTTTGTCCAATCACCATGAAAGCATGTGGTTTTGTTCCGAAAGCAGCGATATTTATACAGTTTTTCCCTCTTAAACAAAATGTAATCGACCAGTCAGACATGTTTGCCTCTTCAGTTTTGCACTGGAGCTCCAAGGCTATTGTTTTGTTACACCGGCCAGGTGTTGTTCAATAATCTCAAACAGACTTGACTGGGTGGCTTCTGACACTGTATGAAACACTGTTATCTATAAACATGGATAAAAGTATGTTAGCATGGCTAAAAACAGCAGCAGCTGTTATTTTATAGTGACAGTGCGTCATACAGCGTTAGAAAACCATATTAGCAAGTCTATCAGAGATTACTTAACAGCTCAACACTGTTTGAGGCAAGCATGTGATTTTTTATGCAGTTAGCACAATGCTAACCAGAAGCTATAAGCTTCCATTGCTTAGCTACATTAGCCTTGTATTCCTGGTGTAAAACTAAAGAAGCAAACTTCAGCAAACTTTAGACACCAAACATGTTTTAGCTGATCGACACACACTTCTTTCAACCCTTGTGTGGTGTTGGTGTGTGGTGGTCTGGTGGACCCACCACATTATTGTTTGTTTAAATCAATGCAGCTATAACAATTTATGTAAAAATACCAGATGTTTAAAATATCACAAGTGTCCAGCGTAGGGTTCTCCTTCAGCAGCTGTAGCCAGTCAGCAGCCTGTCCATGTTGTTCACCCTCACACACACAGACACACACAGACACACACACACACACACACACAGACACACACACAGACACACACACACAGACACACTAACAGCAGGCCACGTAGGAGGAGAACAGAGTGAAGGACACAGCACCTCCACACTTTTACTCCCCGCAGGTTCACCCAACACCATGTGTAGTATAAATGTGTGGGGGGTGAACAGAGTGAAGACACTGAAAATGGGTTATTTTATATGTTCTTCACAGAAAATGAGAAAAGGCCAAGAATCTGAGGCTGAAATAATAATAAATCACATAATTTTTTCTTTTGGTAAACACTGAAAACGGGTCCCACAGACCTGAACACCACACAAAAGTTAATCTGGTGCAGTGAAACATCAAAACCACAGACCACAAGACAGCACTAAAAGCACTTTGGTAGGTAATACTGACTGGAAGGAGGGCGGCCTGGAGTCCCCGATGCCCTGCGATCTCTCTCCAGAGGGCGGCCGCTCCGACTGACTCTCAGCCACCGAGCATCCGTCTGAGTGAGACCCATCTGCTGACACCAGCTTCACACAGAGAAACAGAAAAACACCACATGGTTAAAATGCATGGTTAAGGTGGTGATTCTACTGCTTATATATAAGAATCTTAATCAATTACAATAATTTGCCAGGCAAATGACCAGTACCGATTTGGAGTTAATAAGTTAACACACGGTCTACAGGGAACACGCTTAAATATGGCATTATTAATGCACATTTTCTATTTATTTAATTTCTATTTATTTATTTCATTTTTATTTATTTATTTAAATTTCTATTATTTATTGAGTTTAACGCATCGGAAAAAAATAAAACACAACATAAAATTGGCCAGAGCTTTTGCACAGGCCACATTTTGTACTTATTTGTTTTCAATCTGACAGACTAAACAGATTGAAGAGGCAGAACAGACACAAAAAATAATCTCCCGCTGTGACTTTAATAATCTAAAGGATTCTGTGTTTGTCACTCCGGCACCAGTTTCTCGACTTCACTCGCTCGGATTTGAATCTTTATCCTCTAGACTTGCCTCAGTGCATCGTCAGTGAGACGTAACTGCTGGTGGTTTAGCCTTAAGCTAATGTTAGCCTGCTAACTAGAATATAAAATAAAAGTATCTTAAGCTAACAGCTCACAAAAACAGGTTTATCGGTTCAGATTGGAGTCTTTTATCTATAAACTTGCATCTGTGAGCCAGAATGAACTTCTCTTGTGGTGTGTAAAGCTAACTTCAACCCAAATCGGTCCACTGGCTCGATAAGGTTGGCACCCCACTGACTGTTTGCCACTGCTGGTCCACCAACGGACCACCCAGATTACTGTCCACCATACAAGCGCTGGCTAGTTTTTAATCTCCTCAAACAGATTATAAATGCACACAGACTTTTATTTTAGAAAATAAATTTACACAAATTTTACAAACAACTGAGAGAAAAAAAATTATGATTAGGCCTGATATAAAATGATGATATAGTAAATGCTGTGGCTGCTGACACTGGGCTGGATTCAAATTATTTACTGAACTAATTTACGAAGTAAGACAGAAGAAAAGGAAGGAAGAAAATATAAGTTAAGTGAGCTCTGCCATCAGCGGGCCGACAGTGGTCCACTGTTCTCTTGCTATCAGGGAAGTGCTAACAACGACAGTGAAGCAAAGATAGATTAAGCTAACAGCTTCACAAACATGAACACCGGTTTATACGCTTAGAGAGAAAGCGTCTCAAATCAGAATTGAAAATGTCAGATTCAGTGTGTTTATCTGTTCACACTGACACACGTCTGTGTGACATTTGAAGAAAAAGATGGGATTTGGGCCACTTTTACCTGCTGAGTGAACAAAGCCACAGTCGTGATTCATCATTTAAACAGGCTTTTTTTGTAACTGTGCCTTTAAGACTGATATATGTAAATTAGATCTGTTCTGATTGGCTGCTCTGTTTCACGTTTCATTCAAAAAAGGTCCAGGCTGCAACACTCCTTATAACATCAGTGTGAATGGGTGGCGTTAAATGGCTGCAGGCTAAATAGCCAGATGTATGCGTTGGTTTTTGTGCCATCACAAAAACAATAAATTGAAATTGGGCACTTTTCAGTCGACGCTCGCAAAGATCTTGTTGGCATAAAAAAGCTATGTGCTAATTCTTTATCTGCAACATTCAGCTTTGTGTTCATCAAAGTGTCTTCTTCAATATGAAGAACAAGTTTTGCCTGAAATAATGATCTGACATTTTTCTTTTTCAAATGTCTATTAAAAGCTCATATTGAAACTCTTTTGGGCCAAAGGTGGTTTAAACACCTGAAATACTTGAATACCTGAGTGCTGACCTCACAACAAATTGGTGGCCCTGTATTAAAAACATTTTATGAAGCTAGGAGTAACTTTTGACAGGCAGCGCACATTAAAAGGTAAGATAAAAAAAAAATCTTTCGCAGCAATTATTTTGGCATAAATATCCAGTGCACAGATGCTCTTGCTCCTCGGGAATCGTTACACGGAGTGGAGAAATTTGGGACCACCTGAACTCGTCCATATTCAAGGAGCATGCTGAGGCTTCATTTCTCCCAGGTGGAAACCCCACCGGCCTCAAGATGGGGGTGGGGTTCGTTATCGTTAATTTCTCGCCTTCATTATGCAAAAAGGATCTGTGAATTGTGCTGAGCTGGAGGTGATGTATGAGTGTGTGTGCACTCACCCAGCACACCACACGGCCGTTATAGCAGGGCAGTTTGGCGTTATCGTCCGTGATCTCCTCCTTGACCACCCTGCAGAAGAAATACATGAGAAGTAGAGTTAAATAATACACTTTAAAAAGAATATTTAACATTATATTTAGGAAAGATAGAACTGAGCAGGTAGGAATTGATCATGAACAAATTAGGGTGAAAATATCTTTTTAATTAATTAATAAAAAAATGCAAAAATAAGTTATAGAAAATATATAATTAAAATATATAAATAATAAATAATATATAAAATTAAAAATCTACACACACACACTACGAAAAATTACTCTGAATTTTACCAAATTTACACCAAATCGTGGTGAAATCTGAAATTTCATGATGCATGCCTTTGTTTCCTAAAGAACTGTAATCGATTCATACACCAACTAAGGAACACAAAAGCACGAGCGCGTCTGATCCGACCAAACTCGCTGAACATCAATCAAACCGCAGCTTGGCTCGGCTTTTAATCCTGGGGGAGGCGTCTCCGTGCACGCATTAGAATGTGCAAATGAGCCAATGTCATCAGGATGAAAGGAACAAAAGTGGAGGATCATCAGTAAAATAAGCACACACACATCCTTCCAACACACAGAGCTCGAAAAAGAAACTAAAAGAGAATCAGAAAGTAGGTCATCGATTCGACAGGACTGAGATAAACGGGACACGAAAACATTCACTCAAAAACTCTCTGCGTCCTGCTGCACTTTAACGGTCGAGCCGAGTCACAGCAGGGTGACTTCTCAATGAAAGGGGAACTTTTTTTTTTGTAAAACGTCTTTATTATTAAATGGTTAAGCTGTAAACAGAGTCGTTCAGAGTGGTTTGGTGTGAAACGCTCAGTTCTAGAAAAACTTAGAGACAGAATTGTTCACAGTGGTGGTGATAGGAACCAGACGTCCACCTCTGAAAGCTCCCTCACAGAAAGTTACTACATTAAATGATGCCTGAGACATTGTTTTAGGATAGTTTTGAGATCAAATTTTGGACTGAAATTTATTTATTTTACTTTCCTGGTGGAGAAGTACAGGGTAGGGTGTTATAAGGCAAAACAGTCCCCAAAGCAAACTTATTTTTCCAGATTACTACTTTATGGAAGCTCATAATGACTTACTATCTCATAATTACGACTTACTACGTCAGTGTGTCTCACAATAATGGTAACAACTCTCATAATCATGACTTACAATTTCATAATTACAACTTCCTGTGTCATAACAAGTCAAATCCAATAATGAAGAGATACTAAGATGTAATTATGAGATACTTAGTCATAATTATGAGATAGCAAGTCAACTACGATATAGAAAGTCATAATTACGAGAAACTACAGACTTTCATATTATGGGATCTCATTATTGTAAGTCAGCATGTCACATTTATGGGACATGAAGTCATAATCATGAGCCAAGATCTCATTATCATGAGATAGCAAGTCATAATTGTGAGATACTAATTAGTATGACATACTAAGTCATAATTATGAGATGCTATGACAACGATGGGACACTTTCTCATTAGTATGACTTACTAAATGGCTATATACTGTTATCAAAGGCTGAAACGTGCCTCCATACTATTTTACTATTATCCTACATTCCATATAAACTCAGAAGACTCGTGTAGGTTCACTGGTGGTTTTGGACAGTAAATAAAATGGCTATATGTGCACTTTAAACATGGTGACCCCTGGTTCCATTAACCACAACTGTAAAGAAATCTGAGTCTGTAAGTTTCCCTGCAAATAAACCACTATGAATGACTTTGTTTACGTTTCACCCATTAAGTTACTTACGCAGACATTTTGGAAAATTGATGGAATTCCCCTTTAGGTAAGTAAACATGTGGAAATGTTGTGTTAGCGACGACTTTGCTCAGCACTTTTCTGCAAACTCAGAAGCAAATCCAAACCAAAAAGCTCACACTGGGCCCAGACTGTAACCCCCGGCTCACACAGGACAGTAAAAGCAGTTGTAAAGCGGTCATGTGTGATTTGTCAAAAGTAACCGAGTAAAAGGAATGCAAACAATTCTCGCCCTCAAGAATCCGGAGCCGAACCTCTCGAAGGGGGAGCAGCTCATGTAATTAAGACTTACAGCAACAGTTTGCTGAAAAAACAAATACACAGTTTTCTCCAAACACAGCCCGTCAGCCAAGACAGGCTTGCTTCTTTAGTGTTACACTGGAGCTATGAGGCCAATGAAGCTGACAAGTAAAGGAAGCCTATGCAGCATCAATTAGCAATGCGCTAACTGTGGGCCTAAATCAACACTTGCCTCTAACTTACTAAAGTTTCTACTTAATCTGTAGAAAGAAAAATACAGTCAAAACTCAACACGGCTGCTAATCCAGGTTTATCGATAACAGTGAGTCATACAGTGTCAGAAACCACATAACCAAGTCTAGTGGAGATTACTGAACAACTACACACGGTTCGAGTCAAATGTTTGAGGAGTTCGATGTTAATTTGAGGGGTTTTAGCTTCCATTACTTGTTAGCAGTACTAGCCTCACAGCTCCAGAGCTAACTAATGCTGGCCTTACCAGAGCTGGTTTATGAGGAGCCTGGTCACTTCCTATTTCCCCCATTATATCAAAAACAGGCCTGCTGAACAGCAGAGGGCGCCCGAGAAGTTAAAATAATCACTGAACCAGAACTTTCCTTTAATTTTAGAAGGAAGAAGGATGGATTTCACTAAATAAACAAAGAAAGCTCACCTGCATGTTTCCTTTATTCTACAGCAAACAGGTTTTGGGCAGCAGAAGGCGGGCTCTACTGCTAGAGCGTGATGATTGGTTGGTGAGCGGAGCAGCTCATTGGCCGTTCGCGCTCACTGACGTCATGAACGTACATGAGGCGCCGTTTTAAACTCCTATAACTCGAGTTTAAAAGCTCTTAAAATATAACAGCGGTGTTAAAATGTTTTATGCTGTTCTGTGTTCAGGAAATGAATGAATTCTTTTACATTAAAAATGTTTCAGCATTTATAAACTATGATTTTGCTCAAAGGCTCCATATCAACCCATTCATTGTGGACTCGAGAGAGAGAGAGAGAGAGAGAGAGAGAGAGAGAGAGAGAGAGAGAGAGAGAGGGAGGGAGGGAGAGAGGGAGGGAGGGAGGGAGGGAGAGAGGGAGGGAGGGAGGGAGGGAGGGAGGGAGAGAGGGAGGGAGGGAGGGAGGGAGGGAGGGAGAGAGGGAGGGAGAGAGGGAGGGAGAGAGAGAGAGAGAGAGAGAGAGAGCGTGCATGTGTTAGAGCCTGAAATCTCTGTAAAAATGGCAAATCTGCTCCACTTTAATACCAAAATCATATTAACTTACAATGTAAACTGGCTGCTTTAATATATCTGCTTCACTGAGTGTAACAGTGCTGTAATGAAATGCACAGAGGACTTTAAGAATGGCTTTACTGAAGAATCATCAATGTTTTTCCCCTTTTTTTGCTGTTACACTGCTTGTGTTTTATGGTTTAGTTCATAATATCCAATCAACAATGCTGAATCGCTGCGTGTTGATGTGTTTATGTCAAATTTAAAAGGTAGCTGCACATTTTACAGGTTAATTAAAAGACTCTGGGTGATGATCTGCCAGAGTAAACTCTCTACAGTGAACTGGGCTGAGCCCCAGATCTTTACACGCCCAGCCAGCGTATCGTCCCATCTGTACCACTACAGAGTGGAAGGAAAAGTGTTTATCTGCTTGTAAATTTCCACCCGGTGCATGATGGGAAATAATCTCAAAAGTCTAGTTGCAGTCATGTAAATAGTGACACTGCAAGATTCCCAGTCTTTGCAAAATCATACTTTGTGACTGATGGTAACCACACACTAGAAGACTTGAAAAGACTTCTGAAAGACTACAGTCTGACACCCTCTCACACCTAAAGACAGATTATTTCCCATCATGCACCTGGTGGAAATTTAAACACCTTTCCTTCCACTCTGTAGTGGTGCAGACGGGAGGACACGTTGACTGGGCGTGTGAAGATCTGGGGCTCAGGTCACTGTAGAGCTGTACACTCTGACAGATCATCGCCCAGAATCTTTAATTAACCTGTAAAATGTGCAGCTACTTTTATCAGACTGTTATGAACTAAAGCATAAAAACAAGCAGTGTAACAGAAAGCAAAAACAGGGAAAAAACACTGATGATTCCTCAATAATGCTGTTCTTAAGTCCTCTGTGCATCTCATTAAAGCACTGCTGAGAACCTGAAATATTAAAGCAGTCAGTTTACATTTTACGTTAATATGATTATTGTATTCAAGTGGAGATTTTTAGAGATTTTAGGCAATCACACGTACATTCTCCCTCTCTCTCGCGCTCTCTCTCTCTGCACATGCGCCCGCCCGCAAGCACTCCCGCGCACCCCTGGCGCGTCACTATTTGCATGAGCCAAGACTTAAAAGCTACTATAATATTAAACACGGTTGATTTTGTCGCAGCGTCAAGACGAGAAAAAGACTGACTTAAGACCACCGTCCTGACCACCTTACACTAAACGATCGAGATGATGCGAGCACGGCTCCAGCAAGACTCTCATGATTTTATTCCCACATGGATATTTGTCTGCCACAGTGAAATCGCCTGAAAAGTTGTTTGGTGTGAGGCCGGCATAACTGTGACACTGTCTTTAGACGTGAGAGGGTGTCAGACTTTAGTCTTTCAAAAGTCTTTTCAAAAGTCTTTTAGTGTTTGGTTGGCATAAGAAGCCAACTTCTAAAAAAAAAAATTGTGGAAAATTACATTTTAACCAAACTCAGGCTGGAAAATCGGTCATGTCTTGCTCTCAAAAATCTGGAGCCAAACATCTCAAAATGTGCACAGCACATATAATAAAGACTTAAAGTCTGCTAAAAAAAAACTAATTTGCACAATTTCACGCTCATCTCAAATGTATTCGATTGGCAGAGAGACAAGTTTTGTGTCTGAGATTTGCTTCTTTAGGAGCTACGTGGCCAAAGTCGCTAAAGTCGCTAACGAGTAATTTGTAAAAATTTTTTTTTTTTTTTTACAAAATTCAGGCTTCAAGTTGGCAGCTGCTGTTTTTAGCTATGCTACATACTTTTGTCCATGTTTGTGCACAACAGTGAGTCATAAACCACATCATGTCTGTCTGAGAAACAATTCCACACAGTCTGAGGCAAATGTTTGAGCAGTCACGGGCTATATTAGCCTCGCAGCTCCAGAGGAAAAGTAAAGAAGCAAACTTCTAGCAAACTGCAGAAATTTGAGTTTTCACCAAACTATCGCTTTAAAAAGTTTAAAAACCGTTACAAGTCAAAAGGAATAATCTGGAGTCTTAAAAGGCCAAAAAAGGGAACCACTGCTTTGTTGTAAACATGTTAACTCGTCTCCTCAGAGGTGCCACAGCAGATTCTAGAGTGAGGATTTGTGGTTTCATGGCAGGAAAACTCCTTCAGATGATGCATCTTGAAGGTGGGAGAAGCTTCTGAAAAACTACAAGCCCTTTGGAGGCGGACTGTTTCAGAATCAGCTGGAAGAAGAAGGCCAGTTAGCCAGATAGAGTCAGAGGTGATTCCCAGTATCCCACATATTTAGCCAGAATAAAACTGTTCATTTATCCAAGCAGGCTGCTGGGCTAAACACTGAAATGTCACTACAGTAAAGTGGAATAAACTTTTGTATGCTGTCAACTTTTTTCAACGTCAACCTTTAACACCTGCAATTGCACAAGTGAGGATCTCGTGTCAACTTTTTATGGTTATCAACTATTTTCATTGCTGCGGATTTCCCAGAAATCACAATGTATTTTCTTTCTGTACGGTGATATTTTTCTTCTATGTGCTACCTACTGGTGCACGACAACGTCATCAAAAATCAGGTGTCAGAAGCAGGTAAGTCACTTCAATCAGGAAAAAAAAAAATAGTGACTAGTAAAAAAAACTGTACTTTAAATTGCATGTATTTGCCATTCATATTATTAAAGGGGAATTCCACCGATTTCTCAAAATTTCTGCATAATTCAGTGGTTGAGATGTAAACAGAGTCATTCAGAGTGGGTTCAGTGTGAAATGGTTGATTATAGAGACTCTTTACAGTGGTGGTGATAGGAACCAGGGGTCACCATGACAACAACACAAATACAGCACATTTTATTTACCTATAATCTACCTATTTAATCTAAAACCACCAGTGAACCTGCAGGTGTCTTCTACACGAGTTTTATATGGAACGTTAGTGGAAATACATACACACACACACACCCTCACACATACACATATACATATACACATATATATATATATATATATATATATATATATATATATATATATATATACACACACACACATACATACATACACATACATACATATATATATATATATATATATATATATATATATATATATATATATATATACACACACACATACACACACACACACACATACATACATACATACATTTTTCGCTGCCATCGGAAGAAAACTTTGTATCTCCATTTTTGTCATTTTATAGTTTTTGACATAATTTCAAAGTACCTGTTGTTCTTTACATTGTGTATAAATTTCATGAAGAATGGACCAAAAGAAACGACCCAAAATGACTTAGAAAAAAGTCTGGTTCCATTGACTTACATTAAAAGTAAAGTATGTTTTTTCCTTCTCCTGTAAAGTTACCATTTTGGAGATACGAGGTTTATTTATTCACTTAATTACTTACTTTAATCACACTTAAGCACTTTTATGTCCTCAATATGCTCTTTAGGCCGTTTATATGCTGCCACTATTTGTGTAAACCCTTTGAATTGTGTATGAAATATGCTATATAAATAAACTCGCCTATGCTGCCTTGCATATAGTTTAAAAATACATTTTAGGCCAAATGCAAAACTATTGTAAAACAGTGTGTCAGATATCATACAGTGCATTCATAGCCATTTAATGTAGTAACTTTCTGTGAGGGAGCTTTTGGAGGTGGACGTCTGGTTCCTATCACCACCACTGTAAACAATTCTGACTCTTCACTAGAACTGAGCAAACCACTCTGAACGACTCTGTTCGCATCTTAACTGTTTCATTGTGCACAAAATTTGAAAAATTGGTCGGATTATCCTTTAAAACTACAATCAGAAGTGAGGAGACGGAACCCAGACAAACAAGAAAAGACAACTCAAACTGATTCTGATTAAAGGAATTAACTAATTACATAAAGCCATTTCTTCAGCATGTCTGGAGCAGAACCTCTATGAGCCGGAAGGCACAAAGAGGCGAAGCTGAACTGCCGACCCCTCCTGTTCTGATCTCCATCTGGTGAGAGATGAAGCACGTTTAAGTTTTTAAATAAGCGTTTTTTTGGAGGAGCTCCGGGGGGAGGGAGGATCAAACTCGGCCGTATTTCAGAGGGGAGCGTGGACCGTAAAACTGACAGACGGCGGCGTATCCCAGCATTCCACAGCGGCCCGCTGCAGTTGTTCCAACTCGGCATTCCTCTCCGGCGTTAACGCAACACACAGGAATGAAACAAGAGCCCTTCACAAAGAGGACGTTTACAACAAGAACAACAAGCCTGCTGGGAATTTAAAGGGGAAATCCACTGATTTTCCCAAATTTCTGCATAGTTCAGTGGCTGAGATGTAAACAGAGTGATTCGGAGTGGTTTGGTGTGAAATGGTTCAGATGTCTTTACAGTGGTGGTGATGGGAACCAGGGGTCGCCATGACTACAACACAAATATAGACATTTTATTCACTATCCAGAACCACCAGTGAACCTACACGAGTCTTCTGAGTGTTTATATGGAATTCTGATGATGGTCAAATAGTCATAAATGTGAAATATAAGTTTTCTTGGGGACTATTTTGCCTTAGAACACCCTGCATGTGTCCCTCGGCCAAGAATGGGTTTTAAAAAGCCAAAAGTTTAACTCAAAACTATCATAGGAACAATGTGAGGGAGCTTTTAGAGGCGGAGGTCTGGTTCCTATCACCACCACTGTTAACAGTTCTACTCTGAACGACTTTGTTTACATCTTCACAACTTAATTTGGCCGACATTTCATAAAAATGTCAGATAAATTCAACTTAATGCAAGTAACTTGTTCCTTGGCCACCACAGACTCTGAAGGGGAACTCCACAAACTGTTCAAAATTCTCTGCACTATTAAACGGTTAAGATGTAAACAAAGTCATTCAGAGTGGTTTGGTGTGAAACGCTCTGTTCTAGAGGAAGTCAGAATTGTTCACAGTGGTTGTAATAGGAACCAGACGTCCACCTCTAAAAGCTCCCACACAGAAAGTTACTACATCAAATGGTTACAAATACAGTTTTGTGGCCTAAAACGTATTTTAAATCAACTTATTTGAACATATTCATGATTGAGGGATACATGCAGGGTGTTCTAAGGCAAAACAGGCCCAAAGAAAACAGATTTATGACTGTTTTTTCGTCATCAACATTACAGATAAAAACTATAACAGCTCAGAAGACTCGTGTAGGTTGACGGGTGGTTTTGGATAGTAAATAAAATGTCTATATTTGCGTTGTAGTCATGGTGACGTCTGGTTCCTATCAACACCACTGTAAAGAAATCTGAGCCTCTACAATCAACCACTTCACAACAGACCCACCCTGAATGTTTACATCTCTTAATTATTAGACTTAATTATTCAGAAATTTTGAAAATCGGTGGAGTTCCCCTTTAATGAAAAAGCTGGCTTGATTTGTATTTCTTATGGAAGCCATTCATGTTAATTCACTCACACACACACACACACACACACACACACACACACACACACATCAAGGAGCTAAATACACAAAGTCTGAGCTGAGTGTGTGAGTGTGTGCGAGTGTGTATTTGGACCTGGGTCACCTCCAAACCCAACACACACTTTCACACAGCCTGTTAGTCTGCAGCCCACCTCCCTAAAGCCATATTAGAGGGCAGGCCAGTCTTAAAATGGATGCCGAGGGGCAAAAAAGAAGCCCACCCTCCATTCACCCCGGCTGAACTTCTCCCTCATTCACTCTGAAGTTGGCTTCTTCTTCGAATTTTCCGTTCCACCTTAAATAGTGCAGCAGTTACATTCTGGCGCCCGGCGCCAGAATGTAACTGCTGCACTATTTAAGGTGGAACGGAAAATTCGAAAAAACGAGCCTCGCAAAGAAGCACGGATCGCAGGAAAGAAACACTGGTTACACAAACTATTAGAGATAATCACAACAGTGCGAAAGAGAAAGAAAGACAAGGTTTAAGCGCTCAAACGAAAGAAATAAACTCAAAAAGACTCGCCCGAAGTCGTCGTCCATAGACTTGAAGAAGAATTTGTGGTTTGGCTTCTTGAGCGCGTTTCTGAGGTCCGAGAGAGTGACCCTCTCCGCAGGCACGGCCAGTTTGACCAGGTACGGAGTTTCCTGCTCGTCGAGGTGGTAGATAACTTTGGTTTCCCCCATGGCTGAGAGCTCGGGGAAGGCGGCTCGGCGCTCATCCAGACCCGGGCTCCCCCTTCCCCTCCCCGGGAACGGGCTTCGAGCTGCTCCGCTTCAACCGCACCGCTCTTCGGCCGCTTTTATTCAGCTCCCCCCTCGTCTTTTCTCTCCTTGGGAACCTCCGACGCGCAAAAACACAAAGTATTCCCAGTCAAAAGTCGAAAGTTAGATCCAAAAACGCTCCTCTGGCTCCATAAACGCCTCCTGTTTGATTCCGGCCGGCGATAAAGGGTGGAAAAAATGGGAAAATTGCGCTGGAAAACAGCCGCTTCCAAGGAAAAGCTCGTCTGTCGGTCTGTCGGCTCCTCTTCCAGAAGCTTTTTGTATTGCTTTAATTGATGTGAAAGCGAGTGGAAAGGTGGGCGAACCGGCGCCCCCTACAGGACGAGGACTGGAACTGCAGCGACCTCAAGGGCGCGTCCCAATCCGCGCAGCTAGGGGAAGTGAGGAAGGACTTTTGTTTGTGGTTTTGGGTCCTGGGTTAGGCTGAAGACGTGAATTTTAACAAAAATAAACAAAATATTAATAAGTTAAAATAAGGTAATATATATATATATATATATATATATATATATATATATATAAAACAATAGTAATTAAAATATTAAATATTATTTAAAAAATGTGTAAAATAAATTTTAAAAATAAAAATAACTAAAAAAATGTAACTATATATATATATATATATATATATATATATATATATATATATATATATATATATATAATCAGCGAAGCGAAGGGTCAAGGTTTTCATTTTTTACATATAGTTTTACATTGTTCATTTGTTGTTTTATATATATATATATATACACACACACACACACACACACTCAGTTACTCAATTCTGGAGAACACTGAGGTTCTTTAAAAGCCTGAGCCGCCCCAGAACGTCACCCCGTATAAAGCCAACCTTACATATGTATATATAAATATACATACATATACACACACACACACATACTGCATACTATATTTAAAAAAAAAAATTTAAACTTTTGAGGTTATCTTGCGCTCTGATGACCCTTCGCTTGAACGACACTGCGAGGCTGTGCTCCAAAATGCATGGTTCGCACAGTTCAGATGAAAATTCAACGAAACTGAGGGCAGATTTTAAACTGGCGCCACCTACAGACAAGGGCTGCAACAGCAGCAACCTCAAGGGTTTGTCCCAATCCACGCACTTCTACCCTAAGAAGTGCGCCACAACAGCACTCCAAAAAGATACAAATAATATAGAAATACATAAACACGAATAAAATGGAGTATAGATAAAACATATTAAAAATAAATTACACAAAAATAGTGCAACTTGTTCGAGAATATAGCCGCACTAGGCAATTTTACTTTGTAGCAGCAAGGCATAACATTTCCCACCAAAATAGTCCATAAAAGTGCAGATAAAATACTTAAGGAGACTTTTCCAATGTACATCAGCTTTTTGAGTTACATTGCAATATCTAATCCACACATTCAGTATCATATTTGAGGATTCAATTTAGTTTTAAGCATTGATTACTGTACTTTCACCAGTTCATTTTTTTTTTTTTTCCCCCAGATGCCCCATTACTTCATCCTCAAACTCCATTCTGAATCAGGTGCAGATTTAATATAAAAACAGCAAAATTGCTTATTTCTATAATAACTTATTACTAGGTTTTATATTATATACAGTAAACAGCACAACAGCGCATAAAGACAAGCAGAGAAATGAGAGTTTTGAAGATTACTTTATTCAAATCAAGACAAATCAGAAGCAAACAAGTGAACTTAGACACTGAGCAAAAGTCACAGAACTCTTAACTGTGAAGAAGTGTGACTGCACTGGCAGACACACTTAGAAAGGGACAGAAGAGTGTCCCTGATCTTTGTAGGACCTTTGAAGGTCACAGGTATGGACACCTTTACATAAAGTATGCTTGTACTGACACCACTGTTAAACAAGAAACAGGTGATACAAAGAAGTGTGCTTCGTGCTTTTTCAGCTATGCATTCTGAATAGAAACCTGTATATAACAGGACTCCCTTCTGTGCACTGTATTTCGGTAATCACAGCAGATAAAGAACATTTTGAAAGTGATCTACTGAGCTTTCTGCAACGCAGCACACATTCATTACATGAAATGACTCATTAGTCAAGCTGTTTATATCCCCTTAGTCAGCCACCTGCAACAAGAGAAAGAAATCATGAGCACATCATATACAAAAAATGAAAGCACGTGTTATCTAGTACATTCATTTACAGGAGAGCTGAATGTTCTTGTCACAGCAGGAGCAGCAGGAATCAGCAAGACTTCCAGGCTCAGACCACGCCGTGAAAAGATTTACTGTGTGCCTTAGATGACACCACATTCATCACATGGAAAAATGAACGGGCAACACAAAGGCAAGCCCGGGCGGCGGCCATGCGGAACGTTTAGACCATCTGCGAAAGTTTAAGCCGCCCCAAAACGTGACCCCGTATGAAGCCAACATTATGTACAAATCAGCGATAGCTGTGATTAATCGTTAAAATCTGATCTAACCTGTGAAACATGGCCTGTTCAAGCACATCCGCTGTCCTCATGGTGTCAGCAACAGGCCATGCTCCCAGCATCAAGACTAAGATGGCCCCAGCAGGCCATTCTCCACACTGGCCTCACATCGCTACCTGCAGCAGAGAGAGAAAGCACATGAATTCACCCACCGACCAAGAATTATACGGACAAACTGTGGTGCATATTCAGCGTTCCACACTCTTAAATACGGTTCTTTAAGGGGTTTTTTATTACTGGGAATGGACCTATTCAAAACGATTTCCTACTTAAATGGTTCTTTGCATGGTGAGATGGTTCTTCAGATTGATAAAATGTGTCATATGGTTCTACATAGAACCTTTTTGAAAATTGTTCCATATAGCACCACCAAAAGAGCTGTTCTATTGTCACAAAATCAAGCTTACAGCAATAGAACCCTTTTTGGTGCTATATGGGCCATTTTTAAAAAGGTTCTGTGTAGAACACGTTCTCCATCAACAGAAGGGTTCTTTTATTTTTGATGTCAAGCTTATGACAACAGTAGAACCCTTTCATGTTTGGTGCTATATAGAACCATTTTCAAAAAGGTTCCAGATGCAACGTTCTCCCTCAATCTGAAGAACCATTTCACCATGCAGAAGAGCCACTTAAGCATGAAATGGTTCTATATAGAAATCACCCCCTTGACTAAAGAACGCTTGCAGAACCATCTTTTCGTATAAGAGTACATTATGTTCTTGCCACAGCACTAATAAGGAAATAACCAAGATATTCCATCACATTAGGCTGTTACAAGAGTTACTGTGCGCCTTATTTGACACCACATTCATCTAGATGAAAATGAATGGGCAACACATAAAGGCAAGGCCAAAAAACTGGAATCAACACTTTTTTTGATTGAACTACTAAATTAACTAGAGGATCAAAGGCAGCTTAGACATCGGCACGAGCCACATTCGAGGAAAACACATGTATGTAGATTTACTTACCTATCCTTAGCCATAAGCAGGTAAAACGCTGTAAATAACTTCATATCTAGTATACATCTTAGCTCACTGAGCTCCACGTGGTTCCTCCCTACTAAGCAACGCTGCAGGGTTTTTTTGAGCCCTATAAGGACCACTAGGTGACCATCAAAAAGCCAGAATATGTGCCTATCTTTGCCCGCATGAAATAAGATCAACGATATAAACTAAATCTTGTCTGATACCATATATATATACAGTTTTTCATTCAAAGTTTTATCAATTTTGAGATAACAATAAAGAGTGATTTTTAAATATAGATGAGTCTTCATATAAGACAAACGCAGTTCTTTCGCATTGTGTCTTTTATTTTGAAAAGTAGTGAGCGTGGGCGCTGTCCAAATTCTGAAGTGCACTCTCTCGCAGTTCCGCTTGATAGCGCTGCCGATTTTTTGTTTAACTCTGAATTGTTGTTTTCTTTTCTGAGCTTTTTTTCCAATCATTTCATTAACAGAGGTAGCACAGTCTCGAGTTTAGACAAAGGTCGCTGTTTATTCACTTCTACACGACACCTAATAAAACGTTAGCTCGCCCCCTTGCGCCCTACAGCGTCGTTCCCTAGGGGACGCAGCTAGGGGTAGTGAGAAAGGGCTTTTATTTGTGTGTTTTGGGTCCTGCCGTAGCGCTTTTAAAGGTTAAACTAAAGAGGTCAATTTTAACCCCCAAATAATAAATAAATAAATAAATAAAATACTGGTAATAATAGGCTAAAAAAAATAAAAAGGTGAAAAAATATAAAAATATATAAAAAATAAAAACGATACAGACTTTGTAAAACAAATAAAAAACTAAAATAGAATCACTAAAAAATAATAGAAAAAAATAAATACGTACATAAAAATAAAGAAAACAATAAAATATTAAATAAATAAAACCTTCGTTGTTATCTGGTTGGTCGGCTAAGTGAAAAATATAAAGGTGAAATATAAAGAGGCAGAATGTGTAACATAAATAAATAAATAAATAAACGAAAATAAAATAACTAAAAATATGTTATAAATTATATCACTAACAAATAAAGAAAAAATAAATATTAAACAAATTCCAAATATAAAACTGTGTTTAAAAAATAAATAAAACCTTCGAGGTCAATTGTGCCCTGACGACCCTTCGCTATTCTGTAGCTGTCTACGACATTTGCGAACGGCGTCGGTCGGACGCTGCGAGGCTGTGCTCCAAACCACACGGTTAGCAGAATTCAGATGAACATTTAAACAGGTTATAAACAGAGCCTGGCTGTAAACTGAACACGGCAGAGGGTGAGTAACTAACAGGTAAACTCACGTTAGTTCTGTAAGTTAACTCGTCTTAACGCTGTTAGGCTGTCAGGCTGAAGTTCGTTTCTTGTTCGCCAGCTTTTTAATTCGAATTTTACGTTCCACCTTAAATGCTGCGCCCGGGCAGCGGCGGTGTAAAGCGGTGTACCCGCGCTAGAATGGAACAGCTGCACCGTTTAAGGTGGAACGGAAAATTAGAGTAAGAAGCTGGCGAGAAAGAAGTTAACTTCAGCTTCATTTAATAGGTAACGTTAGTAACGTTAGTTAGGCAGGTTTATGTGTGTTGTTGTGCGTGACGTCTGCTTTAAAATCAGTCATTTCCGATTATAATGTCGATTTGTTTGTTGCTGATATGTTCAGTAAGACAGGCAGTCTGTCTAACTAGCAAAGCCTTACATGCCTATAAGGAACTACATGAACTCAGCAAGCTGGCTTAAGCTGAGACCTTATAGACCCTCTTATGGATCAGTGGATTAAAGGGGAGCTCCACCAGTCTTTCAAAATTTCTGACTTATTCAGTAAACAAAGTCATTCAGAGATTTTGATTTGAAATGACGATTTCCAGTGAAACTTACAGACTTCTTTACAGATTTCTTTACGCTGGTGGTGATAGGAACCAGGGGTCACCATGTCAACAACATAAATATAGCCATTACATTTGCTGTCCAAAACCAACAGTGAACCTACACGAGTCTTCTGAGTTGTATATTGAATGTTGATGATGGTACAACAGTGGAAAATACAATTTAGGTCAAAACATTAACCCGAAACTATCATAGAACGATGTCTCATGCATCAGTCGACTTATTCATAACCATTTCATGTAATAACTTTCTTTGAGGGAGCTTTTAGAGGTGGACGTCTGGTTCCTATCACGGCCACTTTGAACAATTCTGACTCGGTAAGTTTCTCTAGAACGGAGCGTTTCACACCAAACCACTCTGAATGACTTTGTTCACATCTTAACACTTTAATAATGTGGGGCTTTTGAAAAACTGGTGGAGTTCCCCTTTAAGCTGAGACTTTATAGACCTTCATATGGGTCAGTAAGTAAGTGGATTTCAAAAATGCTCTCCTACAGAAGTGTTTTAGTGAAGTTTGCTGGATGGCACATGAATGAACAGGCTGGCTGGGTGGGTTTTAAAGCCAGCCAGCCTGACCATAACTTACTAACAAAGCCAGCTGCTATTTCTGACCCGCCTGCTCTACATGTCTGACCAGCTGCTGGGGTCACTTTTGGTAGCTATGCAAAGGCCTCATCCTGGGACAGTCATTCACACAGTATGCAGGTGAACAGGACACATTTAACTGCTTTCCAGCTCTAACACAGCCTTTTTATCTGACAGAGAGCCTGAGCAATGCATGTTCAGAATTAGACTTTAAAGTGTATATTTGCATATTAATAGCAATAGTAGAACCCTTTTCAGAAAGGTTCTATAGCATCTAAAGAACCATTTCACCGTGCAAATAACTCTTCAGTCGTGCCAAGGGTTCTTTGAGTGTTTATGGTTCTGTATGGTACCATTTTCTTTACTAAAGAACCCTTGAAGAACCATCTTTTTTAAGAGTCTATGGACAGCTTATGGATATGCAGGATTACTACACATATATTGTCTTTTTTGTCCTTTCTTTATAACCAGTTAAAGGGGAACTCCACCTACATTTCAAAATTTCTGCATCATTAAATCTTAATGCTGTGCACGAAGTCATTCAGAGTGGTTTGCTCTGTTCTAGAGAAACGTGCCCAGTCAGAATTGTTCACAGTGGTGGTGACAGGAACCAGGCATCCGAATAGTTTAATGCCTTTAAAAGCTACATCACACAAAGTTGTAACCAGTGAAACTGGTTGTGAATATTTTGTCTGATGCCCGAGACGTTTTATGATAGGTTTGAGAAAAGACTTTGGCCTAAAATGTATTTTTAATAGCCATTTATGGCAGAAAGGGTGCTTTAAGGCAAACAGACTCCAGAGAAGGTCTATTTTTCATATTTACCATTTTACTAACATCAACATTAGATATAAAACAAATACACACCGATCAGGCACAACATTCTGACCACCTCCTTGTTTCTACACTCATTGTCCATTTTATCAGCTCCACTTACTATATAGGTGCACTTTGTAGTTCTACAGTTACAGACTGTAGTCCATCTGTTTCTCTGATACTTTGTTAGCCCCCTTTTACCCTGTTCTTCAGTGGTCAGGACCCCCATGGACCCTCACAGAGCAGGTACTATTTGTGTGGTGGATCATTCTCAGCGCTGCAGTAACACTGACGTGGTGGTGGTGTGTTAGTGTGTGTTGTGCTGGTCTGAGTGGATCAGACACAGCAGTGCTGCTGGAGTTTAATAGCAGTCACTGAATTATGAGGCTTTTCGGTTATTAACTATGTAGTTACCCTGCAGTGACTTCATAGAGCCCAGAAATAATGTGTGCCCATGTTAGCTGAGCTAAATTAGATGTATTTAAGGATAAAAATGTTAAAATGTGCCTGATCAGACTCTGAGATAATTCCAGAAAGGAAGATGTGTAAGTAACCTATTGCCTCAGTGACTCAGCGGAGGTAGATATTTCCTCTCTCTGCTTCCTTGTGAAATGTAATCCCGTTACGCTCGATGTGGGAAGTGTCTGCCAGGTTTCTGATTCATGCAGCAAGAGTCTTAGTATGAAATCTGCTATGTATAACTCATTGTAACCAGGGCAGCAGAAGCATTATGAGGTTTTTAGGTCCTCTGAGGTCCTCGGGTTATTAATACATTACGAAACTGAAGCTTGTGTTTTAAGTTCTCAATGATTTCGCTCTTATGCAGAGTAATATTGTGTTATTAAGCATCTTAATAAATCAACACCCATGATATTTGTGCATTTAAGTGGAGTAATTGAGTCACTATAGCGGAAATAGTATAGTGGTATACTGTGTTGTGTGGTACTGTTTGACTCTGTGGCCTCCAAGCTCTGCTGACTAGAGATGGGCAATATGGCAAAAATGCTAATATATCTAGTATATATAATGATATACTTAAAGAAATGTTCACAATACACCCCATATATCCTGATATATTCTGACATCTGATTAGCTGGGACAGAGGAAAAAGAACCCATAGTGCTACATTACAAAAATAAAACTATCAGAAGCTGTTAACACATACGTTTTTATTCAATATTCGGCCCTAAACCCAGTTAAACTGGACTAATCTGGTCTCTTTATAATGAAGCATGCAGTTGGTCAGTGTTTTACAAGTACAATGATCTGCACAATAAGTTCAGAAAAGCATATTGAATCGTTTTGTGACATAATTTATCATGATAACGATGTGTATTGTAAAATTTCCCAGCGCTAATGCTTACGTTAGGTTAGTTAACATCCACCAAACACCAAATAAAAAGGTTTAATTTCGCCTTTCTGTTCCTCCAACACCAGGAACATCACTCCCTCAGATCTGATTCATTATTATCTAGACCCGAGTCACTTCGTTTCGCCAGAATCCGGTCTGTTCTGAGGTGAAAAGAGCTGTTAGCAATCTAGCTAAGCTTGCTAACCAGTGCCTCCCTCCTAGCAGCACCTGCTAATGTTCAGCAGTCGTTGTTTGATTGATGGTTTGACGTCTATTGAGTGCTGGACTGCGTTCACTTATTTAGTGACAGTGTTAGTGAACTTTTTATTTGATAGATTGGTTTTGTTTGATTGTTTTCTGTAGAACTAATCAGTGAATAAAGCCTAAAGCCAGTTCGGCAGCCCTCAGCATAGTCCGCTAACCGTGCCAAGTAAACCGTGCTCAGTTTGTATGCGTTCCACGTTGAGGTCTGGGTATGTTCTTCCGTCCTTCGGGCCACTGTGGCTTTAATTCTATGAGGCATCCTGTGCAGAATGCAACAAGGCCTGGAGAATACCAATACAATTCGAAAGATGTAAAGGTTCTCAGAAAGAGCCCTAAATTGGTGGAGAACCATTACATTATGCTATAGAAGGGTCTTTCAAAGACCCTGTAAAAGGCTCTTCACGCGTACACATCAGGGAACCAGAAGTAGTTCTCCTGTGGTGTTGGTCATAGAATCTTTTGGGGCACCTCTTTTTAAAAAGTGTAGCTGCGTTTGTTTATCATGGTGTGAATCGTGGCCAAGTGGGTCGTGTGGTGTCTAGTAGCGCTCCTGAAACTCAGTCTGTCACAGATGTTTTGGGTGGATCCAGTGTCACTGGATTGGTGGCAGAGTTGCTTTGTGGTTTGTGGTAGAGCTACATGATATGCAGTACGGCGCAAAAGAGACCTCCTTTCATTAGTTTTCCAGTTCCAATTACGGTATTCATTTTTCAGTATCAGGAAAAAAGATATATATATATATATATATATATATATATATATATATATATATATATATATATATATATATATATATATATATATATAATATATATCATTGTAAAGTTGGAACTGTGCAAATTAAAAATAACATTTGCGCAAATCTTTGTGCAATTGTGGTACATTAACCTTGTAAACTGGTAAACTGATAAATTGGGAACTTGTTGGACATCCCATTCCTTAACCATAGGCTTTAACATAGGGATGCCCCCCTGCCCTTTTGCGACCATAACAGCCTCCACTCTTCAGGGAAAGCTTTCCTCAAGATTTTGCAGTGTTTCTGTGGGAATTTCATTCAGTCAAAAGAGCATTTGTGACGTCAGGCAGTGATGTTGGACAAGAAGGCCTGACTCACAGTCAACGTTCCAATTCATCCCAGGGGTGTTCAGTGGGGCTGAGGTCAGGCCACAGGAGCTCCTCCACATCAGACAAACCATGTCTTCATGGAGCTCGCTTTGTGCTCAGGGGCTCAGTCATGCTGAAACAGGAAAAGGCCTTCAACAAACCGTTGCTGCAAAGCTGGAAGCATATAATTGTCTGAAATGTCTTAGCATGCTGTAGCATTAACATCACCCTTCACTGGAACTAAGGGGTCCAAACCCAGAAAAACAGCCCCAGCCTATTATTCCTCCTCCACCAAACTCTACTGTTGGCACTGTGGATTCCGGTAGATGGCGCTCTCCTGACATCTGCTAAACCCAGATTAGGTGACATACTTTATGCCACTCCAGCTGACACTTGGCATTGCACATAGTCATCCTAGGACTGTGTGCAGCTGCTCAGCCATGAAAACCCATTTTAGGAAGCTCCCAGCACACAGTTCTTGTGCTGATGTTGCTTCCAGGGGCAGTTTGGAACTCTGTAGTGTGTGCTGCAATTTTTTACACTCTTATGTGCTTCTGCAATCAGCAACTCTGCTCTGTGAGTTTGTGTGGCTGAGCTGTTGTTGCTTCTTTGGAGATTGCATGGATATGAGCTTGATTTAATAAACCTGTTAGGAGTGGGTGTGGCTGAAACAATTAGCAGGGGTACTTTCGGCCATATTGTGTAGAAATTGGGGTCACAAAACATAGCAATATAACTTTAATTTGGATATTTTGTCCATATCCTGCCACCCTGGTTTGTTGTCATGATTTATTTGGTGTTGTCCAGCAGGAGCAGGGCTTACTGTTTTGGGAATGGAGGCACACACTTCAGGGCGACCCATCTCCAGGAAGAGGAGGAGAGAGGGATCAAACAGAGATGCAGAGGAAGGCGAGAGGCCGCTCAAGCTGAGACGCCACACTTTGGTAAGTGAGATAAAAGAGCAAGGCTCTCTGTTTGTACGCCTGTAGGAGAAAAACGACTGTGAACCTGGGCTGCTTTTCGCTCTCCGCAGGGTTTAAGAGATCCAGCGCCCTACGCTGACCAGCTCGAATCACTGGAAGACAAGCCATATAAACGAGTCAGCATGGAAGAGGCTAAAAGAGGAACACCATGTAAGAATTCCAGATAATTCAGTGGTGGAGATGTAAACAAAGTCATTCAGAGTGGGATAATGTGAAATGATTCATTGTAGAGAAACCAGCTCAGATTTCTATACAGTGGTGGTGATAGGAACCAGGGGTCACCATGACTACAACACAAATATAGCCATTTTAAGTTTTTTTCATATATTATATAATATAAAACATTGACTAAGTCATTGAACAATTATTCATAGTCATTTTGTTTATTACCTTTATAAGAAGGGGCTTTTAGAGACATTAAAACTGAGTTCAGACGTCTGGTTCCTATCACCACTGCTGTGAACAGTTCTGACTCTGTGAGTTTCTCTAGAACGGAGCATTTCACACCAAACCACTTTGAATGACTTTGAGTGTGTTTACATCTACTTAATAATCCGATAACTGCACAAAATCAGATTTTGGCAGTAATCTGATCAAAGTGTTTACATGCACTTGAGTAATCAGATAAGGGGGAAACTCCAGGTCTACATGAGTCAGACAGTAATCAGATTTCTGCTCTACAACTAGCCAATAAACTCACAGAAGACGTGACGTAAACATAATGTACAACTCAAACTTCATACTTTGAGGCTTTTTTTTTTAATAAACATTGAGCCACTTTACCTGAAAATATGAACATGCATCATCTAGAAGATGAAGAATATTTAAACCCTTCATTTCGTCCAGTATGTATTTGGCTTCAGCGTCGCTCCAAAAGTGTTAAGCTGCATCTCGTGGCGACGCTGCTTGCTTATATCCGGTCCCACCGTCTGTTTTCGCACATGCTCAGACTGAGAAATCTGAAAGAGATCAGAGTAAGAGTTTACATGCACTGAGAAATCTGATCACTGAGCTAAAATCCAGCTCTTTATCAGATTTCTTAATCAGATTTCTAGACCTTACTCTGATTTAAGAAATCTTAGGGTGCTGTTTACATGACCACTTGAATAATCAGATGACTGCAGAAATCGAATTATGATCGGATTATTGAGCGCATGTAAACACATTCTTTGTTCTTAACTAGTTAATTATACGGAACTTTGGAAAAATCAGTGAAATTCCCCTTTAACGCCTACGAAGGTTACTATATTGATTCACGTAAAGAATTAAAAGTTTGTCTCTTAACCCAAATGTAGTCCATCAGCCTAGACCTGCATCCTTAGCTTTGCACTAGAGCTACAAGGCTAATATAGCTAACAAGTAATGGGAACTTGCACATGTCTAATAGACTTGCTTATGCTTTTTCTGACATACTGTTACCTATAAACACGAGCTGAAGTACATTAGCATAGCTAGAAACAGTAGTAGCAGCTTGTTTAATGTTGCTTAAGCTTTTGTTGCTTGTTAACTACATTAGCCGTGTGGCTCCTGTTCAAAACTAAGGAAGCAAATTTCAAATTGCAGACATGCCTCAGCTGATCGAGTTTTTTGTACAAACTTAATATTTACAGCAAAGGCTTTTTCTTTAATACATCAACAGATGTTACTGTTTGGCCAGTAAGCTCACATAAAGAATGAAGAAAACACACTGTTAAAAATAGTATTAGTTTTTTTATTTGTTCTTTCATTTGTATTGTCTCCTCTCAGCTGACCGGCCGGTGAGGGTGTACGCTGACGGCATCTTCGACATGTTCCACTCAGGACACGCCCGCGCCCTCATGCAGGCCAAAAGGCTCTTCCCCAACACGCACCTCATTGTCGGTGGTAGGTTTAGATTTTACACTCTGATGTCTGACTGACTGCAAAATGGGATCTAATGGGAAACTCCTTGTTTCTACGCTCATTGTCCATTTTATCAGCTCCACTTACTATATAGGTGCACTTTGTAGTTCTACAGTTACAGACTGTAGTCCATCTGTTTCTCTGATACTTTGTTAGCCCCCTTTTACCCTGTTCTTCAGTGGTCAGGACCTCCACAGGACCCCTACAGAGCATGTCTTAATTGGGTGGCGGATCATTCTCAGCACTGCAGTAACACTGACGTGGTGGTGGTGTGTTAGTGTGTGTTGTGCTGGTCTGAGTGGATCAGACACAGCAGTGCTGCTGGAGTTTTTAAACACCTCAGTGTCACTGCTGGACTGAGAATAGTCCACCAACCAAAAATATCCAGCCAACAGCATCCTGTGGGCAGCGTCCTGTGACCACTGATGAAGGACTAGAGGATGACCAACACAAACTGTGCAGCAGCAGATGAGCTATCGTCTCTGACTTTACATCTACAAGGTAGACTGACAAGGAAGGAGTGTCTAATAGAGTGGACAGTGAGTGGACACAGTGTTTAAAAACTCCAGCAGCACTGCTGTGTCTGATCCACTCAGACCAGCACAACACACACTAACACACCACCACCACGTCAGTGTTACTGCAGTGCTGAGAATGATCCGCCACCCAATTAAGACATGCTCTGTAGGGGTCCTGTGGAGGTCCTGACCACTGAAGAACAGGGTAAAAGGGGGCTAACAAAGTATCAGAGAAACAGATGGACTACAGTCTGTAACTGTAGAACTACAAAGTGCACCTATATAGAAAGTGGAGCTGATAAAATGGACAATGAGTGTAGAAACAAGGAGGTGGTCATAATGTTATGCCTGATCAGTGTATGCACCCATGAGAGACAGGAAAATGAAGCAGTGTACACGGTTAGACAATCTTCAGGTTAACTCTGTCACTGAATTATTCTCTGTGTTGGCCCACTTCAGTTTTGTACCGTGTGACTGTGGAATTAGCTTTAGTGCTATTTTTAGAAATCAGCACACCAGTCAGAACCATAATATGCAGCATTTCTGAAACTTGGATCAAATATAAATCTAAGTGTCTTGAACTCAGAGTACTGTGAAACAGTCAGACCATCCTTCATTCATTTTATTTTCAGTCAAAACAGCCAGCCAGCAGAAAATTACACAAAAGCCTCAATAACTAAATACAGTATCATTTTTCCATGTTTGGTGTGTCCAAACTTCATTACAGCTTCCATTCTTTTCAGGAGACTCGCTTTCAGTTCCTCAAAGAATCTGCAGACACGCCTCCAAAGTTCAGTCTTAGAAGCTGGTTGATAATTTTCTGAAGTAATCAAACACATTCAGTGGTGTTGAGGTCTGGACTCTGGGGTGGTCAGTCCATCGTTCAGCTTCTTTGTTTGATGTGTCCGTCTCCTTTTCTCAGTGAGGTTCTTCTTGACAGCTACACATCTTTCAGACCCACAGCGCTGAGTCATCTTCTCACAGTGGAAGGATGGACAGAAACACCTGTGGATGTTTTCAGATCTGAAGCAGCTTGATTTTCTCCTCTCTCTCAAAGATGAAAGCTTTAAGTGCTGTTTATCTGATGGGGGCAGTTTTGGGGTCTACCAGGTCTTCCAGGTGGTTGTTAGCAGCCCAATTTTTTCTGTAGCTTTTAATCATTTTCCGAACTCCAGTGTTTGTTTACTTATTTTCACTTTGACTTTCTTGTTCCTTATGCAAGTGGATTATCTGATATCTAATCATCTCAGAAATATCTCCTGAAAAATGAATAACTTGTACTTAATGGCTGTTTCGACTGGAAATTTAATAAATGAACGGTGCTCTCTGGCTTCTGCACAGTACTATATACTGAATTATTCATGTACGTTCAAATGAAACTTCATTTATGATTTACTGTGTTGATTCTGCACACTGTTATTTGCTCGTCTCTGTTGTAAATGGCAGTGAATTCCATGAATTTCTGAACACTGAACCAAATCTCTGCGTGGTTGGCTGAGTCATAGTGAATTGCTGCCCTTATCTAAACTCTTTCTTGTTCTGAGAACTTGTTGGCTCTCTGTGTTATTCCCCTCCTGGTCTTTTCCTCAGTGTGCAGTGACGAGCTGACGCACAAGCTGAAGGGCTTCACAGTGATGAACGAGGATGAGCGCTACGATGCAGTCACACACTGCCGCTATGTGGACGAGGTGGTCCGCAACGCCCCATGGACCCTCACGCCGGAGTTCCTCACCAAACACCGAGTGAGTGGCAGAGAGGACAGTGGGACACTGGCAGGGCAATATATAGCCAGTACTGGCTATATATTATTCTATATCGTTCAACATCACTGCAATCATAAGGCACTCTCCTGTCTATTGATGGTGCTCCTGAGTCCAAAACGAATGGGTTTCAATGGGGCTTCTGTCCAAAATTGTAAATAAGTGGTTAAATGCACTAATTTTTCACAGCATGAAATACATCAACACTGCTGTCATATTTCACTTTTATAATAGTGTCTTATTTACACTGTGATGTCAGTGAGAGTGAAACGCTTTACTCAGCCAGTGAGCTGATCAGCCTCCTAACCAATCAGCATTCAGTAGCAGCAATGCCAACCAGTCAGCACTCAGGAGCAGTAATGCTGACCAGTCAGTTCTTAGTAGTAATAATGTTAACCAATCATCACTCAGTAACAGCAGTGCCAACCACTCAGCACTCAGTAGCAGTAAAGCCAACCAATCAGCACTCAGTAGCAGCAATGCCAACCACTCAGCACTCAGTAGTAGTAATGCCAACCAATCAGCACTCAGTAGTAGTAATGCCAACCAATCAGCACTCAGTAGCGGTAATGCCAACCAGTCAGCACTCAGTATTGGTAATGCTAACCACCCAGCACTCAGTAGCAGTAATTCCAACCAGTCAGCACTCAGTAGCAGTAATTCCAACCAATTAGCATTCAGTAGCAGTAATGCTAACTAATCAGCACTCGGTAGCAGTAATTCCAACCAATCAGCACTCAGTAGCAGTAATGCCAACCACTCAATACTCAGTAGCAGTAATGCTAACCAATCAGCACCCAGTAGCAGTAATGCTAACCAATCAGCACTCAGTAGCAGTAATGCTAACTAATCAGCACTCAGTAGCAGTGATGCCAACCAATCATCACTCAGTATCTGTAATGCTAACTAATCAGCACTCAGTAGCAGTGATGCCAACCAATCATCACTCAGTATCTGTAATGCTAACTAATCAGCACTCAGTAGCAGTGATGCCAACCAATCATCACTCAGTATCTGTAATGCTAACTAATCAGCACTCAGTAGCAGTAATGCTATACACTCATCTTTATAACTCCTTCTCTTTTGATACCCCCAGATTGACTTTGTAGCCCATGATGACATCCCATATTCATCCGCAGGGAGTGATGATGTTTATAAGCACATTAAGGAGGCTGGTGAGTCTGTCTCGCTGCTCCGTCTCTGGAGGAGCAGATACTGTAGTACATGATATAACATACCAGACCTGCATGGCAGGAATGTACATCTCTGATTGAGGTTAATGTACTTGTATCTTTTTTTCCTGTTTACAAGCATGGATGTAGGATTAATGTTTTTCAGCCCAGTCATAAAACAGCAACGCATCTGTTTTAATCCTCTTGGATCTTCACAGGAATGTTTGCTCCAACCCAGCGGACGGAGGGCATCTCAACCTCTGACATCATCACACGCATCGTCAGGGACTACGACGTGTACGTGAGGCGAAACCTCCAGCGTGGCTACACCGCCAAGGAGCTCAATGTCAGCTTCATCAACGTGAGTTCACCCATCTCATTGTCCTCTCACCACAACTTCTGACCCCAAGACCCCTGACATACTGTTAACCATTAAACATATGGTCAGAAGAATGTCGCATAACTAAATATATTGTAGTAGCCGAACTTTAGCTAGTGATGTGTCGTTCCCTAATGAGTGGTCTCTTCGACTCTTTTAGGTGAAATTTCGGAGCTGACTCATATTATAGAGCCAAGTTTTTGTTTGTTTTTGCACGTTAACATGTTAAAAAGGGGTAGATCTCATAACACTGTAGCTGATCCCCCCTCCTGGATCTCCCTAGAACATTCCGGCTACACCCCCTCATTATATATATATATATATATATATATATATATATATATATATATATATATATAATATTTAAAAGAACAAATCTATTTAAATCCAGTTCATTAATAGAGATAGTAATAAGCTAAATATGTAGAAAATCATCTTTTATATTAGTTTCTATTGGGAGGTGTCTGTCCCAAACCCTAACCTCTAAATTTACACTTGTAAAAATAATACTTACATTTTTTTTGTATTTTTTATGCTGTTTTTTAAAACATCTTGTCAACTTTCTTTTAAATTGAAGTTAATAAAGGGTTTATTAAGGGTTTAATTTTCAACTAAAATAAATGTATCCAAAAATTGCTGTCCCACGTTTTCATGTCATTCCCGAAACACAGTTTTAGTGTGTGGGCGGGGCCTTATTTTATATCTTAGAGCAGAAAGTGAGGCTGCATCCCTGTCCCTCATGGCCACATGGTGAGCAGTTAGATCCCATTGTTTTCAAGTAAAAGTGTCCCAAAGTCTGTAAATCAGTGTGGAACATTAAGAATTGTCACTACCGAAACACATATTTGCTGCAGTTATTTCCTTTTTGGTTTAAGAAGTCCAAAATGTGTTCTCAACTTTGTTTTTGAACCAGTTTGGTCCATATAAGGACAAACTATAGCACTAAAAACTTATGTCTGATGAGATCTAATGAAAATAAGAAGAGGTATTTAATAGAAACTGATACTGCAAAAATTCTGGGTAGCACTACGATATTAATATTAATCTAGACAGTGAGTTTCTGCTCTTTCTTTGAGTTTAAGAAGTGTGAGAACTGAGAACAGACAATCATATCAATAAAGTACTGTTTAACTAAATTATTGGAGTACAAAATTGAAAACTAAATTTTGAATATAAATATATGTCAGCCAATATTGCCTGTAATCGGTATTAGCCACAAAATTTTCATAGCAATAGGTCACGTCTCAGAAATGCCTTTTAGACTATACTTAAACTCTTCTGACGTCTGGTTCCTATCAACACCACTGTGAACAGTTCTCATACAGCAAGTTTCTCTAGAAAGAAGCGTTTCACACCAAACCACTCTGAATGACTTGGTTTACATCTCAGCCATTTAATTATGTAGAAATTTTGAAAAATCTGTGGAGTTCCCCTTTAACTAACTATATCATCAAGGATTAGAGGCGCTGTACTAAATCATATTAAGTTGTTTGCTAGCTTAGTTGTATGGCAATGATAAATATATCGCCGCTGTCCAGCAAAAATCTTCATTTTTGTTTTACTTTTTTGCATAATTTGAAAATTCAAGCGGCTGCTTTGGTTCCCACCACGCAGGAGAAGAAGTACCACCTGCAGGAGCACGTGGACAAGGTGAAGCAGAAGGTGCGGAACGTGGAGGAGAAGAGTAAGGAGTTTGTGCAGAAGGTGGAGGAGAAGAGCATCGACCTCATTCAGAAGTGGGAGGAGAAGTCCCGCGAGTTCATCGGCAACTTCCTGCAGATGTTCGGGCCGGAGGGAGCGCTGGTGAGCGAATCTAACTTTCTTACATTTTTCTTCTTTCTCTGATTTGATATCAAGGGTTACATGGACTAGGGTGGTATTGTGTGAATTTGCTAATTTAGCTGAATTTAGTTTTTACTGTTTAGCCTTTGTTTAAGTCAGGGCTGTCCAAAGTTAGTCCATGAGGACTTTTGATTTGGCCCACCAAAAAGTTACCTAAAGCCCACCCTCTTTCAATGAGAGGACAAACATTTTTTTAAACTACACATAATGTACTAAATTCTTATTTTTCTTTCTTTGTATTTTTGAAGTACTTTAAAAATACAAATATATTAACAAAATATAGTGTATTGGTATAAAATAATAATTTTGGAGCATTTCTATTGGTCCACTCAAAATAAAATTTGAACACAATGTAAAGGACAGCTGGTGTGTTAAAATGATGTAGAAAAATAAATCGAGAAAAATGGAGATGCATGATTTTTTTGGGAAAGCAAAAATATGTGTGTTTGTGTGTGTGTTTGTGTGTGTGTGTACACAATATAACAAGAGGGGCCCTGTTTTCTTCTGTAACATCATTCCTTTGCTGTGTGCAGAAGCACATGCTGAAGGAGGGGAAGGGTCGCATGCTGCAAGCCATCAGTCCCCGCCAAAGTCCATCCAGCAGCCCGACCCGCGAACGCTCGCCTTCGCCGACCTTCCGCCTGCCCTTTTTCACCAAAACCTCTCCACCCTCCTCACCCTTCTCCCGGCGCAGCAACACCGGCCCCCAGGCCATCAGCGAGGAGGAGGAGGATGATGATGATGATGACAACGATGATGATGATGATGACGATGACGTCGACGATGAAGAAGATGGCCTTTAAGCCGCTGGCAACAAAACTGCAGAAACCCAAACGGACTTTGTGTGCTAACAGCTCTCTGTCCCTCAATGAGTGAGTGAAACCAAAAAAACGGAGCACCGTGAGAGAAGCGCTCAGACCACACAGGTCAAATACAGGTCAAATACGGCTCTTATAGTACAAAGAGCCATGTAACGTACCAGGTGTGGGAATGTGTTTAGGCGTGCCAGTGTTCGGGCTTTAGCTGTTAGTCTTTTAATGGGTCAAGTTTGGGGGAAAAGGTTCTGTTTTTACTTCTCTATGATCAGTAAATACAATATGGATTCATTTTTAGTTTTTAAACGGAAGCCTGCAATCCAGTCCAGTCCTCAGCACCCTGTATGACGTTGGCCCTCCATACAATCAGAAACCCACCATTTGTGCTATTTTTAAAACGTGACATCATTCTCACCACCATCAGCGTCCAAATCAAGTAAAACAGTCTGGATCATTTGTGCTGCCAAAAGAAACATTTGTGCTAATTTATTTTTTGAATGAGTTGAGCTTTCACACGTTTCACAGCTTCTGACCAATGTTTAGGCTAAGTGCTAACTCTGAGCATGTATATGAGTAGAAATAGCATAAATCTGGACTGGTGTTTTATGTCCCATGGGGCTTAGCATCTCTAACCAACCTGGGTTTAAAATAAACAAGACAGCCTGTGGCTAAGCAGCTGACATGAGACATTACTGCACGTTTGGAGTTCAGGTCAGCAGTCTTGAACTTCAGTTAAGGTTTTAATAATGTGTTTAAAATACAGAAACAGAAGCTTTTATTAATTGACGACAATGAATAAATAAGGACAAAAAGTGCTGTTGATGCAAAGCACCACTGTTATGAAGCACCAGAAACTACTTGAGTGCTAATAGCTCCCCCTTGTGGAGAAACTTAAGCCTGCTAAACATGAGTGAGTCAGTCAGGCAGTCGCATGAAGTGCTTTGCATCTAAAAAGTGAGATAAATTGGCTAAAGAGTTTCCTCAGATCTTTTCACAGCTGTCCATTTTAGCCTGAGACAATTGCCTGGATGCAGTCACTTATAATGATGATAATAATAATAATAATAAAAAACGAAATATATAAAACAGTGAAAATAAAAATAGGACAAACCAGCAAAAACGTAGCACATCACTGGTTTAAAAGACTAGTTGGACTAATAGCAGTTATAGCCAGAGAAATGAAATAGATGAAAGCACAGTTGGTTCCTTTGTCAGCACGAATCAGGCTATTTTGGTTGTTAATGGCGTGCAGGGTGACATCGCTTGTTAGAAAATTGTTTAATATTTCTTTCTAGGACATTAACCGGCACTGTTGTGGCACAAATGAACTGAGTTTACATAAAATAAATCTACTCAAATTATTACAGCATGTAGGCTTCAGCATACGCCATGAAACCCAGTGTCCTCAACAAAGAACAGTTGGCCATGCAAGGCAATGAATTCCATTATTTCAGGTTACAAGCTTCTTGTTTGAATTTTTCCGTTCCAGCTTAAATGGTGCAACAGTTACATTCTTGTGCCCGTAGGCGCTAGAATGTAACTGCTGCACCGTTTAAGGTGGAACGGGAAAGTTGAAACTGGTGACGCAGAAGCTGACAGGTTTTTGCATTGCAGCATGTTTATTCACTATTTCTCATTTTATTTCCATTAAACTTAGTCTAAAAAAGGTCTTAGTAAAAATGAGCAAGTCTTCGATTTTAGCACTTCATTTTAGGCCTATTTAATCTTTGTTTCTTTATTTTCTGTAAAAATTTCAGCCTTTTTTTCCAATTTCGGTGTATCCTTACAAATAACCTGATAGCACAAGTCAGCACAGATTAACAGAAAATACCTTTGTCCTTTTTTCCTTCTTTTGTCAGTGAACCACAGCCACTCCACCAATTTAGATATTATTTTTCTCATTTTTTCCCTCATTCTCCCATCTTTTTTCTCTGATTTCCTCTATTTCTTTTATATGTTCAGACCTTTTCTGATTGCATGGGATGCCAACTTCACACAGGTGTGTAGAAGTCAAGAAACGTGGTCCTGCTGGGGGTCCATAAGGTCCTTGATCTCACTGTAAATCCATATCTCAGTGTTTCCGTGTCCTTTTTGACAACAGCAGTTTTGCTGGATCTGATTAGGATATGATGACCTGTCCACATTCTCTTCTTCAGAGTACAGTTGGGTCAGCATTACTGGATTAAAATGACACTAAAACAGGCTACTTGTCCAGCTGGGTGAGCCTGAAGCAGATTGCTGGTTTTGCACATTGAGGGTCTGAATACTCGAAACATTATAGCACTGCTGGGCCTCCATTCTTTTTAACTGTGTGTAATCAGTTGTTTTTTCCCATCTTTCATTAAAGCGAGTATTAATTCACTTTGGATTTTAAAAATTATAAAGGCTATTTTGTTTATTTATTTATTTAACATCCTATCCTAGACTTGATTTCACTGCACATTTTTCACAGTACCTGATTTGTGATCACTAATTCCCAGTTTAAGACCATCTTGGATGTGACGTCATCTTAAACTGAGATTTTAATTGTTTTGCTTGAGTTCAAGTCTGGTTAAGACAGCCTTGGGAAACTGTTAGTAGGTCAAACGTCTTGACATCTGTGGGACGATTTTAGTTTCACCATGTTTGGAATCTGTTAATGCACAAATGTATCACGTGTTTCACCATAATGCACTTGAATGGATGAGTTTGGCACAGGTCAGCTGAAGTCATAGATGGACATTCGCTTTCAGCAGTCTTACCCAGTTCAGTACGAGGCAGGATGAAGTGATTCTTGTGCTTCTGCCCAAGTAAATTCACTGTCGCACTGTTAGAGTTCACCACAGTGAGTGATGTCTGTAAACGTGTGATATGTTTGCACACGTTGAGTCTAGAAGCCGGTCTTTTGCCTTCCTTCTCCTGTCCTGTCAAAAAGACGAATAAACAACCTAATGTACAATGAGCTCATGAAATACTTATCATCAAATCTGCAGACACGCCTCCAAAGTTCAGTCCTAGAAGTGGGTTGCACTTTCTGCTTCTGGTCAATCATGGAATCCCACATTCAGTGTTGTTGAGGTCTGGACTCTGAGGTGGTCAGTCCATTGGTCTGGAATGAAAATATGTTGCCTGTCGCTGAAAACCTTTTATCTCCATTTTTGTCGTTTTTCAATTTTTGTCATAATTGTAAAATGCCTGTTGCTCTTTACATTGTGTGTAAATTCCATGATGAATGGACTAAAAGAAACAGCCTAAAATGACTTGGAAAAAAGTCTGGTTCCATTGACTTACATTAAAAGTAAAGTATGTTTTTTCCTTCTCCTGTAAAGTTACCATTTTGGAGATACGAGGTTTTCTTCTGACAACAGCGATATGCTTCTATGTAGCACCAAGAAGGGTTCTTCTGTTGTTACAAGCTTGACATCGTACGCAATAGCAGAACTTTTTTTGGTCCTATAGAACCATATTCAAAAAGGTTCAATATAGAACTGTATACATCACGTTCACAGCCTCATCAGCCTCGAGAACCATTTCACCATGCAAAGAACCATTTAAGCATGAGATGGTTTTATATGGAACTCATGGTTCTACATAGAACCATTCCCTTTACTGAAAACCCATCTTTTTAAGAGTGTATCTTTGGATGCTTTAGTGAAGTTCTGAAGTTCCAAATCCTCTGAAACAATCAAATCCATCTTACTATTCAAAGGAAATAACCTCACAGATAAACTGTATCTATCCATGAGAGTCTTTGAGCAATAATTACATGCTGTGTAAAAGTCAGAGGCCAAACGTCACTTAATTTCCAATTAAAATGGCCATTAAGTACAAGATGTTCATTATCCAGTATGTATTGTGTCCACTTAATTATAGCTTCTATTGTTTTGATGAGACTCACTTTCAGTTCCTCAAAGAATCTGCAGACTCACCTCCACAGTTCAGTCTTAGAAGCTGGTTGATGATTTTCTGAAGTAATCAAACACATTCAGCGATGTTGAGGTCTGGACTCTGGGGTGGTCAGTCCATTGTTCAGCGTCTTTGTTTGATGTGTCCATCTCCTTTTCTCAGTGAGGTTCTTCTTGACAGCTACACATCCTTTCAGACCCACAGTCGTCTTCTCACAGTGGAAGGATGGACAGAAACACCTGTGGATGTTTTCAGATCTGAAGCAGCTTGATTTTCTCCTCTCTCTCAAAGATGAAAGCTTTAGGGCTGTTTATCTGATGGGGGCTGTGTTGGGGTCTACCAGGTCTTCCAGGTGGTTGTTAGGAGGCACATTTTCTCTGTAGCTTTTTGGAAACTCCGGTTTTCCTTATGCAAGTGGATTATCTGATATCTAATCTCAGAAATATCTCCTGAAAAATGAATAACTTGTACTTAACGGCTGTTTTCACAGTAACTTTTACAACGTGGACCTCCAAGCCAGGGCTGTTTCTGAACATTTGGGGGCCCCAAGAGCCCACCCACCCTAATCATATTCTTTTATATGCAAGAATGGAACAAGAGTTAATACTTAATATTAAAAATTTTGAAAAAAAATGGTTCTTTAAGGGTTCTTTAGTGAAAAAAATGATTTTATATAGAACCACGAACACTCAAAAGAACCTTTTACATAGTCAAATGATTTTTGCATGGTGAAGTGGTTCTTCAGATTGATGAAGAATGTGCTGTAGATGGTTCTATATAAAACCTTTTTGAAAAGGGTTCTTCTATTATTACGATGTCAAGCTTGTAACAATAAAAGAACCCTTTTTGGTGCTATATAGAACCCTTTTCAAAAAGTTCTACATCACACCATAGACAACACATTCTCCATCAATCAGAAGAACCCTGCAAAGGGTTCATGGCTCTATATAAAACCATTTTCCTTACTAAAGAACCCTTGTAGAATCTTTTTAAGAGTGTACTACAAATGAACCCTTCTATGCAGAGAACACAGAACCTCAGAGAAGAAAGACACACAGGCGTTTTCCATTATACATTTTTACTGAACAGTCACCATGTTACAGAGCGGGAGATCAGACACAGAGAGAGTGACCAGTGAAGAATGAGCACAGATTAAAAGCCAGCTGACCTCTATGGACGGGCCGAACAACCTCTAAAGGCTGTCAGATTTTAGTCCTGGAGGCCACAGCGCCCCATATAACAAACCCAGATGGTTCACAAAAGAGCATTTCTCAGTCTAGCTTGATAACTTAGGTCTAAAGTTAGGATTGTCCAGTATGACTGTCCCTTACCTCTTCTCCTATCAGACAGGTATGAGTTTGGGCTTAAGTTATCTGGCCAACGGAAATCACAGCTGGTCTTTGCTTTGTGAAATACCACTCGGACTCAAGTCTAGATTGCTGTGGCCCCACAAGACCCGAGCTTGACCTCCAAAAGTCCACCACACACTGAAAGAGTGCATAAGAGACCACTCGCTCTGGTCACTCTGGTCTTAAAGGAATAGTCTGATGAAAAAACAAATTGAGATGTTTTCCACATCACTCCGGATATAGTTGATCAGCCAAGACAGGTTTTGCACAAGTAATGAAAGCTTATAACCACTATGACACCAACTGGTGGGCTATAAGCTTCCATTACTTGTTAGCAACGTTAGCTTTGTGGCTCCAATGCAGAAGCAGTCTACTTGTCTTGGGTTGATGGACTACATTTTGGGTAAAGTGGTTGTTTTCTCACCAAACTGTGGCTCCCTGCTCTGAATGCTGGGCCTCTTCGTTAATACACTCATACCGCCAGGCAGGATACGTTTCACATTTTGCATAATTCATTATTTTGTCTTTCTGTGTGTGTTTTTTTAATTTTATGTGTATAACTGATCCACATATCTCGAGAGGAAAGGCGAGACACAAGGGCCAGAAGACGACCGGCCCCTCTGGCCAGCGAGCCGATCAGCAGCGCGTCTCGTAGATGCCGCTGCGGCCGATGTAGCGGACCCATTTAATGACATCGTGATCACTGTAGTTCAGCTTGGACTCGAACACCTTCAGGTAGCGCACCTTCAGACCGGACGGCGCAAACGGGACCTTAGGAACCAGAGGAGGGCAGAACATCAGCAGTCAGTCAAATATCTTTCCATATTATTTAATACTGTAATTTATTATGTGGCCAATTTACAGGAGACAACAGTGAACGCTTTAAAGTAAAGGTGAACGTACGGGTACAGTTGTAGGAAAGGCCTTTAATTTGTATACAGATCTTTACATTATGTGGATGATGTTTAAATTTATGAGGTGTATTTTTCACATCTTAAAAAAAAATGTTCTTTAATAAACCATTCTTTGAGACGTTCTTCTATGTTATCGTTCCAAAAAACCCATTTTGGCAATATTATAATTGTAATATTATTTTATGATTAGTAGTAGTAGTAGAAGTTGAAGTTGGTTAGTAGTTACATGGTAGTTAAAAAAAAAATTCCTAGCTAAAAAAGTATTGGTCACATTTTTTCCCCCTAAATTTTTTGCAATCGGCCTCCTTTTTAGAAGACCATCTGACTAGTGGCCAGATTTAACTGGCTGCACTCACCTCAAAGTTCATTGAAATTGGAGGACGGGCCCACTTCTTCTTGTCGTTGGTGGGCAGCAGCTCAATCTCAGCGCTGATCTGAGACTCCTTCATTCCAGCCATGCGCTTGATCCTTCAGAGAAGAAGGAATGGACTCACTATATGTGCCGATATTCATATACACTGAATTACACTCATACAATAACAACAAACAGCAGGACGGCGATACACACTTCCACACAATGGCGTTCTCGCTGGCCTTGTACTTCGCTTTCCCCTTCATGCAGATCACCTGCACTCCACTCGTGTTCAGAGGGGTCGGGATGCGCACCTAAAACGACACGACAGATAAAAAGAGTGAGGAACTGTCTCTGTGTACCTGCACTCACTGGCCATTTTACTGGAAACACCTACATGTCCATTAAATATATAGTGGTATTCAAAAATATGAACAACCCCAGCCAAATTTACAGAAATCCAGAGAGGCCATGAGGTAGATATAAATCTCTGGATCTTGGTCTTAAGATCATGACTTAACTTTCCTGTGATCTTGAGATAACAAAGGCTGTTATCTTAAGATCACTAGTCGTAATCTCAAGATAACTGTTTTGCAATCTCAAGAAAACAAAGTTATCTTGAGAAAACGGTTGTTATCTTGAGATAGCAACTTGTCATCTCAAGATCACAAGACAATTATATGTGGCTCCTAAGATAAGTTGTGATCTCAAGATAACAAGTGTCTTGTGATCAAGATAAAATTATCTTGAGATCACAACTTACCTTGTGATCGAGAAAACAGAAGTTGTTATCTTGAGACCACGCTTAATTATCTTGTGATCTTGAGATAAAAGTTGTCTTGAGATCACAAGATAAGTCATAATATAAAATGACAATTTAAGTGTCTTATGATCTCAAGATAAAGAGCTCACGACTTAATAACCTTGTGATCTCACAACAAAGTTGTTGTCTTGAGATAACAACTTGATCATCTTGTGATCTCAAGATAACAATTCAGAATATTATAGCCACCTCATGGCCTCTCCGGACTTCCGTACAAATTACATATTTTCTTGATTTTAAAGTGAAAATAAGTTAAATTGTCCACTATAGGGAACAAATGTAAATATGGTTTAATATTTTTCTGCAAATTTTAGTGCACAAGTTCTATTTACTTGCTGAGTTTAATATATTTGAAAAGAAAAAAAAAGATATGAACTATAAAATGTGCCATGGCGTTTGCACAGGCCACATTTTTGGGGTTTTTTTTTTTCAATATTTTAAATTTAGTAAATCTACAGTAATTGTGCATTGAAATGTGCAGAGGTGTGTCTCTGTAGAGGACGTGTTCACTTATTTACACTGACTGTATACAGTTCATCACCCCCCTCTCTACTCTGCTCATCAATGGTCAGTTTCTAACCACATGACCGCGGATGACCAGATATTATCTGGGTGGCGTGACCTGCACTCACCTCAATCTTCTGTGCCAGCAGTGAGGGCTTGAAGTTGGACTTGATGACCACTTTCACCTCCAGCTTGGTGCGGCCGACCTCGCGGACCAGCGGGATGACCCGGAAGGGCAAGATGATGTCCTTAGTGGTTCGATACCTGCACGTTCACACGCAGAAAGGTAAGATACAGAAACGTAGGGTCACCTGAAGGTCAAAATCACAGCACTCAGCACTGACCTCATGAGCTCGAACTCTCCGTCAGGAGGAATGAAACTGATGCTGCGCTCCGAGTCGAACTTGCTGAGACGGACGCACTGATTGAAGGTGCAGTCATCGATGGCTATGGACTGCTTCCCACTGTGGAGACAACAGACAGACTGAGCTCCTGTTTAACATACTGTACTGGACACATGATATTCCGAGATTTGTTTCTAAGCCAAACATTATTATGTATTTGTTCATTTAACTGTCAGTAAAAGTAAGTAAAACTCTTCATGAGCAGGTGGGCGCACTCTTATGACCAGTAGAGGTGGGCGATATGGGAACAAGATAACAACTGTCTTGTGATCTCAAGAAAACAAAGTTGTTACCTTGCGATAACAACCTAATTATCTTGTGATCACAAGATAAGTTGTGATCAAGATAATAATTGTCTTGTGATCTCAAGATAAAGTTGTTATCTTGGGATCATAAGATAGGTCATGATCTCAAGAAAACAACTGTCTTGTGATTTCAAGAAAACAAAGTTGTTACCTTGAGATAACAACTTAATTATCTTGTGATCTCGAGATAACAAAAGTAAGCAAAACTCTTCATAAGCAGGTGGGCGCACTCTTATGACCAGTAGAGGTGGGCGTTATGGGAACAAGATAACAACTGTCTTGTGATCTCAAGAAAACAAAGTTGTTACCTTGCGATAACAACTTATCTTGAGATCTCAAGATAAGTTGTGATCAAGATAACAACTGTCTTTTGGTCTCAAGATAAAGCTGTTATCTTCAGATCATGACTTAATTATCTTGTGTTCTTGAGATAACAGTCTTGTGATCTCGAGGTAACAAATGTTATCTTGAGATCACAAGATAGGTTCTCTCCAGTCCTCCATACAAATTACACATTTTATTGATTTTCTACGTGAAAATAAGTTAAAACGTCCTCTATAGGGAACAAATGTAAATATGGTTTATTTTAATATTTTTTAGTGCACAAAAAAAAGATAAACTGTGAACGCAATGATTTTTATTCAATATTTGGCACTAAATCCAGTCATATGGGACTAATTTGCTCTATTTATAATGATATAATGTTGCTCAGTGCTACAAGTACTGACGATGTCCACGATATATTCAGGAAGGTGTATTGTGTTGTGACATAATTTATCACGATAACGATAAATAGTCATATTGCCCATCCCTAATGACCAGTAGTGTATATATGTGTCTCACCCAAACCTTACTTCAAACTTTAAACCTTTACCCAAAATAAAATTCCCAATGTGAAAATGTACACTTAAAAAGGAATTTATGCTCCGATTTTTCAAAATTTCCAAGTCGTTCAGAGTGGTTTAGTGTGAATTGTAGAGAAAAATACAGACTCTTCTTTAAAATGTGGTGATAGGAACCAGGGGTCACAATGCAACTATACTACAACACAAAAGAAGCCATTATTTACTGTCCAAAAGCACCAGTGAACCTATACATGCCTTTCTTCTAACTCAGGCTCAGGAACACACACTAGAATCACTGGGGAAGCAGTGTGTGACAGAAGATCAGCTAGTTATATGAGACAAAATAGGCACTAAGGAACAAAACTGCATCAAAGTAGGCCTGGGTGATAAAATTATAATTATCAAAATCCAATATTTTTTCAATACTGATAATGTCCATTTGAGATATTTTCAATAAAATGTTCCTCAATCCAGTATAAGCAGCAAAGGCTTCAAATCTGAACTGTTGCTTCTTCAGCACCCTAGGTGGCACCTTGACAGAGAGGAAGAAGTCTGGCCATTCACTTGCAACAGCAACAAACCAGTTAGCAATACAGTTGTCATATAGATTCCTTTATATATGGATGTATACTTTATACACACCGATCAGGCATAACATTCTGACCACCTCCTTGTTTCTGTGCTCATTGTCCATTTTATCAGCTCCACTTACTATATAGGTGCACTTTGTAGTTCTACAGTTACAGACTGTAGTCCATCTGTCTCTCTGATACTTTGTTAGCCCCCTTTTACCCTGTTCTTCAGTGGTCAGGACCCCCATGGACCCTCACAGAGCAGGTACTATTTGAGTGGATCATTCTCAGCACTGCAGTAACACTGACATGGTGGTGGTGTGTTAGTGTGTGTTGCGCTGGTCTGAGTGGATCAGACACAGCAGTGCTGCTGGAGTTTTTAAACACTGTGTCCACTCACTGTCCACTCTATTAGACACTCCTACCTTGTTGGTCAACCTTGTAGATGTAAAGTCAGAGACGATAGCTCATCTGCTGCTGCATGGTTTGTGTTGGTCATCCTCTAGTCCTTCATCAGTGGTCACAGGACGCTGCCCACAGGACGCTGTTGGCTGGATATTTTTGGTTGGTGGACTATTCTCAGTCCAGCAGTGACACTGAGGTGTTTTAAAAACTCCAGCAGCACTGCTGTGTCTGATCCACTCGTACCAGCACAACACACACTAACACACCACCACCATGTCAGTGTTACTGCAGTGCTGAGAATGATCCACTCAAATAGTACCTGCTCTGTGAGGGTCCATGGGGGTCCTGACCACTGAAGAACAGGGTAAAAGGGGGCTAACAAAGTATGCAGAAGAACAGATGGACTACAGTCTGTAATTGTAGAACTACAAAGTGCACCTATACAGTAAGTGGAGCTGATAAAATGGACAGTGAGCGTAGAAACAAGGAGGTGGTCATAATGTTGTGCCTGATCTGTGTATACTTTATATATAGTTATACACAGTTTTGAACATTACACAGTAATAACCCTTTTGTTTTTTCAAGGTCCAAAACATTTTCATTTGAAAACGTATGCAATAATTATCATTATGGAACAATATGGAGAAATATATGTTGTGATAAGATTTTTGGCCACATCACCCAAGCCTACATCGAAGGAGACACGTTTGGGATTACAAAACTCATCTCAAACACAGTACCTTCCCCCTAACTCACTGAGGTACAGCACGGCGAGAGAGAGAGAGATGGAAAGAAGGCGCAACAGAAGCACACGTTTAAAAATCAAAGCACTGAAAGCAGCTTCAAAACAAATATCATCTTTTTATCTTTTGCTCAAAGACAAACATAAAAACATCTTCAAAGCTTCACAAAAAGGCTGGAAGAGCAAAACGTCGTTCTTCAAAGTGGACGCTGCTTACCTCTTCCCGGTGTCGTCGCCAGCTCCGCCCTTGCCCTGCTTATCGATGACGATTTTGTCGTTCATGCCGAATTTGCACTCAGGCATCCCGCTCAGGTAGCTCTTCATGACCACGCGGCCAGACACGTGTGCACTCAGGACCTGACCTGTAAAGGACAGTTTTGATAACAGGCTGTCAGCCTATTTAGTGAATGTTAGGCTTCTGCATGAATGTACTATTAACTGTCACGTAAAGAACCATATTGGTCATTTCGATGGAGATTTCCCTTTTGTGTTTCCTCTGTTGGATTAGAGTTGGACTCAGCACTACACTTTAGTAACTGCTAACGGTGTTTGGATGATAGGCCAAATTCCTTCTTGCGTTACTCACAAACACTCACCCCCATGGTGAGTCACTCCTAGGTGAGCATAACATCTCACCCAGAGACAAAGGCCCAATCCCATCTGACCCCTCGCCCCTACCACTCAGCCCTTACCCCTCCTTTTTGCATGTTCACGTCTAGGGGTAGGGTGTCCTGATTGTTGTTGAGATAGAGGGGTAGGGCGAAGTGTTAGAGCTACATGCCCCTCCAAACGAAGGTTATTCAGAGACTCCAAACAGAGAGTTATGAGAAAAAAAGAAAAAACGACAAGATGGCTGAACAAGAGACCAAAGAAACACACGAATGTGAGAATTTTCTCTGTTAACAATTATGATAACCACTGTATTATCTTAGTTTAATGTCGTTTCAGTGTGTTATGGTCGTTTTCTTCATAACCAGCATAAAAATCGCTAGTAGTCTGCTGATGTCTTGGTAGCTAACTTTCCCATTCCACCTTAAAGTATCAGAACTGCTGCTCCATTTAAGGTGAAACGAGGAAATTCAAACAAGAAGCTGGTGAATATCTGACTTCAGCTTCATATCACTGAAGAATTGGGGGTGGGTGATAATAAATAATTGCCCCCCTCTTTGAAGGCATATGATGCCCTAAATGTAACTAAAGCCCAGCAGTGAGGAGCTGAACTTTACCCTCCTCTGCTGTCACTGCAGACTGGCAGGGTCGCCTACAGAGCAGCGCTGGTAGCTGTTAATGAAGTAATGCTCTTTTTATTTGAGGGTTGTCCCATTTCATAGGGGAAGATTTAGACCCCTACCCCCTGTAACTAAGCTCCAAGGGGCAAGATGACACTTGAAAACAAGGGATAAAAAATAAATGGGATTGGGCCAAAGTCTGACTCCTGCCAGAAAATAAAAGCTTACAAAAGCCATTTGCCTTTGGTTTGTTCGAGTTGCTGTGGCTCTGCAACTGACAATCACTGTGCGGTGTGAAACGCCCACCAGTCCTGATCAGGCAAAGGACGGTTTTTCTAGATGTTAACAAGCTTTTTTAGATCCTCAGGTCACATATCTTGATATTCTGAATCAAACTGACAGCCCCATTAACTGTTACTGTGTTGGTTAGCTATACTAAATCACAGAAGGCCACAGCATGCAAATTATTAACCATGTTACAGTTTTTTTCAATGTATTTTTGGTATAACACAAAAAATATATTGCACAGCATTTAAATATTTTAAAAGAGTAAAGCAGATTATGAATTTGGAAACATTTCCAATTCATTTTGTAACTCTGTTCATATTACGTAACCCTTACGGGTGCTGCCTCACCCTGTGGAGACATGAGCAGGTTCACACTCTCCAGCACATCCAGGAACAGCTCGTTGCGGCGGTATTTGATTCCCTCGCGACGCCAGCCGATTTGACCGGTCACCTGGCTGGTGATCTGGGACTGCTCCTCTTTAGTCTGTGAATGTAAACGTTATTCATTATGTAACCGACTAGAATTACGCAGCTACATAATTTAAACTGAATGCAAAGCAAAACAACAACTCCAAACGTCTAAGGCTAAAAGAGAACAGAACAGACGCTCTACAGAAAACTCCGGAAAACCAAGAAGACATTCAACAAAACACAGTTTGTAATCAAATTCATTATGTAACTACAAAATGATGCAATTACACATAAACAGTAAAGCGAAACTACAATAATAACTTCTAATGCTTAAATTGCACCTCCACCCACACCAAAACAAAGCACAGTGTATAAAGATCTACAGGGTGTAGGTTCAGAGTGGCTGGGTTTTATTTACCTGATGCTGTGGTCAGTCCGGTGCAGGACAGCAGGACATGAAAGAGGAAAGGTGTTACGTTACAAACCATGTTTAATAGGACAAGAACAACAACAACATTACTAGTCATTACTATCCAGGATCACTGCAACAGGATGACAAGCTTTCCTCTTCAACTCCTTGAGACCACCGGTGGTTCCAAAACACACTTCGTCATATTCTTCATAACTTTCATATTTCATAAGCTACATTCTAAAGGTGGGGGTCGTATGAGAGCTGTAACTGTCTTCTTTCCAGTCAAATAGATGGGTGATGTAATTTTAAACCCTTATAATAAAAGAAGCTGAACTCACAATTTTTTTTCTACCGAAAGTCGACCCATTTTTCCACAAATCTGGGCTATAAACTATAAACAGATGGCGTCTCTTCAGTGATCTGCTCTGTAAAAATTACTTTTATAAAATAATACAAAGAGTCTCTAAGATTTTTGCCTTTCAGCAGTACATTGTAAGCATATAGCAATATGTGTGATCATAAAACACATGTTCTGTTAATTTGAGGGGAGCTTTTACAAAATAAATAAATACATAAATAAATAAAATAAAAATTTGCATTTATTTCATGCAGTTACTGAATAATTTGCCCTACGATTTGGTCACGTAAATTCAGATGGACAAACCAAAATATAGAGAGTAAGAGGTTAAATCGGTCCCCGTCAGAGAAGACAGAGATGAGGTACGCTAAGCCTCGTTCTCCTTACCTGACCTTTGATGCCCTGCTGTGTGATAAACGTCTTCAGCGCTCCAGTCTCAGAGTTCTGAGGGTATCCAAAATCCAGAATCTCTGCACACACAAACAGACATAACTTGTAAAATGCATGAGGAAAAAGTTCAGCAGCTCACTGGGTGTGTTTCAGACCTGCCAGGCCTACACATGGCACCGTTTACTCAAGAGCTGGTTATTTATTTAGCTGGCAGGCTGGTTTCCATGGACAGCTCACAGCGTCCAGGTGCAGGTGCTCAGTGCTAACAGTGGCCACCAGCCAGGAAAACATCATCTTGAGGGAACAGTTCAGTGAAACACTCCAATTTACACATTTTCCCCCAACACAGTGCAGCCAAGATAATCAGCCAAGTCTGGTGTGTGAAGCTGGCTTCTTCAGTGTTGTACTGGAGCTACGAGGCTAATGTAGCTAAGTAAAAATTAGCATGGGGGAAAACGAAGGTCTAAATCATCGTACAGACGCCTTAAACTGTGAGGAGTAGTTAAGTAATCTCAAAAAGACCTGCTTATGTGGTTTCTGACACTGTATGACCCACTGCTTAGAGACTGAAAAGTCTCCCTTCGTCTCTAAACGTGGTGGCAGTTTCTGCAGGTTTTGATGGAGGAAATGCAAGACCAATTACAAATACAATTACATATTTATTTAACAGTTATTACAAACATTTGGATAATGATTAGGGCCCATTATTATGAAGTGCAACCCAAACTATTGTTAATCAGGTTTCTGTAATTCAAAAATAATTAAAAATTAATTACATGTCACTAAATAAACTGTTAATAATTGAAAATGAGTTAATATAGCTGTAAACTGAATCCATCTCAAAAACAGACAGGCAGAGGTGTCAGAGCAGAGCAAGGCTCCAGTGTTTACCGTCCAGCAGCTCGTAGATCAGCACAAAGTTGTTCTTGATGTTCTCCTCGCTGATCTTGCCGAAGTAGGCCGTCATCACGTCACACATTTTGTAGAGGAACTCGAAGACCATGGCGGCGTTGACATTCTGCTTGGTAACAGCAGCCAGCCAGATGTTGGAGCGCTTGACGTGGAAGAAGCTGGTGCGGGCGATGTTGGTTACGGGCGAGCGTACCTGCTGGCGGGCGTGGATCACATTCACCCGGAACGCGTCCACTGCATTCCGTCTACGGGGGGGAGAGGAAGAGGGAGAGGGAGAGAGTGAGAGAGAGTGAGAGAGAGAGAGAGAGAGAGAGAGAGGGAGGATGAATTGAAGCTCTTGGATTCTCTACCTGAAAACCTGACAGCTGTTGACTCTCTTAGAACTATTTAATTGCATCTTAAAGCACCTTTATTTGAAGCGAAGTCAATCAGCCATAATCAATTTTCCACTGTAGCTACAAAGCTAATGTAGCTAATAAGTAACAGAAGCTTACACTTCACCAGTTAGCATAGTGCTAACTGCATGCCTAAATTCCAAAAGGGTTGAAATGTAATGGAATCCATGTATTCAGAATACAGAAAATTAATATATTTATTTAGTCCAGGTCACGTTTTGTAAAGGCAGTTTTCAGAACACAGTTAACTTTCACATTTTTTTAGGATAATAATTTTACAATATCAATTACCCAATAACTAAAAACATACAATCTCTAAAAGAATTTCCATCAATGCATGTTTATTAACTATTTTTAAGTTGCACAGCAAACAAACTCTAAAGAGGATCTCAATTAATGGCTTCTGATCACTGAAGTTCCAACAAAAAGCCTGAGTAGACTGATAAATCAATGTGATCAGTTATTAATCTCTGTGTTACTGAGCTCTGCTAAAGCCTGAGTAGACTGATAAATCAATGTGATCAGTTATTAATCTCAGTGTTACTGAGCTCTGCTAAAGCCTTAGTAGACTGATAAATCAATGTGATCAGTTATTAATCTCAGTGTTACTGAGCTCTGCTAAAGCCTTAGTAGACTGATAAATCAATGTGATCAGTTATTAATCTCAGTGTTACTGAGCTCTGCTAAAGCCTGAGTAGACTGATAAATCATTGATCAGTTATTAATTAACACATTTCGGAAAGTGTATTCAATATTCAGCCATCTCTTCTTTGTCTCCAGAAGACTTAATTATGTTGTTTCTGACATCATATTACAACCTGTTATCTATAAACACAAGCATAGAACAGCTGAAACGGTAGCAGAAGACAGAACTTTTTTTTGGACTGGTTTTATAGAAAACAGTATTTCAAACAAACATGTCCTGGTTAGTCGACTACGTTATTATTATTCTTAAAATTATACATATTCAGTCAAAATATTTAACAGAACATGTAGAAGAGCAGCTCTAAATTTGCCTTTTACCAACAGGCAGTAATTTTACAGATCTTGGCAAATAGCAGTGACAAATATAATCATAATCTAGAAGCTGAGAACTGACAGCTAATCCCTTAATTACAAACTGGGTCTATGGAAATCATAATCTGTATAAACAACTATTTCTCCTATTTGATTATGTGAAGCTTTAGGTAAACTTGTCTTTACTTCATTTTGCTATTTCGTCTGTAATACAGTTGCCAGGGGCGTTTGGTGTTTTTGAGAGAAGTGCAGCTGGCAGCATGTGATCTCATGCCTTGAATACAACCAATACCAAATGGGGGAACAGCAGTTACTACAGACTTTACAGCCCCAGCTTGTGCTAATGGTCACTGGACAGTCACTTGTGCAGTACCATTTAAAATCACTGTTCAGATGCAGTGCGTGAAGGGACATGCTCTGCGGTCACTGAAGGGCTGTCATGGACACTGCGGCATTCGTTCGGGTCATTTCTGATTGTTTATGGGGGCGCAAGCTTCCAGTAAGGCCCCACCAATATGAGAATTTTGTCACCAATTTTAAGAAGCTAAAAATCCTGATACTCTATAATATTGGCCAATATAATTTAAGCCCAATCCCATTTCACCCCCTCGCCGCTACCACATAGCCATATCCCTCCATTTTGCATATTCACATCTAGGGGTGGGGTGTCCCGATTTTTGTTGAGAGGGGCGAAGTTTTAGGGCTACATGACCCTCCAAACTGAGGTTTTTCAGAGGTTCCAAACAGAGCAAGAGACCAAAGAAACCAATGTGAGAATTTTCTCTTTTGAAAAATTACAATAACCACTGTATGATCTTAGTTTAATGACATTTCAAGTTACATTCTGGTGCCTCAGGTGTCAGAACTGTTGCACCATTTAAGGTGGAACAGGAAATTTCAAACAAGAAGCTGGTGAATATCTGACTTCAGCTTCATATCACTGAAGAATCAGGGGTGGGTGATAATAAATAATTGCCCCCTCTTTGAAGGCATATGATGCCCTAAATGTAACTAAAGCCCAGCAGTGAGGAGCTGAACTTTACCCTCCTCTGCTGTCACTGCAGACTGGCAGGGTCGCCTACAGAGCAGCGCTAGTAGCTGTTAATGAAGTAATGCTCTTTTTATTTGAGGGTCCCATTTCAGAGGGAAGATTTCAACCACTACCCCTTATAACTCAGTTCCAAGGTGTAGGGTGACCCTTGAAAACAAGGGATAAGGGTAAAAATAAGAAACAGGACTGGGCCTATTTATGGTTTTAAATGAACAGAGTCATTTTAGCAATTTTTCATGGCACAAAGTACCAGAACCTTTGCTTTTTCCACAACCATTGGTTCCAGTTTCATAGTTTTTGGTGCCAATGTTAGTTGAGGCTGTATTCCTCTGTGTTAGCCAGCAGCTGCAGCTAACGACAATTTACCTATTACCTAAAAGAGAACCAGAAGAACGACCTATGGTTACTCTGTTTATCATTCAGACTGCAACTGAATTACTAGGACGATTCCTTTGAAATGTGAATTTGAATCAATCACTTTTTTTACCTTTTTATCAGTTATTTTTTAAAATGAATTAACTAATTTAACTTAGTAACTGATCATTTTGCTGATATCGATACTCAATATATACATCAGTCAGACCTCATCTTTGAGATCGCTGGACGTGGCAACTCTTACCTACCACTGTAGTAGCCAAAGATAAAAAAGCCATGGAGATGGAGAAATTTGAGGCAGGAGACGGAGAAGGAGAGGAGGAATGAGAAGGACAAAGGGATGCAGGCGTACTAGCACACATGGAACCACACAGGGAGAATAAAGACGGCATTAGTGATGGTGTTTACTCAACAAACCTCTGCTCCGCAGCATTCACACTCATGGGAAATGAAATGTCAGGGCTAATGGAAGTGGGGAAAAAAGCTAAAGCAGCAAAATCTAATGCAGACGAATTATCTTCTCCAATCTGAACATCCTGTGCTCCTTCCTCTATCTGCTGGAGCAGGATGGCCTCTCCGGGTGAGAACAATGGAGCACACATGTCATGAAAAAGGCCAGTCCTTTTCGCTAACACGCTCTGACTTCCATCACGCTTTCCTGAACGCATCCAGCAAAAAGCCTGACCTGCACAATTCAGAGCTCATGCAAAAGACAGAAGAAAATCCCTGAAAAAGACTGAACAATATTGTCCATAATCAATTCACCTAACAACTACTGTTCAATCTGATTGAGACTGACCAGGCCTACTGCGGTCTCCTCTCACTTTGCCCCCGGCGCAGCGCTAGCATCACTCAGAGTGTAGCAGTCCTGCTTTCTGAGCTAGTTTGGCCTGACATAATCCAATCTGATTACAGCATTAGGTGCTGTTTAACTACTGCAACGATAGCCTATCAGTATAAGCCAGAGGTCGGCAACATGCGTCTCCTTTACTGTCCTGTTGCGGCTCCACAGCAGAATCAGATTTGTAGGTAAAAATAAAATAATCCTCCTTTACAGTAAAATAAAGCTCTGCTGATCGTTCAACACAGTTTAACAATAAATGGTCTTAAACTCTGGAGTTAATGTAGAACTGCTAATTCACCCTTTAACCCTGAAGATCAGCGCAGACTGCTGGTCACCATAACAACACAGACAACAGTCTCGCCTAGCTAGTAGCTAACGAAACGGCAAAGAGAAAGATTTAAGACGAACATCAATAATTTGGAGAAAAATTGACTTATTTGCATTTATAATCACTCTGGTTTCCTGATACGTTTAATCTGAAATGTGAAACTGAAAAACACTAAAAAGTCACGAGGCTGAAGTTTCTCGTTCTCCAGATTCTTGTTCAAATTTTCCCATTCCACCTTAAATGGTGCAGCAGTTACATTCCAGCGCCTCAGGCATCATTTAAGGTGGAACGGGATCATTCGAACAAGAAGCTGGCGAATGAGAAGCGACTTCAGCCTTGTAAAAATTAGAACGTTGAGAGACATTTTACAAGAAACTGTTCTACCTTTGCGGAAAAGTTTCCTGCTGGAGATGTGAGAAAAGCGGTTATAGCTGAGCTAAAGCTTAAAGCAGAGCAAAGTAAGTCTGGATTTTCATTTATATCCTATTTTAAGCCTCTACTAGTACATTAGCAAATATTTAAGACATATTTACAGCCAAGATGGTAAAACAGACATAAAATGTTGGCTCCCAAAGTGGTTCGATTTTAGGTGAAATAACAAAATGACCCTTCTTAACACTTGGGTTGCGACCCCTGGTGTAAGCTTATTACTTATTTTATTTAAGACCTTATTTCATAGAGTGATAATAGCAAAGCACACTAGCCAGCTATTTAGCTTTTTATGTTTAGCTCCTCCTGTGAGGCCTCCTCGTTGTAGCGCTATGAAAACAGTAACAGTGGCTGTAATTCTATGAAATACCATTGTAATCATGGACAGAAGCTCTATTTTTAGCTAACTTTCATCCCAGCTGTACTTAAAGGTTCCCCTTCAAATAAATAAGCCCTATGTCACAAACTTTGTATGACACAGTAATAGCTTCAAGGGTTCTTTAGTGAAGAAAATGATTCTATATAGAACCATGAACACTTAAAGAACCCTTTGTATGATTAAATGTTCTTTGCAGCATGAAAGGTTCTTCAGACTGATGGAGAATGTACACGAATGTGCTATAGATGGTTCTATATAGAACCTTTTTGAAAAGGGTTCTATATAGCACCCAAAAGGGTTCTTCTATTATTACAGGCTTGACGTTGTAACAATAGAAAAACCCTTTGGGTGCTATTTAGAACCATTTTAAAAAAAGGTTCTATATGGAACCATCTAAAGCACATTTTTCATGTATCCCAGTGTTCCCCAGTACAATTCACTGCAATGCTGCCAGCCTTTACCAGATGGGTTTGGAGGTTTTGGGTTACAGGTGAACTCTAGAGGCAGCCAGATGTCCTGGAGAATGGCTGAAGACCACTAAGGTGACTTTGTCAACATGCGACTGTGATTCCCAATGAACTCACCCTATGTCATCCCGGTAGACTCGGGAGATCAGGACCTCCCCCTTGTGATTGTAGATGAACAGTCCTCCAATCATGGTGGCTGTTCCTCAGTCTTCACATCCCATGGTGGGCTCTCACTTCTGCAATGAGAAAAAAGTAGACATTTTCATAATCGGTATCGGTATCATTGGTTGGTAGTGGTTGGTATAGTGTAGTGGGTGAAACCTCTGCCTTCTACGCTGCAGACTGGGGTTCAGTCCCCTGCCTGGGCAAACACCCTACACTATACCAAAAAGAGGCCTTGGGCAAGACTCCTAACACTGCCTTCCCCTACCTGTGTAAAATGATCAAATTGTAAGTCGCTCTGGATAAGAGCGTCTGCCAAAAGCCGTAAATGTAAATGTTAGTCTACTATTAACCTTCAACAGTGTTATATAACCAACACCAGCTACTCAAACTAAGACTGCCAAGGCAACTTAAACACCACATTACATAAATCTTGTTTTTCTAATACGCAGATTTAAGCTATTAAAATATCCGTCCTACACATTTTAATGCCGGTGGCATTTTTGATAGAGTAATTTAGGCTATCAAAATATCCTAATCATTCCTTTAATGCCAGTAATATTTCCTGATAGGGTAATTTAGGCCATTAAAATATACTAAGTATTCTTTTAATACTCATAATATTTCCTGATAGGACGATTAAGGCTATTAAAATATACTAAGTATTCTTTTAATACTCAGATTTCCTGATAGGGTGATTAAGGCTATTAAAATATACTAAGTATTCTTTTAATACTCATAATATTTCCTGATAGGGTGATTAAGGCTATTAAAATATACTAAGTATTCTTTTAATACTTTTAATAAATTCTTTTAGGCTGTCAAAACATCCTTCCTATACATTTCAGTGCTGGTAACATTTTGTGATGGGGTAATTCAGGCTATCAAAATATCCTATACATTTCAATAGAGGTGGGTGATATGGCAAAAATATAACATTGCGATACTTCGAGAAATTTTCATGATACACAATATTTCACAATATCAGAGAAAAAAGAACCAGTACTGCTACATTTTTAAAAAATACTATCTGTGAACTGTGAATACAAATATTTTCACTCAATATTTCGCAGTTAAACTGGACTAATTTTGCTCTCTATGATGAAGCGTGCAGTTTGTCAGTGTTCTACAAGCACTGACGATACACACCATACGTTCAGAAAAGCATATCGTATTGAGACATAATTTATCACGATGACGACATACATTGTCATATTGCCCAGCCATACATTTCAATGCTGGGTTACCGAAACGAACCGATTGAACGATTCAAAGAACCGACTCGTGGACGCAAATCCCGAGAACATTCCAACGTTTATTGGTCACGCTGGCAATGAAGTAAAATGTAAGCTGTGTTATATCCTTTCAATTAAAAAGAAATAGAGGAAAATGTGCTGACCACAGCAGGACAGATACCGAAACTGACCAAGTTCCCTCAGGAGGGTTAACGTTAATTACACAATACCGCAAAACTAAATAAAGCGGAAGAGGGTCCAGCATGTTAACGTGGGGGAGTTGGAAAGGAAATCAAGAGGTCACACTTTCCCGGTTTGGGCGCAGAAGGAGGGAAAAACAGGTGGAAAAAACATGAAAAACAGAACGGTTCAGTTGAAGAAGAAGAATACGAGCCCGGTCAACAGGAAGTGTGGATCCGCCGCTTTAATCGCCACATAACCGACCTAAGCCTCTCCGAGGAGTCGAGGTCAATAAATATTAATTACTATCATTATTATTATGAGACTAAATGTCCGAGAAGAGTCTATTATTCTAATATGCAGCGACATCGGTAACGATATTTATCCATCAGCCACAGCTTCCTATTCGAATTTTCCCGTTCCACCTTAAATGCCGCATCTGTTACATTCTGGCGCCTGATGCGCAGGAATGCAACTGCTGAGCCATTTAAGGTGGAACGGGGAAATCCGAGCGCGAAGCGGGCGAACAGGGAGCCAACGTCAGCCTCGTCATCGATAACGATATTTATTCTTTATCAGTCATCTGACGGTATCAATATGGTGGTAAATATGAGTTATTGTGTCCGTACCTGAGTGAGATGCTTTCGTTTTTTGGCGGTGTGTCCGTCCGCGTTGAGCAACTCAGGCTCAGGCTGAGTCCCGCCGGGCAGCTGACCGCCTGCGCGCCGCGTCATCAGATGCGCGGTGACGTCACGCCGAAGGGAGGGGCTTAAAAAAAACTACAAATGGCTCCCCACTCCATAGGCGCTCCATTAGTCATGAAACTGTGGCTTCTACACCCAAAACAGTGCAATGAATGTTAGACAGGGAGGCTTTGAGCTGAAAATAGCTTAAGTTCTATTAGTTAAGTTCAATTAAGCTTTATTGTCATTTACATATACTGGGGTACAGCATAACAGAACACGTTCAGGCTGCTTCTCTAGTGCATAAACATTGAGACAAGGATGAGAGCGCACATGTAGGAGTTGAATGACAGTATGTGTTAACAGAAAGTTCAAAAAAACATTAAATGGATAATACCATAAATAGACAATACACAATAAATTGAACACAAAGAAGCATATGGGCGCATAGAAAGTGTGTATATATGTGTGTGAACTATGCAACAATTTTCAGAGGTAGTCAATTCAAAGTGGGCAAAATATGTGCAGCAATTTTCAGAGGTCGTGTTCAGCAACCATGGTATGAATGTTCGTTCAAGTGTTCAGTCCAAGTACATAGAAATCAGCCAGCAAAATGTGCAAAAAACAGAACCTCCTATCTCCCAAATGCTAACGTTACAGGAGAAGGAAAAAACCTACTTTACTTTTAATGTAAGTCAATGGAACCAGATATTTTTCCAAGTCATTTTGGGCCGTTTCTTTTGGTCCATTCATGATGAAATTTATGCACATTGTAAAGAGCAACAGGTATTTTCAAATTATGTCAAAAACTGAAAAACAATAATTGAGATGCGACAGCAGTGATCTAGTCTGAGTAGTGTATTCATGGTGTTCATGATCTGCTGGGGGCTGTGGGTGTGACTAGTTTACCAGCTTGAGGGTAGAAACGTCTTGAACCTGGTGGTTCTGCCTCGAATGTTGTGATATCTCTTCCCAGATGGCAGCGGGTGGAACAGGAAGTGGCTGGGGCATGTGTGGTCTGAGGTGATACTGCTGGCTTTCCTCAGAGATCTTCGATTGTAAATGTCCCGTATGGGTGGGAGGACAGCTGCGGTGATGGACTGGGCAGTTTTCACCACCCTTTGCAGGCAGGTGGTGGATCATTCTCAGCACTGCAGTAACACTGACGTGGTGGTGGTGTGTTAGTTTTAGGCTGGTACGAGTGGATCAGACACAGCAGTGCTGCTGGAGTTTTTAAACACTATGTCCACTCACTGTCCACTCTATTAGACACTCCTACCTTGTCAGTCCACCTTGTAGCTGTAAAGTCAGAGACAATAGCTCATGTGCTGCTGCACAGTTTGTATTGGTCATCCTCTCGTCCTTCATCAGTGGTCACAGGACGCTGTTGGCTGGATATTTTTGGTTGGTGGACTATTCTCAGTCCAGCAGTGACACTGAGGTGTTTAAAAACTCCAGCAGCACTGCTGTGTCTGATCCACTCAGACCAGCACAACACACACTAACACACCACCACCATGTCAGTGTTACTGCAGTGCTGAGAATGATCCACCAGCCAAACAATACCTGCTCTGTGAGGGTGGGGGTCCTGACCACTGAAGAACAGGGTAAAAGGGGGCTAACAAAGTATGCAGAGAAACAGATGGACTACAGTCTGTAACTGTAGAACTACAAAGTGCACCTATATAGTAAGTGGAGCTGATAAAGTGGACAATGAGCATAGAAACAAGGAGGTGGTCATGATGTGACCATGATGTTGTTATGCCTGATCGGTGTATATATATATATATATATATATATACTGTTTTACAGTAATTTCTTTTAATATAACAAAAAAACTGATCTGCCATCATAAAGGCAAACTTCCCTAAGTCTTCTCAGAAATAAAATATTTACTATTTAAAAACAAATTAAGCAAAAAAGTAAATACCTTAATTTTTTCATGTGATAATATACATGATGTGTCCTTGCTCATTTTCTCAATTGAACATTTTACCAAAGACTGTGAAATGTAGATACAGATACAGATGTAACATTCTAGATAACCAAGGATTGGAAGGCAAAGCATTTAAAGCCGTTCTGGTCACCAGAAGGTCAGAACATTGTACAAGGCGCACGTGGGCTGATACTATTCGGACACAATAAAGACTGTTTTGTCTGGATTTGTACAGTCTTTGTAGTCAGTTCTCCGAGTGCTGAACTCCAAGGTCACTTTATTGTTTACAAACAGATACTTATAAAGAAATGTTCAAATTTAGACATTACAAATATAGACAGATTAGAAACATTAAAACATTTTATATAAAATGCACCTTAACCGTTGCGCATTTTGCATTTTTTGTCTTATATGTTGAATTCAGCAACTAAACATTAATTGTGTATTAAAAAGTGCAGAACCGTGTTCTCTGTAGAGGGTGTGTTTACTTATCATCACTTAGAAAAGCAACACGAACATGTCAAACTGTTGCATACCTATCTATCTATCTATCTATCTATCTATCTATCTATCTATCTATCTATCTATCTAACTATTACAATGTGGACAATTACCTGGACAAAGCAGACACACACACACACATATATGTATATATATATATATATATATATATATATATATATATATATATATATATACACGTAGAAACAGCAGCTTGTATATATATACATATATATATATATATGTATCCAAGTGTGTGTGTATATATTTGTCTGTGTGTGCGGCCTGTCCAGGGTATTGGGATAGGCTCCAGCAAGTGTTTGTGGTGTGTGTGTGTGTGTGTGTGTGTGTGTGTGTGTGTGTGTGTGTGGGTGTGTGTGTGTGTGGGTGTGTGGGTGCATATACATGAATCAATATACATTTCTCTCTGTCTACGGATTTATATTGTTTACATCAAGGTTTTGTAAATGTCAGATCTTGTAGTATTTCTGACTTCTGTCGGTTTGTCCAGTGTCAGAGGTCGTTTTTCGAGGTCTGTTTACGTGCGACCCACTCAAAGCCTTATTTTTCCCTACCCGTATTCCGACAAGCCCCGCCCCCTGCGGTGGGATTGGCTAGCAGTTCAAAGTCACAAGCCGATTGGACTGCTGAGACGTCGTTCACGTCACCACGGCAACCGCAGAAACAGCAAAGGGCGGGGCCTGTCGGAATGCGGGTGGGAAAAAAAATAAGAGCTACTGAGGAGCGTGACGTCACTGATGCGGCGCAGCACTGTGGCTCTGTGGTTGCAGACTGAGCAGAGAGGCTGAAGATGGGAAACGTCCAAGTGAGTACGGTTCTCTAAAACGGGTCTTTTCTGCAGGTTTCTGTATCAGCAGCAGTGTTTCACCACCGCAGCAGAGGTTTATTGTGCTTTTAAAAAGAAATGCATTTGATTCAAATAAGTGTACTTTCTCGTAAGTGGCATCAAATGGTGTCTAATGTTGTGTAGTAATTGGTGTCTAATGTGTAGTTTTACTTTGTATTTGCTATTTGCTGATTTTATTTTGCCTTGCTAATTTTACTTGTGCCATCCTCTCCTCCATGAGATGTTCAAGTGGTCATAACTGTCAATATTAAGGTGTACAAAGTGACGTCAGGGTGGTTCTTATATTATTTGCAGTTGTTTACAATCTGATGTCAGGCTTACGGGAATGTTCTCCATCCCAAACTCTTTTCCCATAATCAATACAGTCACATTGTTACTGCAGGCTCTGGGCGAGGCAGAGGAGGCCGAGTGTGGGCTCAGCTATCCCATGACTCAGCACAGGCCTGCTTTAGGGACTGCACCCTTTCCTGCCTTTCACTGAGAATTACAGCCACAGTAACTCACTGCAACAAGTCTCCAGCAGTTTAGTTAAAGGGGAACTCCACCGATTTTTCAAAATGTCTGTGTAATTAATTGGCTAAGATGTAAACAAAGTCGTTCAGAGTGGTTTGGTGTGAAACGCTCTGTTCTAGAGAAACTTACCAAGTCAGAATTGTTCACAGTGGTGGTGATAGGAACCAGACGTCCACCTCTAAAAGCTCCCTCACAAAAAGTATTTTTTAAAGTCCATTCTTGGTGCAGAAGTACATGCATGCAGGGTGTTGTGAGGCAAAATAGTCCCCCCAAAATAGTTCAGATTTATCAATATTTTGTCATCATTAGCATTACATATAAAAGCTCTGAAGACACATATAGGTTCACTGGTGGTTTTGGATAGTAAATAAAATGTCTATATTTGTGTTGTAGTCATGGTGACCCCTGGTTCCTATCACCACCACTGTAAAGACATCTGAGTCTCTGTAATCAGCCTTTTCACGCCAAACCAATCTGAATGACTTTTACATTGGAATTTTGCAATCAGTGGAATTCCCCTTTAAAAGCAAGCATGACTGTCATTGCCATCAAAACATTATCTTTCCAGTTTAAAGTGGCAAACTAATGTCTGTTAAACAGTCTTTCTTCCATGCTTTGAAACCCAGGGCTAGCAGTGATGCCTGTCTCATTAATCATGCATGCAGCAGCGTGACGTTGACTCAGTTGTGGTGAAAAACTTGTTTTTGTTCTGGTCTCAGCCCACAGTCGTTCCTTATGAAGATTTTGATGTGGTGGCAGATATCAAAGCCATTCGCAAAGCCTGCAAAGGCATGGGTAAGTCAAGACAAACAACTTTCCACCAACAATACAACAATAAGTCTGTCTTTAACCACGCTGTGAAAAAAAAACCTGTAAAATTACTGTTAAATTTAATGCACCCCTTTTTTAAAGGTCATATGTACGTAAATAAACCACGAATATGCTGCAACACTGCTGTTGTTAATTTGTTAACTTATAGAAACAGAATGTAAATCCACAAAAACAAATGATCACCTTTATTTAACAGACATTTGCTGTAATTTAATGGTTGTTACTGTTATTATTATGGTAAAATTCATGCATAGTATGTCAGAATAAATAGTTTAACTTCGATTATAGTAAAATGCAGTATTTGTAAGAAAAGAAATACTTGTAATTTTACAGATTTTTACCGTTATTCAGAAAACGTACTTTTACTGTTAATTAATGGGTTTGTCTGGTGCCCCTGCAAAAACACATTGCTGATCACATTGTCTGGCATCCCTGCTGCTGTCATCTCTACTTTTTTACCATTCTGCACAGTTTTACAGTGCATTATCTTAGAAATATGGGGAACTGAGGTCTTTTCTAACATTCAGCCTAAATATGAAGATAAAATGTCTGAAATATAGCAAAGTATGAGAAACCATGAACACCATTTCATATATTGAATTACTTAAAACATGAAAATCTAATTTATGCAGTATTCCCTTTCACATAGTCAAGGAAATCAAGTTTATTTATACAGCACTTTTCATACACAGCAGCAATTCAAAGTTTATGCTTCACACAAACACAGAAAAAACAGCATAATAATATTAAAAAAGCAATAATATTAAATAGTAAAGCTTATAATGTCCTGAGATCTAGCATTTCATTTGCAAAGATAGTTGCCAAAATTAAAAATAAAATGCTAAAAATAAAAGACAGTAAAATAGAAAATAAAATAAGGGATTAAGAGAAATAAGAAAACAAGAACATATTTAAACTGGATTTAAAGGTGGCTACATGTGGAGCATATCTGACCTCATCTGGGAGTTTGTTCCAGTGTTCTTACTGACTGAATCCTGCACTCTTAAAAAATATGGTTCTTCAATGGTTCTTTAGTAAAGAAAATGGTTCTATATACAACCATGAACATTTGAAGCCCCTTTTTAAGATTTAAGGGGTTTTTTTTGCATGGTGAAATCATTCTTCAGATTGATGGAGAATGTGTTGTTTGTGGTTCTGTATAGAACGTTTTTTGAAAATGGTTCTATATAGCACCAAAATGGGTTCTTTTATTGTATACCAGCTTGGCAGAGTAACAAAAGAAGAACCCTTTTTAGTGCTATATAGAGCCCTTTTCAAAAAGGCTACAACACATTCTCTATCAATTTGAAGAACAATTTCATGATGCAAAGAACGCTTTAATCATGCAAAGAGTTCTTTGAGTGTTCATGGTTCCATATAGAACCTTTTTCTTTACTAAAGAACCCTGGAAGAACCATCTTTTTTAAGAGTGTGCCTCGCCCTGATTGGTTGTGATTCTGGGTACTACTAACTGACCGGCCACTAATCATCAGAGAGGCCTATAAAGTTTGCATACCTGAAGCAGATCAGCAATATTACATATCATTATTTTATATATAATTAGACCTGAGAATCAAGTCTGCTAAAGATTACCTAAAAACACAGTTTGAGTGATGATTTAGGCATGCAGTTTAGCACTACATGCTAACTGGTGCTACATAAGCTTACAGTAGATTACCTGTTAGCTACATTAGCCTTGTAGCTTCAGTGCAAACCTAAAAAAGCAAACCTCAGACAAGGCCTAATGAGAAAACTGAGTAAATTGGACCAAACTAGTCCTTTAATCTGGCTTTTGTTCTGATTGCAGGCACAGATGAGGAGGCTATCATCTCCATCTTAGCGAACCGTTCTGCAGCGCAGCGGGTGGAGATTAAGCAAGCGTATTTCGAGAAATATGATGACGTAAGTCGGCTATTCTCCCTTCTTTCCTTGCTAGAAAGACACAGTCATCAAAAATGTGGGTGGTTGAAAGCTGCACTTCTGTTAGCAAGAATTTGGGCAGAAAACTGAACTGGTGTTCAAACTTGGGATATCTGGATGTACGTTTTATGTTAAATGAAGAGTTATATGCAGAGCTACAGCTCATGTTGCTGCTCTGGTTTAACTATAAACCAAATCACATTTTCCTTTAACCCACCCGAAGAGACATAGAGGCGGCCTTTTTAAAGTCTTCTTTACCTTTATTCCAGCTTCCATTCTTTTCAGGAGACTCACTTTCAGTTCTTCTAAGAAATCTGCAGACACACCTCCAAAGTTCAGTCTTAGAAATTGGTGGAATTTTCTACTTCTCACAATCTAAATAAACTCAAACATATATCCATTTATACCAGATCTGACTTGATGAATAAGCGGGTCTTTCCATAACAAAGACTTCATATCCAGTTATTCTTTCGAGGGGCTGCAGTTTCCTTCCTTTTAGTTGCTGAATTCTATTTGAACATTATGAAATTCAATAGAAAACATGTCTCAGTTCAGATTAGTGAGATTATCTGGTGAAAGCTTTGACTGAAATGTTGCACTGTAGGAGCTGGAGGAGGTGCTGAAGAGCGAGCTGACGGGAAACTTCGAGAACGCCATTATAGCCATGGTGGACCCGGCTCACATCTACATTGCTAAAGAACTGAGGAAGGCCATGAAGGGGGCGGGGACTGACGAGGACGTCCTGGTGGAGATTCTGTGCACCTGCACCAATCAGGTCACACTGTATTTACATTATTGTACATTAGGACTATGATCATGCAAACCAGAGGTCCAAAAATGTAAAATGCCTTCAAGTACATAAAAGGTGCATTCTTTGGATTAATTAGATCACTTTAATAATCCCAGGGGGAAAGTCGTCTATTACAGCAGCACAAAGTACAGTAAAGAGCAAAACAAGAGCGAAAGTATTGTCGTACGCTATTACATAAATGCATAAATTGAAGAAGTAAAAATACGAGAATAAGTAACATTGCATAAATATTAACCAGGCGACAATGCAGTGGTGCATGTCACGTCCAGTGAATGAACTGAGTGAGTAAACACTGTAAACAATAATATATGTAAATAGTTGTGCAATATGCCTGGGTGTATAAACAAGTGGCAGTGCAATATGCAATATTTATGGGTGTATAAATAAAGTGGCAGTGCATAATAATGAGAAGAGACATATCATATCATATCATCTATCACAGAGAGAAAACGCTCAGCTAGCTCAGAGACCCTCCCTGATACCATGTTTCACTCATGATTTCCCATTCACGTCCACTTTAAGAGTTACTGAGATGCTGAATTTAATTGGTTAATTAAAAGAAAAGGTTTTATTTTATTATCTTTTCTACTCCACCAAAGTCAACAAAGCAGTACAGCTTACAGTTTGTTACAGCTTACTGTATGACAAAACCATGAAGCAAATACTTATGACCATTTTGTTTACATAAACTTTCATATTAAACTGAATGAATTTGATCATCTGTGCTCAATTTCAAAATAATAATCATCAAAACAGAATAGTACAGTACAGCTTAACATTAATAAGTGTTATCTGTTTCATCAACAGGACATTCTGAATGTTAAAGAGGCGTATGCCCAGGGTGAGTATGGAATAAATATGAACATGTAAATATGACAATATATGTGTCACATGTATATGGCTTCAAGCAGAACCTTTACCTATCTAATTCTATGTTTACTTTGTGCTGTTTTATTTATTAATTCCATTTTTTTTATTTTTTTTTTGTAAAATTGTCTCATTATTTCTGGTTTTCTTTGTTATCTTAGATTCTTTTTTCATTTTTCAACTTTCAAATTTGTATCTATTTCATGTGTGCATTAAACTTGCATTAAAAATGTTCCTATGTATTAAACTTGACAAGCGCTATACAGATAACACACAAGCATGAATGTGTTTTGTTGTCATGCTGACCGTGCAGTTCATGAGCGTGATCTGGAAGCTGATATAGAGGACGACACCAGCGGAGACGTCAGGAACCTGTTGGTTTCGCTCCTGCAGGTCAGAACTTTGGGGAACTAATGACCTCATGTGAAACTTTAGTTGTAACTGCATTTATAATGAACTGGAAAAAGGCTTCAGTTCTTACCAAAGAGAAATAAAATTGTATAATTCCTACAATTAAAAATTCGCAGCTCTGTTGCTGAGAGTTCAGCTTTATTTTGACACATTGTGTCCATTTTGACAGCCAAACAGAGCTACACTTGCCTATAGCTCTTTAATATGTATGACCTCATTTACTTGTCGATTTTGATTGGCTCCTGCCTCGGACCCCATTGTAATTCTGCAGCATAAAAAAGACACCGGTACACTAATCACCACCATGGTGACTGTACGAATAACTCTTATTTACTCTGCTGCACATTTAGCGTGGTGTAGCGCTGTTACCACCCAGTTTTATGAATCTGGCCCTCTGTGTGAAGCCAATGGGGAGCTACAGAAATAAAAGTACATTGGGGAAATGTAAGATGTTAGAATGGAATATTTAAACACAGTTATGTGCAAAACTTTGAGCACCCCTGGTCAAATTTCATGTTTTGTTAACACATTCTCTACAGGAAACTTAAGTATAGCATATTTTTGCAAATTTTAGGTCACAATTTCAATTTATTTGCTAAGTTTAACATAAAAATAAAACATAACATATTAAATGTGCCATTAAACATGCAAATAAGCAGTAACTGTGTGTTAAAATGTGCAGAAGTGTGTTCTCTGTAGAACAGGGGTCGCAACCCAAATGTTTAGAAGAGCCATTTTGTCCTTTCAACAAAAATCCAACCACCTTGGGGGCCACAACGTTTTATGTCCATTTTATTGAAGTAACAGTTTACCATCTTGGCTGAAAAGATGCCTATGTTGTGCTAATGTTGTATTATAGACTAAAAATGTTATATAAATGAAAATCCAGACTTACTTTGCTCTACTTTAAGCTTTAGCTCAGCTATAGCTGCTTTTCTCACATCTCCAGCAGGAAACTTTTCCTCAAAAGTAGAACAGTTTCATGTAAAATGTCTCTCAACGTTAGATTTTTTTTACAAGGCCGAAGCTTCTCGTTCACCTGCTTCTTGTTTGAATTTTCCTGTTCCACCTTAAATGATGCCTGAGGCACCACAACTGCTGCACTGTTTAAGGTGGAAAGGGAAAATTTGCATGAAAAGCTGGCGAATGAGAAGCTAATTTCAGCTTTGCGACTTTTTAGTGTTTGTCAGTTTCTCACTGCAGATTAAACGTATCAGGAAACCAGCTGGAGTGATTATAAATGCAAATAAGTCCATTTATCTCCAAATTATCAATGTTCGTCTTAAATCTCTCTCTTTGCCGTTTCGTTAGATACTAGCTAGGCGAGATTGTTGTCTGCGTTGCTATGGTGACCAGTAGTCTGCGCTGATCTTCAGGGTTAAAGGGTGAATTAGCAGTTCTACATTAACTTCAGAGTTTAAGACCATTTATTGTTAAACTGTGTTGAACGATCAGCAGAGCTTTATTTTACTGTAAAGGAGGATTATTTTATTTTTACCTACAAATCTGATTCTGCTGTGGAGCAACAGGGCAGTGAAAGGGCGACATGTTGCCGACTCCTACTGTAGAAGGTGTGTTAACTCTCTTAGAAAATCAACCACGTGTTGTTTGTCGGGCACCCAAACTTTTGCATAGGACTGTAAATCTGACTTTCATGCATGGGTCACTATACTTCTGCGCTCATTATTCCACATTAATTCCCTGTGATGTGACACTACACCAGTTTTCTAGGTGGAACTGAGCCGTTGTTGGAAAACTGAATAGAATAAGCGGAATGAAACCGTTTCTCCTCCTGCAGGCCAGCAGGGACGAGAGTTACGAGGTGGACGAAGGACTGGCTGAGCAGGATGCCACGTCACTGTTTGAGGTGACTTTTAATTGGCCATTTCAGTCGTATGTGGTAAGCCCCTTCATACCTTCATCATCTGAACGTGGGGTATTGTATTTTTTTGGTCTCTCTCAGGCCGGAGAAGGTCGTTTTGGCACGGATGAATCCACCTTCACCTACATCCTCACCCACAGAAACTACCTGCAGCTTCAGGCCACCTTTAAAATCTACGAATCGGTAAGAATCGGACACTCCGGCAGATGAATTATTGATTGAGATCCAGTGATAAATGATGAATTCTAACTGCAGAGGTGTGATGTACAGTTATATAGTCCCAAGACTCATAACAGTCTGTTTTATTTTACCCATCTGCCTCCCTCTCCATCTCCACAGCTCTCCGGAACAGATATCCTTGATGCCATCGACACTGAGGCCACCGGGACGTTAAAGGACTGTTACATTACTCTGGGTAACAAAAGCAACAGATTCCTCTGGTTCCACTGAAGGAGAATAATGGAATAGTTTGATGAAAAACTGACCGATCAGCCAAAACATGTTTGGTGTTTGAAGTTTGTTTATGAACATGGACAAAAGTATAAACAAAATGTCGTCTTCAAAATGGCTACTACTGTTTTAACACTGCGCCATACAGTGTCAGAACCCATATAAGCAGCAGTGGACAGTAGCTAATAAATCAATGTGATGATCAGTTATTAATCTCAGTGTTACTGAGCTCTGCTAAAGCCTGAGTAGACTGATAAATCAATGTGATGATCAGTTATTAATCTCAGTGTTACTGAGCTCTGCTAAAGCCTGAGTAGACTGATAAATCAATGTGATCAGTTATTAATCTCAGTGTTACTGAGCTCTGCTAAAGCCTGAGTAGACTGATAAATCAATGTGATGATCAGTTATTAATCTCAGTGTTACTGAGCTCTGCTAAAGCCTGAGTAGACTGATAAATCAATGTGATGATCAGTTATTAATCTCAGTGTTACTGAGCTCTGCTAAAGCCTGAGTAGACTGATAAATCAATGTGTTGATCAGTTATTAATCTCAGTGTTACTGAGCTCTGCTAAAGCCTGAGTAGACTGATAAATCAATGTGATGATCAGTTATTAATCTCAGCGTTACTGAGCTCTGCTAAAGCCTGAGTAGACTGATAAATCAATGTGATCAGTTATTAATCTCAGCGTTACTGAGCTCTGCTAAAGCCTGAGTAGACTGATAAATCAATGTGATGATCAGTTATTAATCTCAGTGTTACTGAGCTCTGCTGAAGCCTGAGTAGTCTATTAAATTCTTAATAGTTATAATTAATTTATTTTTAATTTTAATAAAGGTATTTATTGTTTTGCTAATTTGACAAATTCTCCTTTTACTTTGCTTTAATGCCTCAGTAGTATCTCAAATAGACAGAGCTTCTCATTATAAGCTGTGTAGTTTTAGCTGCTTTAACAGTTTTGTTTTTGTTCCTTATCTGAGCAGTTCGTTGCGCTAAAAACCCGCAGCTGTACTTTGCCCGTCGGCTCAACGCAGCAATGAAGGGGGCAGGGACGGACGAGGACACTCTCATCCGGATCATTGTGGGACGCTCTGAGGTACAGCCTGTTTTGGAATTCCTGCTTTTCATTTTCATTCATCAAACTCAGTGAAAACAACAGGATATCATAACAACCGAATAAGAGCTATTAATAGAAAAAACTATAAAAAACATGTGCAGGGATTTTAAGCTTTTAAGAAACTTCTTAAGTCTGAAATCTTATCTGTTTAGTCTCCATGACGACTTCAGTTAGGACTGAATTTGGGACAGAAGCTGTTACAGAACAACAGTTCTTAACTTCATAATATTATGAATCATGAAAGGGATCTTCAGACGGATGGAAAACTTGCACGAATGTGCTATAGGTGGCATAGAACCTTTTCTGAATAGGGTTCTATATAGTACCCAAAAGGGCTTTTCTATCATTTTTTTTCTATCATCTTTTCTTCATTACAAGCCTGACATCGTAACAATAGAAGAACCCTTTTGGGTGCTATATAGAACCATTTTCAAAAAGGTCGTAAATAGAACCATTTACAGCACATTTTTCATTAGTCTGAAGAACCGTTCATGATGCAAAGAATCCTTACTCATGCAAAGAGTTCTTTGAGTGTTCATGGTTCTATGTAGAACCATATTGTTTATTAAAGAACTGTTAAAGCACCATCTTTTTTAAGAGTGTATATGTATCCCTTTTGAAAATGGTTCTGAATAGCACCAAAAAGGGTTCTTCGTTATAATATCAAGCTTGTAACAGTAGAAGAACCTTTTTGGTGCTATATAGAACCATATACAACACATTCTCCTCCAATCTGAAGAACCATTTCACCATACAAGGAACCCTTCAAGCATGCAAAGGGTTCTTTGTGTGTTCATGGTTCTACATAGAACCATTGTCTTTACTAAAAAACCCTTGAAGAACCATCTTTTTTAAGAGTGTCCCAATTAGCATTGTGCTAACCGGATGCACATTTGCCTCAAACCGTGTTGAGTTGTTCATAATGTGTTTACGTGGTTTCTGACACTGTATTACATGTTAATAAACCTTAATAAACTCTATCATATGCATCACAAATACTTCTCGATTCATCACTGGTTCTCAGCGTTCGCTGTGTTTGGTTCTGTAGGTGGATTTGGAGACCATAAAGGACATGTATCTGGAGAAATATGACATGACCCTGAAGGACGCCCTGAGCTCGGAGTGCGGCGGAGATTTTAAGCGCCTCCTGCTGGCCATCCTGCACTGAGTTCCCTCTTCAGACAGGCCTGAAAGAGTCCCACCACTGACCAACATGACCACGAGACCTTCTCACCAACACTGCCTGATGTCAACACTAACTATGCACTCAGTCTGAACCTCGTCCACAGAACACTCCCTTCAGTTTCCTCAGACCACCGTTCAAAAGTCTGAATCACTTCTCATACACAGTCGTATGCAGATGTTTGTGCACCCCGGTCAAATGACATGTTTTATTGATTTTTTAAGTGTAAATAAGTGAACACATCCTCTACAGAGAACACACTACTGCACACTTTAATATACAATGACTGTTTATTTACTATGTTTAACATCTTAGAAAAAATAAAACATAAAATGTGGCCTGTACAAAATTTGGCACGTTTTATATTTTACATTTTATTTTAAATCAGCAAATAAATAGAAATTGTACACTAAAATTAGCAGAATATTCCATATTTAAGTGTATTCTTTATAGAAGATGTGTTTACTTGTTTTTACTTAGAAAATAAACAGTTAAACAACATGTAATTTGACCAGGGGTGTTCAAACTTTTGAATATGACTGTAAATAACTCTTATTATTTTCTTCTGTAAAAACTTATACAGTTATTAAAATTTTATAAACGAGGCCCCGGAAGCTATTTTTACATGTTTTATTTAATATTTCACGTATTAAGCTTTGAGAACAGCAAGAAGTTATAAAATGATTAATAATATACTGTAGTTATTTATTTACAGTACTTGTCCAGTTATCTGCCTTGAGATTTCCAAATACGAAGCATTCTGGATATTAATTTCAATAGAACTTCATTCTGGATATTAATTTCAATAGAACTTCATTCTTGATATTAATTTCAATAGAACTTCTTTCTGGTATTAATTTTATTAGAACTTCATTCTGAATATTAGCTTTATTAGAATTTCATTCTGGATATTAATTTCAGTAGAATTTCATTCTGGAAATTAATTTTAGTAGAACTTCTTTCTGGATATCAATTTTATTAGAACTTCTGGATATTAATTTTGTTAGAACTTGTTTCTGGTATTAATTTTACTAGAACTTCATTCTGGATATTAATTTAATTGGAACTTTAATCTGGATATTAATTTAATCACAGCTCCATTCTTGACAATAATTTTATTAGAATTTAATTATGGATATTAATTTTATTAGAACTTCATTCTGGATATTATTTGACAGCTATAATACTGTAGAGTTCTGGCGTTGTGTGAGAATAATTTTATACATTTATCTTTACACAATATTTTATAATTGAAAACAGTGATTCCAGACTTTTGAATGGTGATACACTCCACACAGTTCTAGATTCCATTCACAGAGCCTGTCTGATGCCTTTTGTAGCATTTTGTCAATTTCACAGCAATTTCACAGTTATTTAAGACACAGATTATCTGTCTGTACTGTCACTACATCTATCTGAAGAGCAAAATCACTGCATACATATCTGTCAGAATCAGCCATAATCTGCCATAATCCTGTGCCTAAATAGACTGAGTACCAGATATCTATGAACACTCCTGTCTCATCCACAGAAGGTATTGCGGTGCACCAGTGATCCATTAGTTGGAGAACTTTTAACATTCATTTCTTCTTAAATGTTTGTCTACGAGTACCAAACAGATATAATAGCACTGCATAGTATAACCTGCAGCAGTTGCACTTGTACTAGTGACCTGTTAGATTATTTTTTATTGATTTCTTATTAATTATTTAAGATGTGTGAAGCGTAACACCACAGACTGAGTTACTATTGTAGATGGATATATGATAATAGGATGATAATCTCTTTAAAATGGGGCATTTGCTTTATTGCCTGTAGTGTTATGTAGGTGAAAAGGCTCTAAGCTGTCTATATATGACTTGTGGTGCCAGATAATGTAGCCTAATATACTGATATGCTATTTGATGACGCTGCTATGGTGTAACCTTAATTGTATGGTATTTATTGTGCAAATCTGTGTGGAGAACATGGAAAGTTTTGGCCTAGGGACCAATACAACAGCATATGGACAAAGGCTTGTTTATGCATGTCAATAAATGACACCAAATGACAAACTCGGTCAATCGTGTGATGTTTAACTAATTTACTGCTTTTTTTGAGTGAAAATAAGGACGCATCCTCTGCAGGTGGGTCAGTTTTATGTCCTCATAGTGACTGTTACTCTACTACTTAAAGGGGAACTCCACTGACTTTTCAAAATGTCTTCATCGTTATAAGATTAAGATGTAAACATAGTCATTCAGAGTGTTTTTTTGTGTAGTGCTCCCTTCTAGAGAAACTTACCGAGCCAGAATTGCTTATAGTAGTGGTGATAGGAACCAGACGTCTGAAAAGCTCCACCACTAACGGTTGCATGGCCACGCCGTATTAACGTGTGGGAATGAGATGCTAATGCTTGGCCACAACTTAGTAAGGCATGGGAAAGAGATAATTAAGTTGTGAGAAAGAGATCATGCCTTATTAAGCTGTGGTCAAGGCTTAATGATCTCAATCCCACGCCTTACTAAGTCATGGCCATGTCTTAATCATCTTGTTCCCACACCTTACCAAGTCGTGGCCACACATTAGTTTTATTTATATGGCATGTCACCAGCAGGGCTCCGTACGAATGCGCTACTTGATGTCTGAGGCATTGTTTTAAAGTAGTTGTCAGGCCTTTTTAATGTATTCATGGTGGAGGGATACATGCAGGTCGATATAAGGCAATATAGTCCCCAAAGAAAACATCTTTTTCCATTATTTTAACATCATCAACATTATATATAAGCTCAGAAGAAACATGTAGGTTCACTGGTGGTTCTTGATAGTAAATAAAATGGCTATATTTGTGTTGTAGTCATGGCGACCCCTGGTTCCTATCACCACCACTGTAAAGAAAAGAGTCTCTACAATCAACCATTTCACATTATCCTCTCTATCCAGCCAGACTTATGTTGATAATAACACACTTGTGATCTTCCTCTATAACAGGTTATGAACCCCACATGCCAAATGTCGACCTACTGTTCTGATTTGCCCCTGAAACTTTTAAAATGTGGCCTTTATTATAATCCCTTACTTTGTCAGTACCAGCCTTCCCCTTCTTTCTAATTTTTACTCCAAGGCTTTCTCATATTCTCTTGCCACATGAAAAAAACACATGAAATCAAAGAGCGTAGCGTGTTTGAGTAATTTAAAATGTGTGGGGGAGGCCATTCAAGCTCTTTAATTACATAGAAAAATGGCTGAAGGATCCCCACCGAGAGACTTAAACGCCACCCCCTCCGAATGTGACCGAAACACTTCCAGATGTGTTACGCTTCGAGTCTGACACTCTGAGAGAACAGTAGCAACACGCTGACCGACAGAGACAAGGAAAGAAAAGTGTCAAGAGAGGATATTACTGCAGCCGCTTAAAGACTGGCTGCGTTCTGACGCTGCTGCAGACATATGGAGCCCATACAGCTCCTGTAAAACCACAGGTTCAATGCGTTTGCCTAGACCAGACACATATGACTATGCATATGTGGAGACCAAATCCCAGCACGATGACAAACCAGGGACATTCTGCCAGTATGGGGACATTTACTTTCCTCAAAATGCAGATTTTATTGGAAAAATCATAAAGAATTTCTTTTAAATACTGAGGCAGGGGTGAGAGCATCTGCAAGTGTCTTCCCTCAATCTAACACAGACTTGGTCAAAGCAGTTATAGCTTTATGCAAAGTAGATGTAAATTAGGCAATCTACATATACAATTGCTGGGGTCATCGTTACAGTCAGAACAGCTATAACACAGACTTGAATGTGCTCAGAAATAAAACTGAACACAGTGTCACTGGTGCGATTCAGTCAGCAAATGATGTCAGCAAGAGTCGCTCTCAGTCAGGCCCAAATGGTTCAATTCCACCCAGTTGGTCCCAAGTGCTGTAGCTGTCGCCATTTCTTGTAAGATAGACTGGAAATGGGCGAAACAAGTCCTTATGTCACAGCGTCCTTCTCAAGAAACACGCCACAAGCCTTAGAGAGACACACAGGCCAATGAATTATTATTTCTAGGTGGAAGAAATATATTCTTAAGCAAAATATGCCATATTAAAAAGATTCAGATTTGATTATAGGAGATAATCTACTTCCATTCATTAAGTAGAAATTTAAAAAAAAATAGTGGAGTTTCCCTTTAAATATGTATTTGTGGTATTCTATTTTGTTCCATATATATAACATTCTAACCACCTCCTTATTTCTACGCTCATTGTCCATTTTATCAGCTCCACTTACTATATAGGTGCACTTTGTAGTTCTACAGTTACAGACTGTAGTCCATCTGTTTCTCTGCATGCTTTGTTAGCCCCCTTTTAACCTGTTCTTCAGTGGTCAGGACCCCCATGGACCCTCACAGAGCAGGTACTATTTGGGTGGTGGATCATTCTCAGCACTGCAGTAACACTGACGTGGTGGTGGTGTGTTAGTGTGTGTTGTGCTGGTCTGAGTGGATCAGACACAGCAGTGCTACTGTGAAAGCTTTATGAAAGCTTTAAGTGCTGTTTATCTGATGGGAGCAGTTTTGGTGTCTACCAGGTCTTCCAGGTGGTTGTTAGGAGCCCCATTTTCTCTGTAGCTTTTACTTAAGAGTGAGGAGTGGTCTCTGACTTTTGCACAGTAGCGTATATATACTGTATATTCAGTAGTTAAGCTGACATGTGTGAGGCAGGCCACAGAGGTCATGGCCGAACATTGGACTTTTTATGGCAACTGTCAAAATGTCAAAATATGAGTGAAGATGTGTTGAGAACAAAGGCCTTTATGAAGCTCAATGGGAGAGGATGTGGAAACCTAAGAGCTAAAAAGGAAGGCAAAAGCTTCGGCCCTCTGTTACTAACCTTCATCTAATAATACAACGTGGAGATGAGCCGCTAGCAGTTCACTCCAAAGCAGCTCCTTTCGCCATTTTACTGTCTTTTGTCTGTAATTCACTCAGAGTATAAAAGGCATTAATGTGACTGAAAGCTGTCCGTTGGGGAAACAGCCTTGACCCTGTGAGGATAGAAGTGTGTTTTATATTAGGCCTCTATCCCCAGCGTTCTTCCTCTTATAGAATAGCTTCAGCCTGATGTCACACAGACACTAAAAGCGCTAATATTTGCCAAATGTGGCGCGCAAAGCATATGACTACACGGCTAGCGTTCCATTTCAAGCCCACTGAAAGTTATATTACTTCGTAGTGTGGCTACTTCTGTAAAGTGGTCCATCTTGAGACTGGTGGTTCATTTTGTTGGGTTATTTCCACATTTCTTGGGGTATTTAAGCATGCTATATGCTATAGAAGCATGTACACAAGGCTGTGGGTTTAGCAGGGCATGATGTTTGGCTAATGGGGCTTTGCTTCACTAAATGACCCCCTCATTCCAGACCTGGAAGATAGATGTTTGATTTCAAGTAAAAAACTATTTTATAAACTGTATTTTTCTGTTTGTGATGTGGGACAGACAGCATTTGCCAACGTTAGCTTGCTATAACTTCTACTGTAATGTTTGTTGCTGCTGCTTTACTGAAACATCACTGAAATTTGCAGCCAATTTTATGACATATGTCAACCTTAACGCTCAATATTAAGTCATTTTTTTCAGTAGATGTTAATTTTATCCATGTAATAACTGTAATAACTTGTAGTTGGCTAGCGTTAGCCTACTAACTGAGTTACATAGCTAACCTAGCTACGCGGCTATTTCATTTGCTTAGACCTTTTGTCCGTATTTTTTCTTAATCTGTGGTACGTTACTTTAAATATGCCTCTGTTTTTCAGTACAAAAAGGGTTTTTTTCTGAACTTTTGTCATCTTTATAGCGACAAACATAGCAGAATATTTCCAGCAATCAGATAAGGAGCTCAAATATTAATAAACATTTGATTTTAATTGAACAGTTTGGTACAGAGCCCTGCTGGTGACATCCCATATAAATAAAAATAACGCGTGGCCATGACTTAGCTTGTGAATGACATAGTTAAGTCGTGGCCACGACTTAGTAAGGCATGGGAACAAGATCCTAATGCATGGCCATGGCATAGTAAGGTGTGGGAATTAGACAATTAAGCCTTGACCATAGCTTAATAAGGCATCATCTCACAGGCACGACTTAATTATTTTGGTCCCTCTGCTTACTAAGTCATGGCCACACAACCAGGATCTGGTTCCCACATGTTAATACAGCATTATTTCTATAAATAATTAAGCATTATCTATACAGGATGTCACCTGCAGGGCTCTGTAGTTTGGCAATATTGAGCAACACTTCTTATTTGTGGGAATCATATTAGACTAATAAGTACTTTATATTTTTAAGAAAAAGACAGTTACCCAACAAAAGGGTATAAATTAACCAAGCGCTGGGTCAAAGAAGACATATAGACAGTCATATGCAACAGTTTGGGTGCCCCTGGCCAAATTACATGTTTTGTTGATTTTTTAAATCGGTGTTCAACTTGTGGGTCACAGGCCCCCCGTGGGCCTTGACTGGACTGCTAGGGGCCCGTTGGCAATCTTTTATTTTTTATTTTTAAATTTTTTGCAAACACAAAACTTCACATAGACATTTAACCAAACCCAACATTTTAAAGATGACAAATATTATTGTTGTGATTATTATTTGCGATGTAAATGGTATAACTAGCTTGTATATGTATTTTCAGTGTAAGTTGGTACGTTTTCATCTGGTCTGATAGGCCAAACTGATTATTGTGTTACATTTTCTTGCATTTGCAACAGGCAGGTTGCTTCAACCTTCTTGTGGGCCGTGAAAGCTTTTGTAGTTGGTTATGTGGGCCATGAGTTAAAAATGTGGGCCAAAAGTAAAAATGAGTTAACACATCCTCTCCAGACAAAACACTTCTGGACATTTAAATTTTATGTATTTATGACATATTGGGAACACATGAGACATAAAACAGTTTATATAGTTTATATTTCATGTTAGATTTTTTTCCCAATATGTAAAAATCAGTAAATAAATAGAAATTGTGCACTAAAATTAACAGAAATGTGCATATTGAAGTGTGTTCTCTGTAGAGGGTGCATTAACTCATTTTCACTTAGAAAACAAAAAAAAAACCATGTAATTCTTTGCATACAGCTGTATTAGGGTAACTCATGTGACCCGGTCTGTTGGTTTATTCATATAACAGAGTGATGCTGGGTCAGTTTAACCCATAGTGACCCAAGAGCAGGTTATGGAAATGACTCTGCATTTTTTAATTGCTCCCAAATGCATTTTTAAACATCCATCAGTGAGACCACAGTCTGGTCAGCTCATCATGTTGAGTGAACCTTATATACACCCTAATTTGATTATTTACATTATTATTTCAAGTGACGTCGGCTTCAGAAAAACCGGTGGAGGAACGTTATAATGTTACACTCAGGGAGTCTGAATGGTGCTGCTCTCCTGTTTTGGTTAAATTCCACTCATAAAACAATCTTCTGATCTGCAATGAAAACCATGTGGGCCTGTGTGGAGGGACACCTGCATTTGATTCCCACCACGAACAGAAACACATTTACTGTTCTTCTCTGCTTCTGCCTACAGAGAGCCTGGTACGAGTCTGCTCTTCCACCGTCATCTAAACCCAACTGCGGATAGATAGATAGATAGATAGATAGATAGATAGATAGATAGATAGATAGATAGACACTCACACAGTGCTTCTATTAAGAGGCCTTTATTCACTAGGGCTCAGATGTAAACTGTCTGTGTTAAGTTATTTAATTTATCCCTTTATGCCATTCATAGGCTTCAGGATCTCTTTTTGTATTTTTACTACAACAAAATACAGCACCAATACACACAAGAGCATGGCTAAATAATATGATGAGTATAATCTTAACATCAATATAATCAAACAATGAAAGCAAACAAGACAATTTAAAAAAAGTTCACAAAAACCAGACTGTAAATAGCATAAAGTAGCACCATTGTTATGGTAATAGCTTACAAAATATTACCTAGTATGTTTAGGACAAATAAGTGAAGAATAATTGATATAGTAATGCTAAGATTATGGATGAACCGCACATTTAAAGGGGAATTCAAAATAAAAAACAGAGTCATTCTGAGTGGGTTTGGTGTGAAATGTTTGATTGTAGAGACTCAGATTTCTTTATAGTGGTGGTGATAGGAACCAGATGTCACCGTGACTACAACACAAATATAGCCATTTTATTTACTATCCTAAACCACCAGTGAACCTACACGAGTCTTCTGAGTTTTATATGGAATGTTGATGATGGTAAAATAGTAATAAAACTGAAAAAATAAGTTTTCTTCGGGGACTATTTTGCATTAGAACATCCTTTATGCACCTCCCAAGCATGGATTGATTTGATATATTTTAAGGAAATCTCCACAAAACTATCATAAAACAGTGTCTCAGGAATCAGGCCACGTATTCATAACCTTTCCACGTAATAACTTTCTGTGAGGGAGCTTTTAGGGGTGGACGTCTGGTTCCTATCACCACCACTGTTTTTTTATTGAACCATTTCACATCAGAACACTCTGAATGACTCTGTTTACATCTTAACCATTTAATTATGCAGAAATCTTGAAAAATTGGTGGAATTCCCCCTTAAATAAAGGCCAAAATAAATTGTATACTTTTAAATATGCATATGTAATATATATGTACTGCGATATGTATTAATTACTAAATTCAAAGTTGTAAAAATAAAACAGACACTCGGGACACCAACAGCATACTAAATACTGCAACAATAAATTTAGCATGCCGATCTAGAGTTTAGCATGTAAACTAGAGTATCACAATATACACATTTAGTCGTACATGTGAAGAGCATATTTTTTTGTTTCGAAGTATAAAAGGGTAACTACACCATTGCATACTAGCATAACTGAATATACCACTTAAAAATAGCAAGAAATTCCATCCTTTGCAACTAACTAAATTGTGGTCTTGCAGGGAAAAACATGATCTCAGACGTCTGGTAACTTTTGGAGGTGGCTGGCAGCAAAACTCACCGCTCACAAGGCCGTAACCCCCTAAAACCCCCCGAAATTTCCTCTAGTCTGCTATCAGAACACTACCGTTAGCAAACGTTTATTCTTTGAATTTAATGTTTCAGGAACACTGTTCGATTCAGTTTGGCCAAACTGAAAAATGTGAACAGAGGCCACATTCGGTCACTGGTAACCCATCGTCAACTATTATCTGTAGCCCAGTGATATCTAAAGGTAAAATATAGACTGAAACTGTTTTTTTTAAAAGGTAATGTTTATTTTTCCTGCATTTAATGTGTTCTCCAGTCATGTGAGTTTTTTGTTGGACTTTTTAGTCATGCTAACTCACATTACATCCATGGGCTAATGACAGGCTTGCTGACTGTTGGACAGTACTTTGAATATGTTGGACCCCTACTTTGACCTCCGTCCTCATGAGGTGTTGGATTGGTTTATAAATGTATCATTCAGTTTGTTCCCACCCTAATAAGTCTATATTCCCACCATCTTTTAGCCCAAACTTGTCCCCAGATATTCTCGTTATGTTAAGCCTGGCCCCACAAGATTAGCAAATTGGATGACTAGTGCTAAGCTAAAAGATTGTAACCTAATGCCTAAGTCATGCAGCAGTCCAGAGGACAGTAATGCTACTCCCTACATCGTGGGCAATCTGGTTGAGGCGACCGCGCACACAGTCCACTGTAGCAAAGACTTCAGTCCCATTATGGACTGGGAATGACACCCTCAGCGCTACAGTGGCCCATTCACTCCCTTCAGGCATCTGACCTCCAACTTGCCGGGCAACAGCCGCAGGCTGTGATCCCTGCTGCCTAGCCTGCTTGTGCAAGCTGACCTTGATCATACTGCAAGAGTGGATCAACCTCAGGTCAAGGGCCACACTAGCTGTCCCTGCCTCCTTGAAGACGAAGTTTCGGTGTGGGTGCTGGTGCCCCATGCCAGCAAGCTCTACTTGCGCCACTGGTGGGGATGTCTGACGGAAGAGCAAGGCTTTATTCCGCACTGCGCCGAAGGGCAGACCCTTGCTGGAGACGGTGGCCGATATGGAGGATGACACAGCGGAAGGAATCCACACAAGGCTTAGCATGCTGATCCCAGAGTCGTCGCCAAAGTAGCGGACGTTGCACTGCGCTGGCGCTAGGATCTCAAAGCTAAGTGTGTCCCCGGCATCCACAGTGGCAGCAGCGGACAAGGATATGGATGTGTCTCTGTAATGAACACCAGGTTTGAATGCTCGGGTCAGCTCAGCACTGCTCCCATTGCGGTTGACGTTTGCCAGCAGGTAGAAGCCCTCAGATACGCAGGCTTGGCCCATTGAGTACACTGCCTGCTGCAGGACAAATTTTACCGTGCCTTTCTCTGTAAAGCGAACCCCACGATTATCATGAGTCAGACTCACTATGTAGGGATCAGAGATGGAAGAAGTGCGGAAGGTGGGGCGGTAATTGGTATGAAAGTGTGCCGAGGCCACAGCCTGAGCGGTCATAGCAACCGCACCTGTGTCATGGGAGAGCCAGAGCAAGCTGAAGGGTGCCACAAGGCTCGTCTCCAAGTGGACTTTCTCATTGTCAGGGTTGCAGTGATGACTAGCGCTCTTCAGAAAGAGGGACAGCATGTGACCCGGCTCCACGGCAGATGCCCCGCTCACGCTGATGCTCTGGAGAGACTTCCCTTCCCTCTGTTCCACACGCACACCGCTCAGATCCCGACCGCCTTCTTCACTGGCATTCAACCTCAGGCACGCTTGAACAAAACTCCGGCAGCCATGTCTCAATGCAAGGTTATGGTCCACCCAGACAAGGCCATGCTGATGGAAAACCAACTGGCCACTGGTGCTGGAAACCAGGCTCCCATCACTGTTGCCCTGGATGTGAAGTTCCATATTCGGAAACTCGCTACCTTGAGCCAAGGTAACGTCACCGGACCAGGAGATGGACAGTCCGGTGTCAGAGGGACTTGCACACACGGTGTCGGTCATGGCTGTGCAAGGAGACACCTCGGTCTGGGAATCACACTCGGAGCAAGCCTGGCACTCCTCCAGCTCCGAATTGTAGAAGTACGCATGACCACACATCCCGGCAGCTGCTTCTTTCACTGACATCCCTGTACACCTGAATCCACCTGTTTTCAAGAAGCGATACAACAGTGTATTAATGCATTAAGCCATGAGAGACTCTGCGTTACAGTGATTTTACCACAAGTTAGGGGTGTTGTCTGTTTTACCTCAGGCCTAAAACCCCCCTTACCTGTGGTAAAATTCTTTTGCAACACAGAATAATTACAATAAACAATTCATCCACCAAGAAATTTTATATTTGTTTAAAGTAAGCAATTAAGGTAAAGCAACTATGGACTGCTGAAGGACAGATATTCAGTTCATTGTAGTCATTTTACTTTTTTGTCATAAAATAATCAAAATATCATAATACATTTAACGCAGGAAGATATAAGTAGTTTTACCTCCATAAAGTTACACCGCACAGATAATGCTAACTGCCAACAGAACCTCAATACGATTTTGTATGTAGTGTTAGCATCAAGCTAATGGTGCGTCACATCTGTTTTAATACAACTTAAGGTCAAAAACAAGGACATTTAAGACATACAGGTAACATATTCTGGACTTTTTATTTTGCAGTTGTACAGAGAATCATTCCGTACATCAAAGCCTAACACTAAATATTAATGGAGGAGTGGTTTAGCCTGTTAGCTAACTTTTAGCCTGTTTACTTTGATCTCTTTTAGGCTAATCATTAAGAAAATAAGTTGTCGGCCCCTCAGTTTAAACAAAACCAGGTTCTTACTTCATCTATCAGTACATTTGGTGGTCAATGTAAACAATATAACAGTACATTAAGGGTATAATGGTTTTAATGACTTTGCAGCTCAGCCAATCAGATGTTAGAAGCAAAACTACCTTCATGATCCTCATTAGAGACCTCAAGAAAGAGATACTACAATGGTGTGTCTGACTCACCTGGGGTATTGAGACACTGGTTCTGCGCTCCACATAGGTTTTGTATCTCCAAGCATTCATCTCTATCCTATCAGATATATAAAATTTAAAGTTACATTTGTATAAAAAATTATGTTGTTCATCATTTGGGCTCATTAACATCACCTGTGATATTGTATAAAACTCATAATTGCAGACATTCACATTTGTTGCTCAGTCAAGGTATATGTGATAATTTGGGACAGTATGTGGAATGCAAATAAAAAGAGAAAGTAGTGGTTTGTAATCCACTTTGAACCATATTTAAATAAAAACAGTACAAAGACAAAAAGCTATTTTTGTTAACTTTATTAACTTCATTATTATTTGTAAATATATTAACATTCCGAAATTGATGCCTGCAACATGTTCCAAAAAAGCTGGGACAGGGACAATTTAAGACTAGAAACACTGAGAAATATTCCATAAACGTCTTAAACAGGTGGTGCAATAATGCTTGGGTATTAAATTAGCATCCAGGAATGGCAAGGATGGGTCAAGGCCCGCTATTTTAAATGCTGTAAATGTATTTTGCCAAAACTGCACGCTGTTAATAATCCAAAATTTTAAGAACAATGGGCATCATTCACCAACATCTTCCTTAAGCTTTTTCTTAAACGTGTTCTTGAGAAAGGCCCCGAGAAAAAGTCTATGTCAGATTCATGATGTGTTCTTGAAGCACAGAACTGTTCACACATCTGTGCTCTTCAGTGTGTGTAGATTCTGTTCTCACCTAAGAACAAATCTCAAAGAAGAAAACACTGGTGAATGTCAAGACCTTTGTGAAAACTGCGTAAGTGGGTTCTAAGAAGAAATTTCTTCTTAAGAACGGTTGACGAGGCCCGACGTTTCTCAGTGAGTGACTGCAAGGATTTTAGATATTTCACTCTGTATGTTGCATAACATCATCAAAAGATTAAGGGAATCTTGTGCGCAATGGACAAAGCCAAAAATCACAACAGTATGCCCGTGACCTTCGATCCCTCAGACAGCACTGCATAGAAAAAAAACATGCTTCCGTGATGGATATCACTGCACGGGTTTGGGAATACTTTGACAAACTGTTGTCAATAAACACATTCATCACTGCATCTGTGCTCTGCACAGTGAAAGCCATATGTCAGTGACACCGCCAACTTCTCTGGGCTTGAGCTCATCTGAAACAGACTGATGGAAACGTGTATCGTGGTCTGATGAGTCAACCTTCTTTACGGAGTTGAAGTGGGTGTGTTAAAGCAGGGAAAGCACTAAAATGTGCAGGGCTGTGCCTCCAGGGGCAGGGATGAGAAACACTGCATTAGTGGGTAATTTGCACATTCTGAAGGCACTATTAACACTGAAAGATATATACATAGTCCGGAGCAACATATGCTGCCTTTTAGATTGTCTTTTTCAAAGACGTTCATGCTTATTTCAACATGACAATACCAAGAAACATTCTGCACATGCCTGCAGTCCAGAACTATCCCCCACTGAAAAATTGTGGTGCATTATGAAGCACAAAATACAACAGCAAAACCAAAAATGTCTTCAGTCCCCAAACGATTACTAAGTGTTGATGAACGGAAAGGTAATGAAGCATAGAGGTAAACATGCTCCTGTCCCAATTGCAGGCATCAAATTTGGAATAAGTGCATATTTACTAAAAAAAAAAAAAAAATTCAAAAAGTAAAGCATCAAATATTGTATTTTTGTAATGCTTTCAATTGAATACAGGACTCTAATCACATTACTTGCTCTAAAAATTGTTGTAATTATTTAAAAATCTTTATTATTATTTATTAATAAGCTAAATAATATTACCTGACACATCCTGTCTGCGTGAATGGAGCACTGGGACACTAGGAAGAACCCTGGAAGACAAACAGTGCATTTCTCACAGTGAGCCCATTCGCCAGTGAAATCACAGTATTCGTCAGCGCGGCAGGAGCCACAACCTGGCAGGGCTCTGCCAACCTCCATTACGCTGGCATCCATGTCCACCTTGTGCATGGTGTAGGCCTCCCGCTCATGGCTTCTCGTCTGGGGCCTGAGGCTATCCAGGTGGCCCTCAAGATCTTTGTGTGCATCCTGAAAGGATACGTGCCTGACGCTGTCCAGGAGCAGGCTGTACTGGGCCTTGACTTGCTCCATCTGCTCGAACATCCTCTGCTGCTGCTCAAGGATTTCCCTTTGCTGAGCCACCAGCGTGCTCTGCTGTTGTGTCAGCTTGCTCTGGAGCTGCTTGATCTCGGTCTGCTGGCCCTGGAGCTCCTCCACCAGCTTCTCTTGACCCTTTGCCAAGCGCAGCTGTAGCACCAGAGCATCCTCTGACGGCACCTCATTGGAACCTGGGCAGTTTAGCACATGCAAAAAGGCCAGATTTCATTCATTTCACTTATGTACGTTTTAATCCAACACATAGTAACAGTTACAGCAGACTGTAGAGATCAATTGGAGAGTTGTAGTAGTTTACATGTAGCGTACACTGAGTTTATACATGTTCGAAAACTCCAGCAGCACTGCTGTGTCTGATCCACTCGCACCAGCGCAACCCTCACTAACACACCACCACCACCACACATTAGTGCTGCTGGACTGAGAACCAAAAATATCCAGCCAACAGCATCCTGTGGGCAGCGTCCTGTGACCACTGATGAAGGACTAGAGGATGACCAACACAAACTGTGCAGCAGCAGATGAGCTATTGTCTCTGACTTTACACTTACAAGGTGGACTGACAAGGTAGGAGTGTCTTAATAGAGTGGACAGTGAGTGGACACAGTGTTTAAAAACTCCAGCAGCACTGCTGTGTCTGATCCACTCGCACCAGCACAACACACACTAACACACCACCACCACATCAGTGTTACTGCAGTGCTGAGAATGATCCACCACCCAAATAATACCTGCTCTGTGGTGGTCCTGTGGGGGTCCTGACCATTGATGAACAGGGTGGACAAACAGATTGACTACAGTCTGTAACTGTAGAACTACAAAGTGCACCTATATGGTCAGTAGAGCTGATAAAATGGACAATAAGCGTAGAAACAAGGAGGTAAACTTAATGAAGTGGCCAGTCAGTCTAAAGAGAATATTAAAAGTAGATTTAAAAAGATGTATTTTATGGAAATACATTTAATTGTCATCAACTTAAGTGTGTTATTTAGAAATATATTGTAAAGCAATTACTTCTAAAATATACTTTAGTTGCATTTTAGTTGCAAAACTCAAAGTAACTAGCAGATAAATATATCGATATTGGTTATGCCCAAAATTTGTGTCTTAACAATCACTTAAGTTAACTTTATTGCGATGTTCAGAAAAGCACCTGTAGGCACAGAAGATGTGTTTTAAATTCACTTAGATAGAATTTAAGTGTATATAAGTTGTTGTCTTTAGTTTTTCCTAATAATAATAACAATAGACAGAAAATATTCCTCATTTCAAACATTCCTATTCACAATAGAATGTACTTGGGCTTTGGGCCACATCAGGCCGCCCTCTGAAACCTCTAGGATCATTAGGTCAAAATGGGGACCACACCTGCTCTTTCTTACCTGGCTTGACATCACAGGTGAGCTGGATTCCAAACGGAGATCCCTCACGCTCTGGCAAATCCCGCAGCACATGCTCCGCTCTGTCTTGTGCTTTCACAATCGTTACTCGGCCGCCTCCACCGTCTATTCCTGTAGGACATCTGTCCCCATGGCACCCACCTTGCCTGGGCTTGACCCGCGTACTGAGAGGGGGCAGCCTGCATTCGATGCCCTTGCACCCCTCTGTGCCGTTAAGAGGCGAGCGGCAACCTCTCCCTGCGCATTCTGGGACAAACACCTCTGCCGTTAATGTCCTTGGGTTTTCCCGCACGCTGCCATGTTGAGGGTGGACGATCGTGTAAGGGGCGATGGGACGCCCTGGGCAGCGTGTGCCCCTGCAGCTTCCAGACGTGTTTCCCACTATTCCAGCTATGTACACGAGGAAAAAAAGCACCGTGACCGCCATCTGGAACTTCAGAGGTGGGAAAAAGCTTTCAGCAACTTTTAGTCCCGACGATGAGCCTGGACGTCCCAGAAACTCCCCTGTAATCCACAACTGAGCTACATTACAACCCCCATTTTAACATTTTAATCTCCTTTAATGGAATATAATTTTTAAAAAATAGTAAACACTTTACATCACCTGTGTATATCAGAGAATGAGAATTGAGTCTCAGCCTTGACTGCTCTTATGCATCCTGTAGTAAAGTCCATGTGCCACTGGCTTAATTGGCAACAGGTTTTTGGTCTTTCTCAAGTTTCTGCGAAAGTTAACCCATGGTTTTCCTCAAGTTCCTGCAGCTCTGTATGGTATAGATTTTCTATAGAAAAGAAGAAGAAGAAAAAGAGCAAGACTATAGGACTATAACTCAAGATACTCCAAAACACCATTTTGCAATTGTGGAAAGCAACGTTTCCTACCTCCACTGCTCAAGACCTTCAGTTTTGTGATTCTGTGAAGAGATTCTTTAATTCACTGAATGGACCAGGCCCAGAAAATGACAGTCACTGTAATTGAAGGTCAATTGTCAATGGTCAGTAGTCTAGCGAATAAAAGGTACGTTTAGTTTAGTTTATATAGCATCGTTCTCAAAGCAAATGATGCCTTACCCTTACAACAAAATTAAATTGACAGCAAACAAATCACACACACATACAGTTCTGCTGCTGGTACAGAGAAATCTCAACCGCGAAGTAAAATCAATCAGCTCGCGGCCCAGTCAAACTCTGCAACCATGGTGAAAAGTCTTCTGGCTCATGGCCCAGTCAAGCTGTTACTGCAGCCAAGTCAAACTCCACTACTGCAGTGAAAAACTTCTGGCCAGTGCCCCAGTCAAACTGTGCTACTGCAGTGAAAAGACTTCCAGCTTGAGGTCCAGTCAAACTCTGCTACTGCAGTGAAAAGTCTTCCAGCTTGAGGTCCAGTCAAACTCCACTACCACAGTGAAAAGTCTTCCAACTTGCAGCCCAGTCAAACTCCACTACCACAGTGAAAAGTCTTCCAACTTGCAGCCCAGTCAAACTCCACTACCACAGTGAAAAGTCTTCCAGCTTGTGGCCCAGTCAAACTCCACTACCACAGTGAAAAGTCTTCCAGCTTGTGGCCCAGTCAAACTCCACTACCACAGTGAAGTCTTCCAGCTTGTGGCCCAGTCAATTCCACTACCACAGTGAAAAGTCTTCCAGCTTGTGGCCCAGTCAATTCTACTATCATAGTGAAAAGTCTTCCAGATTAAGGTCCAGTCAAACTCTGCTACCACAGTGAAAAGTCTTCCAGCTTGTGGCCCAGTCAAACTCTACTACTACAGTGAAAAATCTTCTGGTTTGTGCCCTGACCAAACTCCACTACCACAGTGAAAAATCTTCCAGATTAAGGTCCAGTCAAACTCCACTACCACAAGTGACAAGTCTTCCAGCTTGTGGCCCGGTCAAACTCCACTACTGCAATGAAAAGTCTTCCAGTTCCTGCCCTGACCAAACTCCACTGCTGCAGTGAAATGTCTCCCAGATTGAGGCCCATTCAATCTCTGCTACTGCAGTAAAAAGTCTTCCAGCTCACAGCCTGGCCAAAATCCACTACTGCAGTGAAAAGTCTTCCAGCTCTTTGGTCCAGTGAAACTCCGCTACCGCAGTGAATTCTCCTGGCTTGTGACCCAGTCAAACTGTGCTGAAAGGTCTCCCAGGTGGTGGCCCAGTAAAACCCTGTTACAGCAGTGACATGTCTCCCAGCTCACAGCCCAATCAAATGCTAAAAGTTCAATGGACATTCATTGGTGACCTATTAATAAAATGAATGGGTGACCAACATCTTTTTAAAAGTCACGAAAACTCAGTAACCCTTTTCGATTCTGTCTATTTTGGGAATTCTACATTTTTTTAAGATAAACTTTTCTGATGTAGCTATAAAGTATTTTGTCTATAGCTTATCATTAATAGGACTAACAACAATACAACAAATAACAATAATGATAATAACAGGAAAACTAGTAATGCCCATGGGATTTTGGAGCACCTCCAAACAGCACTCATAAAGTCCTCAATCCAGGCTGGCAGTCCTTTGTAAGTCTATGACTGTTTCTCATTAGAGACTCCACATAGATCGTGATCCAGTGCCAGCTTATGGGAACTAAAGGGCCTGGAATGCAGGCCTGCAGCGTCCGGCTTTCGAACAACATTGTGTGATCAATGTTCTGCATGAACTCATCCCCCATTCAGCCAGTTAAGAGCATGTGAGAGAAAGCAGGCTTGCTAGAACAGGGAATACAGTACATTTACCATCATCAGCTACAGTCCAAATATTAAACACTGAAGAATGCAGTTGTGCTCTGGGCGCTCCTGGTCAAATGACATGTTTTGTTGATTTTCTAAGTGAAAATAACATCCCCATACAGAGAACACACTACTGCACATTTTAATGCTGAATTACTGTTTATTTGCTAAATTTAACATTGAAAAAGTGCCAAAGGAATCAGACATTTTATATGTAATGCTTTTTCAGCACATTAAACTCAGCAAATCAATAGAAAATGTACACAACAATTTGCATAAAATGACATATTTGTGTGTTTTCCCTGTAGAGGGTGTGTTATTTTCAAAACATAATTTGACTGGTGTGTTAAAACTTTTGCATGCAGCTATTTCTATTTATTTCTCAGAAATTGACTTCACTATATTGTATACTCATTGCAGCCCCTTGTGGCCATCATGTGTAACAACAAGCAACGCAATAGATCTTCTAATGTGATGAGAACAACACATGATCTTCTCAGATTCTAGTTTCTTATTGCCTCACTCCATTTCCACCTTCATCAAAATTTCACCTGAAAAAATCTGTTATTTCAAACCTAAAGGACGTCTTAAAGGTTTTTCTTGGGCCATTTTTTCAATAGATTAGACCTACAATCAAACTAGGGACACGACAAACTCCCTGATCGGCTCATTATCTGCAGTACTGAAGCGGCTACTACTGGCAAGACGTTTAAACAGAGTCAGTGTAATGCAATGATTCGTATCAAAGAAGCATCCACAGAGCTAAATAGAGAACTTTATCAGAAACCCCTCTCTTGTAGCTCCACCTTGCTGGTGTACAGTTAGAGGCTGTAGCTCATCTGTTAATGCAGTTTGTGCTGACCATCCTCTAGTCCTTCATTAATAGTCAGTATCTGACCACATGACCACTCTTGGCTGGATGTCTTTGGGTCGCTCATTCAATGAAAAGAGTGCCATTTGAGTCCATTCGAAGTCAGTAAGTGGATGTACAAGAGGGGCTTTTTTAATAAAATGGCCAGTGAGTGGAAGTACAGCGTAGGTGTTTCTAATAAAGTGGCCAGTTAGTGGAAGCACAAGGTGTTTCTAATAAAGTGGCCAGTGAATGGAACTACAAGGTAGGTGTTTCTAATAAAGTGGCCACTGAGTGGACATACAAGCTATGTGTTTCTAATAAAGTGGCCAGTTAGTGGAAGCACAAAGTAGGTGTTTCTAATAAAGTGGCCAGTGAGTGGAAGTACAAGGTAGGTGTTTCTAATAAAGTGGCCAGTTAGTGGAAGTACAAGGTAGGTGTTTCTTATAAAGTGGCCAGTTAGTGGAAGCACAAGGTAGGTGTTTCTAATAAAGTGGCCACTGAGTGGACATACAAGCTATGTGTTTCTTATAAAGTGGCCAGTTAGTGGAAGCACAAAGTAGGTGTTTCTAATAAAGTGGCCATTGAGTGCAAGTACAAGGTAGGTGTTTCTAATAAAGTGGCCAGTGACTGAAAGCACAAGGTAGGTGTTTCTAATAAAGTAGCCAGTGAGTGGAGTTTAAGGTAGAGGGTTTCTAATAAAGTGGACGATGAATTTACACCTGGGCAATATGTAAAGAACCACCACATACACTCCACAGTATACAGGACGGTGCTTTATTATAAAAAAGACTGTACATAAATTGAGAAAACAGATTATATACAAGATGATGAAAGATAAGGTCATTGCAGAGCACCTCAGGGAAGGACATTTAGACTGCATCATCTGCACGTCTTATGACAAGGCCTTGCAATGAGTAACATTGACTGGTCATGGTTCGGACAGCTCTCAGTGAGTTACATTCCCACATATACTTCATCTGAATAAATAAATACAACCAAAGTAAAAACCCTCACACGGCTAATCAGCCTTCAACAGCAGTCGAGACACACAGGGCTGTCTTGGCATTTAAGCCAAGGAGCGCTTCTCATTCTCTTTCAATACAGTGATCAGAAAATCAGCTGAAAGTGACCACTGGGCTCAAAAGTGTCCAGACACCCTTTCTAATTGGTGGATTCAGCCTGTGTAACCTCCGGAAATGGGGCAGTGCTAGCGTACATGCTAAGAATGCAAAGGTTAGCTGCCTAGCTAGCTAAGATCAAGTTAGCAAACTCTGTGTAACTCTAAAAATAGCAATGAACGCATCAACATAGCGTTGTATTTTACAGTTGGGCACACTTAGTGGTCAGGAAGCAGTGCTTGGTGACTGGAAGAGTTAGGAATGAGCCTGGAATTATCCTCATCTGAAACAGTAAATAACTCGCGAATTCGCTTTTTGTTCGTCTGGCCTTTTTTAATGTTAAGCTGCATCCAAAACTGCATTGGTGCTTTACTATTTTGACATACTATTCAGTACAGCAGCATGTAGTTTAGGATGCTGCTATAATTTCAGGCATTAGCAAAGATGGAATATCAGCTTAAGCTCAAATAAACAAACATTACTCACTGCTGCCCTCTAAAGGTGTTACTGCACCTGTTAGAAGTTTCTTCTGATGTTTTTTTAAAAGACCTGTAATGAGACTAAGGCCCAATCCCATTTCTTCTTCTTACCCCTACCCCTTGTTTTCGAGTGTCACCCTAACCCCTTGGAACTGAGTTACAGGGTAGTGGTTGAAATCTTCCCTCTGAAATGGGACCCTCAAATAAAAAGAGCATCACTTCATTAACAGCTACTAGCGCTGCTCATAGAGCTGAAGTCAGATATTCACCAGCTTCCTGTTCGAATTTTCCCGTTCCACCTTAAATGGTGCAGCAGTTACATTATGGCACTTCAGGCGTCAGAACTGCTGGACTATTTAAGGTGGAACGGGAAAGTTAGCGAGCTAGCTACCAAGACATTAGCATGCAATTAGCGTTTTTTTATGCTTGCTATGAAGAAAACGACCATAATACACTGAAACAACATTAAACTAAGATAATACAGTGGTTATCGTAATTTTTTAACAGAGAAGATTCTCAGATTTGTGTGTTTCTTTGGTCTCTTGCTCAGCCATCTTGCCGGTTTTTCTTTTTTTTCTCATAACTCTCTGTTTGGAGACTCTGAAAAACCTAAGGTCATGTAGCTCTAACACTTCGCCCTACCCCTCTATCTCAACAAGAATCAGGACACCCTACCCCTAGACGTAAACACGCAAAACAGAGGGCTCAGGGCTGAGTGGTAGGGGCGAGGGGTGAAATGGGCCTAAATGAATGTTTTTTTCTAATTTCTTTCCTCATAGTTTTAGCGAGAAAAATCAGATTACGTCGATTTTTTTGAAGTACGGAAGCCCTAAAAGGCCATGGGTTCATGCATTATATTTACTCTGTTTTCTTATGATAACAAGTTTATTTTATTTGAGTTATTTATTTTATTATAGCTTGAGTTATTAATTTCAGGACATAAACATTTTTCTGGTGGTATAATTTTCTTGAGATCTTGATAATGATGTACGAAGTAAAGTAAGACAATGAAACAGGTTTTCTCCTTTTTCATTTTCATTTCTGTCTTCATCTTCAAAAAGCCAGAACAGATCTGCTTTCGATTCTTCAGTCTGCTTACGGTTCTTATAGGAATTTTGCTGATTTTCAAAATTTTGTGCAATATTCAATTGTTTTAACGTAAACAGAGTCATTTAGAGTGGTTTGATGTGAAAAGCTCCTGTTCTAGAGAGTCGAATTGTTCACAGTGGTGGTGATAGGAACCAGACGTCCAGCTCTAAAAGATCCCTCACAGAAAGTTACTGTACAAAATGGTTATGAATTCACTGCCTGATGCCTGAGACACTGTCGATCATCGATCATCCAGATTTCTGCAGTTATCTGATTATTCAAGAGGTCATGTAAACAGCACACTCTGATTTCTTAGATCTGAGTAAGGTCTACAAATCCGATTAAGAAATCCGATAAAGAGGCTGGATTTTAGCTCAGTAATCAGATTTCTCAGTGAGTGTGAACTCTTACTCTGATTTCTTTCGTTTTATCAGTCTGCACATGTGCGAAAATAGACTGCAGTACTGGAAAAAGCAAACAGCATTTGACAAAATCTGATTTTAGTTATCAGATTATTAAGGACAAATAAAAGCACTCAATGAATCATTTCACATCAAACCAGTCTGAATGACTTTGTGTGAATCCAGATGAATGAATTATGCTGAAATTCTGTGTAAAAACTTAACGAATGCTCCATTTGGGCCAAAACTTAACTTTGTGGACCATTTAGCCAAAAATCTAGAACATTTTATCTGTTTATCTGTCTGCAGGCTGTATTGGTCAGTACGGCTGGTGGTTTAATTGAAATAAGTATCCGAGCAGCATGTTAGCTGTGATTTTCTGTAGCGTTCTGTAAAATAAACTTTTGGTTAGTTTGTTTTTGGGAGACCAACATTTGTTTTGTTGTAATAATCATATAAATAGCTCAAGATCTTGAGCGAACAAATATCACTGGAAAACTGATCAAATAAAATCTATGAACCCACAGCCTTTTCCGTACCGCAGTGATGGGGCACAAGCAAAAGCCTCTGGGTTGTCAGGAGCAACGTTTCAGCAAAGCCTCCTCAGATGAGCAGAAGCTGTTACTTCAGCAAACTCGCTAATAATGCTGAGCATTATTGGACGAGCGGGCGTCTGGACACTTTCGGACACACAGTGTAAATTACAGTGACCAAAAATAAGCCATCGTGACAAATAATGACATGATTGGATCATTAAATGGGACCCAAAGTGGAAGTGAGATGATCTTCATGGTAGTGGACAGCTGTTGGTTTTTTGAGTAGTCTTAAGAGATGAACTGTGAGGAACACTGCGCTCACTCATTCAACAGTGCCTTTGTCTGATACCAACGTAGCCTTAAGCTACACAAACAAGAAGAGTAGTTTTCTAAGTAATACTGCTTCCTTCCTCAGCCTCGGCCAAGCCAAAGCAATGAAGGTGGAATTAAAATACAGTGTAGGCAAAGACTGGAGGCAAAAATGGAAAAACAGACCAAAAAAAAGTCACGACGATCGTTTTCCCGGTTTCTGCCTGATCGTCAGCCAGGCATGAATCACATTTAAGAAACAACATTCAGAACACGTCTTCCCTGACAGGAGGGAAGAGTTTGGCAGTAAGTTACGGAAAAAAATACAACGAGCACTTCTGAATAAAAACAAGCCCTAGCCGACAAGTTGGCATACTGCAAAGACTGGCCTCGCTACACTGACGAAACACGCACGAAAACACACTAGTTAACGATCTACAGGCAGCTTCGTACAGTACCGTATGTACAAAATATATATATAAATAAAAGACCTAGCTAGAAAGAAGCGAAGACTTGCTGCTGCTCTTTCCGCATTCGCCTTTGTGTTCGCTCAGTCCCTCGATACGCACAGCAAATACTTAAATACGTCGGACGAAAACAAACATTCGGTCATATCCTAATGCACTTCGTAAATGTTTGTTTGTGATGGTTAGTCGGCGTTCGTTAGTCGGCGTAGTGCATGATGGACTCCACGTAGTTGCCGGGGAACAGGCCGGTGACGCCGTTGCACACGCCCTCGAACCAGCCGTCGTCGTTTTTCTTGATGATGTAGATGATGGCGCCCTCCATGAAGGAAAGCTCGTCATCCTTGTCCTTGGTGTAGTCGTAGATGGCCACCACTAACAGACAGAAAGATCATCCATTTGAGCCTGAAGAAGTCACTGCTAACGCATTTCTGACGTCTTTCACTATTATTGGAAATGTCTTTACAAATAAATAAAATACATAAATAAACGGGTACAATATTCATATTATAAAATTCATACAGTTATGCACATTTTTCAAAAGGAAATTATGTAAACTGTCAACAACTCTGTACACTGTCAGTACATCAATGTATAACAATTAGTCCATCGGTTGGTGGTGTATGACTGCTTTTCTATCATATTATTATCCCATTCACTGAAATATATACTGTAGCTTGGCATATATTGTAGATACTCATGTGTATTTCTAATCTTCCTGAACCAGTCCATCCTTTTCTTATGAATAAATAAATAAATAAACAGCTTTAAAAGTTTAAAATATACAAAATTAATCCAATTCCAATTACAAACTTAGACTAAAGTACTAAGTGGAAAAATGAAGCAAATATTCGTTATAAGCTAAAAGGAAGGACATCAAAAAAACATATACAAGATCAGGTCACAGGGGACTTTTATTGACTATTGTACCGTATTACTCCAAACTGCAGTCCTACATTTAAAAAACTACTTAAAAAACATTAAATATTCAGACCTTAAATATTTACAAGGATTATGTTATGATATATTTAAACCCAATGCATTAATAGAGATAGTAATAAATATATATATATAAAATCATCATTTACAGGGTATTTTCTATGGGGAGGTGTCAGTTTCCAACCCTAACCCTAAATTTACACTTGTAAAAATAAAACCTATATGTTTTTTCTTTCAAAGTGTTTCTTAAAAACAATTGTTTGATTTCTTTTAAATTGAAGTTGAAAGGTTTAGGTTTATCATGAGTCTAATTTTTAAATAAAAAAACATAATTAAACCAATGCCGTCCCACGTTTTCATGTCACTACCGAAAGTTTTAGTCTGTAGGCGGAGGCTTATTTTAGCTATGCTGCATTCTAGAGCAGGAAGTGGGACTGCATCCCTGTTCATCACAGCCACATGGTGAGCAGTTAGATCCCATTGTTTTGAATTAAAAACAATGTCTGAAAATCAGGGAGGAACATTGAGAACTGTCCCTGCTGAAACACATTTTTTTTGCAATTACTTTTTTGTGTTTTAATGATAAATATAATGATTTTCTGTGTGAACAGCTGTTCAAAGCTGTGTTTGCTGGTCATGTACTGGCTGCGTTTCTGAGTTCTGCTCAAAATGAGCTAAAACTGTCACAACCGAAACATTTGGTAAAGTTTCTGTAGTGTTATGATTGTTTTGTTAATGACACAATGGAATGTTCAATCACTTGTTTCAATAAAACACATATAATTAAGGTACAGATTAAGGTCGAGGGTCACTTAAAGCAAAAAAGACTTTAGTCTAAAGTCCAAGTCTGTTAAAATTCCTAAATGTGTTTTCAACTCGGACCATTTCACCCAAAACTAGCAGAATTTGTCAGTTTGAATTCTCAGGCACTTAGTCAGTTTTTCCATAATAAAACATTTCATGCTGTTCCACTACTATGTCGTTCCAGTCGTGAAATCGAATGGACGCAGTGGACGGCTATTTTCTAGTGATTGCTTTGCAGCTAACAAGGCCTTTAACAATTTCCTGTCATTTTGACTCCTGTCCCAGGAGAGATTCAAATTGCATGTTTGACTAAAGAAGCTGTGCTTTCTGTCCACATCTCTGACTATATTTCCTACAGGGTCCTGTAAGCATTACTCTATAATAATGAACAAATACTGCTTCAAAGAAAAGAAGACGAAGGGAGATGAAGCTGTCAGTGATTACAGATTTCTACAGACTATTGTTCACTAGACTGAGAAAATACTATAATACAAGTGAAAAGGAGGCCCACCTTTTTCTATGTAGGACTTGGGGGCCCAGTGAGGGTCTCCGTCAGCGTAAGGGTCATTATAGTGCACCAGAGAGGCGTCTTCTTCCTCATAGTCCACAGGAGGAGGGGGAGGGGGCGGAGCCGCTTCCTCAAACATGGGCGTGTCCTCAGGGAGTGGGGGCGGGGGAGGGGAGGGGCTGTCTGATACTAAAGAAACAGCAGAGACAACTGTGTTAGAAGTCAAGTAAGCCAGGTACCTCTGTTCCACAAACATACTATACATACATGCTGCCATAAGAGAACGGCTAGACTTCTTCTACATCTACTGAAGTGGCAGCTGAAAGCCCAGACCTTTGTTCCTATTACCAGATCAACAATTACTCAAAAATTGATTATGAAATCAAGGGTTCGATTATGATGATTATTATTCTTTTGTTGCCCAAGCCTATGATGTATCATGTTGACAATGATCTAACAAATCAATAATAATCTAACTAGACAATAGTGAGGCCTGGAGAACCAGGTACAAGGTACACAAACAGGCATTTATTTTCAAGTCTGGCACCATGTACTGGTTAATTAAATGGTTGAGGTTCTGCTTAAGAGCTGGAGATGAGTGTCCAGAAGAGAATACACACGCTATCTAAACACAGTGGGCAAAGCTGGTATGAATATAGTTTAGAAGTGGAATGCAAACAGGTATTATGTTTACATTTACGGCACTCTCGTCCAGAGCAGCTTATAGTTTGGTTATGTTACAAAGAAAGGCAAATGTAGTGTTAGGAGTCTTGCCCAAGGTACAGTGTGGTGTGCTTGCCTGGGCAGGGAATCAGACCTCAGCCCGCCATATAAAGGGCAGTGGTATTACCCGCAGCACCATACCAACCGCTGGACACAGCCTAGCTGGGATATGAACCCAGAACTCTGGGAATGGAAGGCTGACCACTTAATGTGCCACATGGCTTAGACCTTATTCACACATACTGCTTCTGCGTGGTGTGAGCGACGCGGCAGCCTGAGCGCTACAGCTTGAACACGCTAGCCTTTCATACATACAGCGTTTATGCCACGGAGCTGAACAGCAAGAACGTTATACAGACATTCCTGTTTCCAGATGAATTAATGGTCACATTTATGAAAGTACACGGTATGCTTGTTTGTCCTTGGCAGCATTCTGACTTGTGATTAGGCAAAAAATGTGTAGACCAACCCGGAAATCTGTCTGCAGCGCAGAATGATTAACTAGATTAACTGATTTTGTCATGAATTAAATTAAATGTAAAAAAAGTGTTTTTAAGCTTGTGTTCTCTGTTTAATTTTCAGGACGCTCTGCCACTTCGCACACGCAGCCTTTGTGAAAGCGCTGACCAGTTAACATGCATGACTTTCCAGACGCAGTATGTGTGAACTGGGCCTTACTCTTAGTCTCAGCCTCAGACGGTCCAACACCTCATAAAGAACTATTGAGATTTTGTCAGTTTCATTCTGGTTTGCTATCTGAGCGGCCATATGAATGCACTTCTACTGCAGCAGGTTTTATCTGTCTGACGGGAACAACAAAAAAACTTTGCTAGCGTTCTGCCTGCCTTGATTGAGCCTTAGATATAAAGTCACTGGAATAAAAAAGTTTTTGGCATTACGTGTTTAAAATGTATTCGAGGGTTTTCTTTAAAGTGTTTAGTAGCTTTTGAGTGTGACATCCTCACATGTTTGCCGCCCCATTCTGATGTGTTTCCTGCATGTTTACTTTTCTAATTTTTTTTCCTGTTTTGAAAATCGCTTGCCCTAACGCAACAACAGTTTCTGGTTGGCTATTTTGTATGACAGTCAAACTGCCCATTCCTGTCAAAGTGGGCGACGTTAAGGGACAAAATGCACCAGATTCTCAGAAGTCTGGCTTGCGAGACCAGGTGTGAGACAGAGTGAGATTAAAGCCGAAGTATGTAGTAGTGTGAATGTGTGTGTGTGTGTGTGTGTGTGTGTGTGTTTGTGTGTACTGTCAAATGAAGAATACTCACTGTTCTCCTGAACTCTGGCCACAAAGCCAGTGAGAGGAATCTGGGGAGTTAGCTGCACCATGGGGGGAGGCGGCTGGGGCACAGACACTGCGGACAGCACACGCAAACACATAGCCCCCCCCCACACACACATACATACACAAACGCCACCACAGAGACACAAAGAAAACACAGAATAACAAACAGGGAAAAGAGTGAACATCTAGCAGAACACTGAAAGCTGCTTGCAGTTGTTTTCAGGGCAAAGTCAAAGCACAAGAGCAGACATGGCTTCTGTTGTTAGGACTGCAGATGATCAACCCTACAGCAGTTTATACACAGTCTGCCAGAAAGCTGTGAAAAAGCTGCAGTTTTGGGGGAAACATACAGCTGTATACAATAGTTTGGCTGCTGCTGTTCAAATGACATATTTTGTTGATTCTCTAAGTGAAATAAGCTAAAATGTTTTCATATTTTATGTTTAATTTGTCTCCAATATGTTGAAAATGCATATCGCTGCTGTCGGGAGAAAACCTTGTATCCCCATTTTTGTCATTTTTCAGTTTTTTGATATAATTTGACAATGTCTGTTGCTCTTTACATTGTGTGTAAATTTTACGGTAAATGGACCAAAAGAATCGGCCCAAATTAAGTGATAAAAAGTCTGGTTCCATTGACTTACATTAAAAGCAAAGTAGGTTTTCTCCTTCTCCTGTAAAGTTACCATTTTGGAGATACAAGGTTTTCTTCCGACAACAGTGACATATAAGTTTGCTCCCTGTAGAGCAAATGTGTCAAGCTCCAGTCCTTGTGGGCCAAACACTGCAGACTCTGGCACACTGCCTCATTAAATACACCTGGCCAACAATGAATAGAAGCTTGTGCCCACCTATTAGCATTAGGGACCCTCAGGGTCTACTAAAAAGCCTAATGAATTCTGGGAACTTAAAAATATGCATATGCAATTTTGTTCAATTTTTATTAAATATATTCATCAGGCTTGTTGTATTTAATCGCTGCAGGTATTGTGTTACTGCTCTTACTTCATTGCTATGTTTTCATTGGAAACAAAATGGCTAAAATCTTAAATGGAAAATTATCCAATCAGCATTGTTTTCTCTGTAGTATCCTGGTAGATACAGCCAAGTGAGCTCTCCCATTGGTTAGGACTTCAGGAGCTGAACTGAAGGCCTTACATGTTAGATTAACATAACTAAGAACTGAGAGAGGAATCAACCAATCACGTTTTGACGTACAGTGGCTGGGTCTGCTACATACAAGGTCAAATATATGTTAATGTCAGTTACAAGCTTCAAATGTCTGTATTTAACCTCGCCAAGGAATGTTCATGTAAAATGCTGTTAGCTTAGTGCTAACATACTACTAGAATCCCATAGGGGCGCTAATATAAATTAGAATTGTTGTAGAGATGAAAAATATTTTTATATTTTACAGTTTTTTGCCATTTTTTACCCTATTTCTCATTATGGTAATGTGACCATTAATGATACTTATATAAAATTGCAAACACTATATTTTATAATACATATATTAATAATTAGCTTTCAAATACTTAGTCTGACAACAGTATACAGATGGTGAAAAAAAAACTGTAAAAAAACCCACATTATTTACAGATTTATCTTAAAATCTTGCTGCGTTGCAGAAATGAGAACTGAATCACTTAAATTGGAAAATGTTACTAAAAACTCATTTTAAATGAATTAAATCATTCAGGTCTAGTTTTAATTTTTCAACCAGGCATCGCTGTTTGCATATCCCAAAAAAAGAAAACATTGTTTTAGTCATTTTATTTTTTTTATGCTGGTCATGTCATTTGTTGCATCTGAAATTCTGCTTTTTGCAAGACAAGGCAAGAAAGTCATTCAGCCGCTGGCACAGATAGTGATGGGGTCAAAATTGTGATCTGTCCCCAATAAGAAGCAAAATGGGAGAAGTGGTATTTTAAAAATTGCTAGTTTGATATATTAAAAAGAAAAAAATGTGGGGTTAATTTCTCAACACTACAACACTGAAAGGTGCTCACCTGTGTTTTGCGGGTATGTGGGACCCCCATTAAGGTGTGGCTGGGGCACGGAGAACTGGGCGGAGCTGGAGGGCGCTCGGCGGTACGTGCCTGTGGCCGACACCATGGAGGCAGAGGAGGAGGTGGTGGAGGAGGTGTGCCTGGAAATCTGCCGAGAGATGGTGCCGAACTGGGACATCGGAACTGGCCCTAGACCTGGACCTTGGGGAACCACTGCAAAGTTAAGAGAGAAAAGGGTCAGTTAAACTGGCCAGAGATCAAATAAATACAGGAATCATACAGCTAATATCACTGTTAAGCCAACAAATACTTTAATAACAGCTTGAATATCTTATTTTGTTCCTCTGACAAGCAGAGCTGAGCTACTTAAAGCAACAGTAAAGCTAATCATGTCACATAGCAAAGCCCGGATCACCAAGTTATCGGCCCCTGGGCACACGATTGCTGTCATATTTGCTCAACGGGGTCCCCTAGTGGCTCAGGCCCCTGGGCACATGCCCAGAAAACCCACAGGACAATCTGGGCCTGCACTTAGCTAATAAGCTAGTTGCAGTTGCTGACTTTTATTTTGGCAAATTCCAACCCTAACATCTACTAATTCACTAGCGGCAAAGCTAAAATCAATATAAACTTGCTAAAATGTGCCACAGCTCAGTTAGCCTATGCTAGCATAGTTAGCATTCTCACCTGGTGCCATGCTGGGAGGGGAGGGTGTTGGAACAGCCAAAGGGATGCCCATGCTGTTCCCGCTGTTCTCTCGGCCACCGCTGCCCCCACTGCTTCCACTGCAAGGAAGAAAACAATCGTATTTTTTTCCATCTGTAAAATTCTAAATATTTATGAGGAGCCATTAAGATATGAATTGTTTACGCTGCTGTGGTATGTTTACCACCAATATTCATTACTAGCATTTTGTCGCTAGCGCTGCAGTCTGTAATCAAAGGCATAGAAGGGTTTACTGTCCACTCAGGCCGTATTGACTTCCTCCCTCTTTCACTGCACTGAATGGGCCCACAGGGAGGCGGAGATGGCAGTGAATGGAATTCATGGCCACCACTCGGCTATAACCAAGAGGACTCGCTGGACGGGGTCCAAATCTCTGACAGGCAGTTATGAACATCAGCACTGCCAACATCAGTGTAACACCATCAAAGACAGTTTGTCAGAACTCTTATTTACAGACGAGTTTAGATTTTTTATAGGCTAAGACGCTAATTGGCGGGAAAAAAGCTTTCATGGACCTCTAAAGTCGTCTTGTCAGTCTCTGGTCAGTGTTATGTCCATGTAAGGAACTATGAATCTAAGCAGGTTTTCTCTATGGGAAAAAATAATTGTTAAATTTACAAATAATTTTTTGTATTTTTTTTCTATGCTGTTTATTTATAAAGATAATTTAAAGTGAAGCTGAAATAGTTAGATTTATGAGTTTGAATTTTAAACAAAATTTTTTTCTTTATTTACAAATGCTGTCCCATGTTTTCACGTCATTACCGACACAGAGTTTCAGTCTGTGGGCGGAGCCTTATTTTGGCCACACCCCCGCATTTCAGAGCAGGAAGTGAGGCTGCATCCCTGTTCCTCATGGCCACACGGTGAACAGTTAGATCCCATTTTTTTTAAAGTAAAAGTGTCCCAAAGCGAAAGTCAGTGCGGAACACTAAGAATTGTCACTAACGAAACACCGATTTTCTGCAATTAAAGAAATTTTTCCTGTTTTTTTCCTGATTTTATGTGTGCACAGCTGTTCAAAGCTGTGTTTGCTAGTCACGTACTGGCTAGCATTTCTGAGTTCTGCTCAAAATGAGCTAAAGTCTAAAGTCACCACCGAAACAGTCACTACTGAAACATTTGGTAAATTTGTGTACACTCTTTTAAAGGGTTCTTTGAGCGCTCATGCTCAGATAGATACAGCTTCTGTCTGTATGTTACACTGTCAACTGTATTTTATCTGTTTTTACTGATTGATAAGAGTCATAATAATATGTGGTGTGTTGCTTATTTATGATGCACCTGTGTGTCCTGGGTCTCTGGTTGAGCGAGGCTGTGCGTCCAGGGCTGTTCTGACCTCCTAGCCGAGCTGGACTGGTCATGTAGTCGTTAGGCACCACCGGAGGCTTGACGGGCTCCAGAGTTTTATAGGGTGTGTTCCTTCTGAGAGAGACACACATACCTCAGGTTATCTTAATAAAACTACAGTATTAAAGAGTGACCGTTCCAGACGTTCATCCTAGAAGGGACATTATAGCTCATTTCATATAATACGCATATATTTAATTCCCAGTTTTAATGTACTGAATATATGCATTTTATACATTTTCACTGTTGTAAAATATCTCTGAAAACATCTGATATCTCTGAAACAGTAGCTTTAAAGGAGAAGGATGATCCTATGTTCCTAAATTTAATGCAATCTCTAATACACACTGTCATTAAAGCAAAATGATCACTAAATACTATGAAATTCTGAACTTCATGTAGGTATTTCAAAGATTCTACTTTTCACTCAGGTTGTCATGCTGATAGTATGATTTGTTATGAAAACCTTATGCATTAAGGCTAATACATTTGCATTCAAATGTTTAAGATATTAAATTCACGATATAAACAAAGTCTTTCAGAGTGGTTTGGTGTGAAGTGCTCCATTCTAGAGAAACGTACAGAGTCAGAATTGTTCACAGTGGTGGGAGCAGACGAACCCCTCTAAAACAACCCCTGGTTCCTATCGCCATCACTGTAAAGAAATCTGAGTTTCTCTACAACGCATGATTTCACATCAGAATAGTCCAAATGACTTTCCATTTAAATCTTAACAACTGAGTAATTCAAAAATTTTGGAAAATTGGTGGAATTCCCCTTTAAATTAGAAAAAAATTCAAAACAGAACCTGGACTCGACTGTTCGCTGCTAAAAAGCAGTGAAGAAACACAAACTACTCAACTGCTACATAGAAAGCCCTCATCAGTCACAGAAATGACTTACCCCAGGGTGCCCCGCCCTGCCATGGGTGGGCTTGGTGGTTTCTGTGTGGGTGGATTAGTCCTTGATAAAGTCCCTCCCGCTGCCCTGGCAGGCTGGCTGTTCCCTTGCTGGAAAAATGAGGAAAATGGAGATGAATGTTCACCATCAAGATGATATTCATACACCTTTACAACATCTCAGGCATTTATCCACAGTCTGTCTTTCAGAAGACGCAGTACATTCGCTTACAAAGGAGGTGATATGATGAGTGTTGTGATGGATACGATCGGAATCTTGTTTACGAATGGGAATTTGCTTCTTCTGGAAAATATTACAACTCTAAACTGTTTTCATGATTATAATTACTATGCAGTACTGAAAATGGTAAATAACTGAACAGCCATTTACCCAAATGTAAAAATGATGGTCAATATCATGGGTGTCAAACTCAACCACTCAATGGGCCATAATAAAAATCTTATCAATGACCCAAACTGGCCATTGGTCATTCAAAATACACCCAAAAGGCAACCACAGCAAAATGTAGGCACTTGTAGTAAACCTTAAAATATTACAGGAATATTTAAACTATTAAAGAAAGCAACACATAACATGTCAAACCTCTTTTTTTAAACCTGCCCATCTGCTTGAACTACACACCTTGCATCTTTTCTTCATGTGGTGTAACCGCTGTCCCATAGACTGTTGTTAGGGGTGGGAGGTAGCAGACACATTGTTGCAGTGCATGCTGGGGACTGTAGTGCAGCTCACTGTGCTAATATTAATAAACAATAAAATAAATTTGCAGGCCGATTAGGATTGTGCCATGGGCGTGTTATGGCCCGCAGGTGTTTGACACATGGGGTCTCCATCATATTATAAGGGGTGCAGGCCGTGAAGTTCAGCTTTATATAAATTCGCATGTACAAATACAATGATAATCATACATGCACTCTCAAAAAGGTAGTAAACTGTCACTCTTGTCACTGGGGTGGAACCCTCAAGGGTCCATCTCAGTACCTTTAGTCAGGGAACATAACTGAACCATAATCCACTGAAATGATATGTTCTAAGCTGTACTGACTCCACACACCCCGTCTCGTCTCCAGGCTTTTATTTTACTGTTCTGTTTTAAAACATTCGGTTATGAAAAGGTACAAATACGAACTTTTCACCTGGAAAAACTTATTTAAGGTTTACAATCAGACCTTAAAACCACTGTTGTACCTTTGAGGGAACATTTACATTGTTTGTACTTCAAAGAATGAAAAATGTTCCTGGACAGAACCTTTATTTCTCACAGTGTGCGCGACAGTAAAATCATTAAATCAATTTCCCTTCGTTTCCTATCGCTGTATAAAAGATGCATTAGCTTTTCATTCTTGAGTGCACAGATGTTCAGAGTGAGCATGTGAGCTCATTCAGAGCCCAGTTCAGATCACCGAGGGGTGGTCCTTGATTTGTTTAATCACAGTAACAATAAAACGCTACTTACAGTCACATGCAAAAGTTCTGGCACCCCTGTTCAAATGAATAGGGTGAAAATAAATGACACGTCCTCGACAGAGAGCACACTTCTGCACATTTTAAGGCACAATTACTGTTTATTTGCTGAATTTTGGAAAAATAAAATATGTGCATAAAATGTGGCACATGCAAAAATTATGGTACATATTATACTGTAAGTTTCATATTTTTTCAGTGTGTAATACTCAGCAGATAAACAGAAACTGCTCACTAACATTTGCAGAAAAATGTCACATTTAAGTGTGTTTTCTGTAGAGGATGTGTTAACATTTTCTCTTAGAAACTCAACAAAAGGTGTAATTTGACTTTTTTTTTTAAAAAAAATTAATTTTGCACACAACTATATGCTCCTACTCATGTGTTTACTTGTTCAAAACGGTAGTTTGTGACTCAAAATGATTTTTTTTTTTAGAATTGTTGGATCACGTTCTTTACATATCAAATAAACGCAACAACAGGATTCAGAAATTGGACATAAAGGGTTAAACCAAGATGACAAAAGCGCTTTGCAGCCTGTGACAGCTGGGAAACCTCAAAACACTATGAGTCATGTAAGAATGCACTTACCTTTGCTTTTAGCCACTAAGCGGGTTGCAGTGAGAAAGAAAAGAGACACATGTTTACTTATTACTTCAACTCAATAAGGAAAAGTGAGTAAAGAGGAGCGACACAAAAGCCTTTTAATCATGTACACAGAATGATGAAGCACTAAGACCTTCCTGGGCTACGAGGCAAAAGGAAAGAGACAGTTAAAAGGCCAGAGCCAACTGGAAATAAAATTAAGGGATAAACACATAAATGTCAGTTCTAATTGTCTGAGCTGTTTGTAATTATAAGTATCAGAGAAACACTCATTTATTTTGTCAACGAGACAAATGTGGTTCCGCCCTTTAATGAATCATGTCGCATAATTTAATTTAGTTCATATAAAAGATTAACTGTACAGATAATACATTTAGTATGATGGTGCAGCCACAATATTTACAATTAATTTGAATTCAATTAACAAAAATAGCTATTCATCTCTGTACCTGAAGCAGCAAATACTAGCAAACCTAATTTTAGTACCTACAAATAGCTGTCTTTTTTAAAAAAAAAAAAATAAATAAACCCAAGCAGGATTGTTCTCTTATTTCAGAATATAAATGGACTTAGAACTGGTCCCTGAGGTACACCGCGCCCAATCATGTATTCAGTGACCAAATAAACACAACAACAGGATTCAGAAATTGAACATAAAGGGTTAAACCAAGGTGGCAAAAACGTTTTGCAGCTATTCATCTCTGTACCCGAAGCAGCAAATACTAGCAAACCTAAATTTAGTACCTACAAATAGCTGTCTGTTCTTTTAAGGATACAAATCCAAGCAGGACTGTTCTCCTCTTTCAGAATATAAATGGACCTAGAACTGGTCCCTGAGGTACACCGCACCGAATCATGTATTCCTGACACTACTCTGGGTCAGTCACCCTGAATATCTGAATCTAACTAAACACAACCACTCTTTACAAACAGAAAAATTAGGCTGTAACTCCAGAATGCATAATAACTGGTGACTACATGCATCGTGGGGAGCACAAGGAAGCTAGACCAGTATCTAATTAAGCACAGACTTGTTTGAATGAATAATAGCCGAAGTAAGGATGCCGCTCAGAACTGACTGGCAGGAGGGCCACGTTTGATGAGCACCAGGTCAAACGCTTTAATGACATCTTCATGGTCTGGGGGGGGCCCTCAGGAGCTTTACTAAGCCCATGGGGTAAACAGGCCTAACCAAGCATTCAAACGAGACCTAGGAGACACTATTACCACATGACCTCGGGGTGAGCAGGATTAGGGATGGACTGCATAATCTAAAGTAGGTCTACCTGAATGGAATACAGAGATTAAACTGACAAAGTAAATCCCGTTAAATGTGTCAAGAATTACAGCACTTTCACCAAAAAATATAATTCACACATATATATAAGCATTTTAGGAGAATTTTGTCAGATGTTCAGCAACTAAAGATCCATTTGGACCTAGATTTCTCTCTCTTTCAATCCAAGACAGTGTACTCACTTTAACACCGTGGCCCACATCGTCCAGCAGGGTGTAATCTATGGGCTTCCTGATGTAACGCACTGGTCGCTCCATGTTGCCAGGGGCAATGATCTTGTGGGTCCTGGACGTGTTCTTGTTTGTGGTCAAAATCCCAATCTCTCGTCTCGCAACTTTCTCTTTATGGATGTCCACAGTCTACAAAGAAACAAATAGAGATGGAAAAGCTTCTCAGTAATCTGATACACACTTATGAGTGAAATGCTAGCATAAAGTTTTAAGGTGGGCACACATAGAAGAAATTTAGGGTGCGTAATGTGTTTGATTGATTTTCTAAGTGGGAATCAACTACAACGCACACACTTCTGCACATTTAATGCACAATTATTTGCTGAATTTAACGGGAATATTTTCACAAATATTATCTTTTATATTATATTTTTTTCCAATACGTTAAACTCGGCAAGAAAACAGAAATTATGATGTAGAATTTGCTGAAAAATGTTTCTTAATTTTGTTCCATATATTTTCACTTAGAAAATCAATAAAACATGTAATTTAACCAGATATGAGGTGGGCAGTATGACAGCATTTACTACTGTGTTACTGTGATAAATTATGCCACAATATGCCCTAATATGCTTCTCTGAGGGTATCGTGGATATAGTTTAGTTTAGTGCAGCAGTGTGTAAAGTGTTGAATATTAATCATTGTATTCATAATTTTTGATAGTATTTTTTAAACGTACTTCTTTGTCTGTTCTAACTTATCAGATGTCAGAAAAATAAATATTGTGACTTATTAAAGGGGAATTCCACCAGTTTTTCTAAATTTCTGCATAATTCAAACAGTGAGATGTAAAACCATTCAAAATGGTCTGACCAGCTTAAATGTCTTTACAGTGGTGGTGACAGGAATCTGGGGTTGTGATGCCTACATTGCAAATATATGCCAATGAAAAACCTCCAGTGAACCAACATGTGTCCTCTGAATTTTATACTTAACATTAATGACGGTAAAATAGTGTTAAATCTGAAAAATTAAGTATTTCTGAAGACTATTTTGCCTTATAATACCGTGCATGCATCCCTATGCCATGCATGGATTTTTAAAATATATTTAAAACGTTTTAGTCCAAAGCTTCTCAAAACTACTGTAGAACAGTGTCTCAGACATCAGGCAGTGAATTCATAACCATTTCATGTAACAACTTTCTGTGACGGAGTTTTTAGAGGCTGATGCCTGGTTCCTATCACCACCACTGCAGTAAGTAAGGTTGTCTAACGGCATGTTTCACATCAAGACCACTCTGACCACTCTACTTAAGCAGAAGTTCTGTGGAAATCATATTTAGGTTGTTAAGATGAAATGTAGCTGCACCACTTAGCCACCACTTCTAGCTTTAGGTTCCCTCATGTTTCTGCTTTCAACACCTGCTCATCTATATATATTTATAGCTCGTGATTGCAGATGTCAGTCGCCGCATAATAGAAGGTGTCACTGTGTGAAAATAGGCATTTTGCATGTGTGTACAGGGGGGACACAGGAAATGGGTCTACCACGCGTGAATGTGGGCAGAGTTCACATACGCTGCAATAACATACTGAGCTCTTTCAGAGCATTTGATAAAATAAATACAACTTACCATGATTAGTCTGTTCTCGAGCTGCACGATATGGCCAACGTACTAGTAATTACACTCTGAATACCACGACTGCCTCGCTATATATTAAAAGCTCACTGATGAATCTAGAACATGATGGTTAAAGACTGGCTTGTGTTTTGCTGAATTACATGAAATTCACCATGTTTCATCACAACCAACAGTAACTATCCTCTAGAACTGTGATGACTGACGCTCACAGCACACAGTACAAACACTGGGATATGTTAGAAGACTCATTTGCATATTGCAGCCATCTGCTGCATCAGTATTGCAAGGCCAGTGTAAACAATGTCTACAGGGACAGTCAAGTTCTACACCATAAAGACAGGAAATACACACTTTACGGCCTCCTAGTTTTTTAGTTCAGGTGTTTTTAAGCAACACCCATTGCTAACAGGTGTATAAAACCAAGCACATAGCCATGCAGCATCCATGGACAAACACTGGCAGTAGAATGGGTCATACTGAAGAGCTCAGTGACTTTAAACGTGGCACTGCCATAGGATGCCACCTCTGCCACAAGTCAGTTTGTGAAAGTTCTGTCCTGCTAGATCTGCCCCAGACAACTGTAAGTGCTGCTATTGTGAAATGGAAGCATCTAGCTCAGCCACAAAGCGGTATGTAAACTCACAGAGTGGGGCCACAGAGTGTTGAAGCACGTAGTGGGCCTGTCCTCTGTCGCGTCACTCACTACAGAGTTCCAAACTGCCTCTGGAAGCAACATCAGCACAAAAACTGTGGGTCAGGAGCTTCATGAACTGGGTATCCATGGCTGAGCAGCTGCACACAAGCCTAAGATCACTATGCGCAATGCCAAGTGTCGGCTGGAGGGGTGTAAAGCGCGCCGCCACTGGACTCTGCAGCAGTGGAAACGTGTTCTCTGAAGTGATGAATCACACTTCACTATCTGGCAGTCTGATGGATGAATCTGGGTTTGGTAGATGGCAGGAGAACGTTACCTACCAGAATGCATAGTGGTAACAGTAAAGTTTGGTGGAGGAGGGATAATGGGCTGGGGCTGTTTTTCAGGGTTCCAGTGAGGTTAATGCTACAACACAAATACATTTTGGTCAATTATAACTTGGTGGTTGTTAAAGACCCTTTCCTGTTCCAGCTTGACTGAGCCCCTGTGCACAAAGTGAGCTCCATAAAGACATGGTCTGGCAAGTTTGGTGTGGAGGAGCTCCAGTGGCCTCCACATGACCTCAACCCCACTGAACACCTTTGGGATGAACTGGAACATCTAAGCCAGGCTTTCTAGTCCAACAGCAGTACCTGACCTCACATACTCGAACATCAAAACTGGCCAGCCTGCACATTTCTAACTGACTGTTACCCATCAGACCATTACTTGCACTTTAACTCTAGTTTACTGACCTGTATAAAGGTCAAACAATAAACATTGGTTTTACTGATAGAGGCACAAAGCAGGGCGGCATCGAAATGGGATTTGTGGGCCTATGCATTTATAAAATGTGAAAAATGGGACTAGATCTGCTGGATTAGCTTTACGGAGAAATAAACTGTTATTTATAAAGGGATATAAATGCAGTAAAACAAATAAAATGTGGGTCATAGTAACCCAGTGTCACCTAAACATCCTGCTCTTCTAGATAAATTCTAAATAAATGGATGATCAAATACTGCTTTGTAATATCAAATTTTTTTATGTATCCCTAAGAAAAAGTGATGGAAACGTTTCTACTATATGCTCACAAAAGCACAATCTGCTGGACCAAGAGATTTTATGATACGTCTCAAACTGAAAAGTGCTCAACAAACCACTTCCCCGTTGTCCCTGAGCTCAGAGGACAAAATGCCAACCAAATGTCTCCAAATTATCAAGAGAATCCACTTAACATTTCTGAAAGTGCCTTTTGCGATTTGATCGGTCATGTCTAGACATCCTGGCAGGGGACATGGGAACGTTCCTGTTTGGTCCAGAAAAGAGGACCAGTTCTCAGCAGGTCGACCAGCACTTTTCGCTGCTTCTGCGCAGTAGCTGTTGCTATAAACAGTGGCTTTTGTCTCAGTTCAAAACCTTAAAAAATAAATGTTTCAAATCCTTCACATTTGTTGACCTCTACACATGAAGACAAGGTATGATAATCTGTATTAGGGTTAGGCGATACGGCAAAAAAGTCATATCATGATACTTCAAGAAGTTTTCACATACACAATATGTTACAATATTTATTTTTTCCTGATATGCGATTAGATTGAACAGATAAATTAACGCCACATTTAAAAATACCATTAAAAACTGTGAATACAATGATTTATATTCAACACTTCACACACAGAGCTGCACTCAATACAGTTAAACAGGACTAACTATATTGTCTTTGTAAACAAACATGCAGTTCAGATGTGTTTTTAATCATAAGTACTTATGATTTCCCTGATATGCTCTGAAAAGTCTATTGTGGTATAACATTGTGGGCTAATTTAGCACGATAATGATAAATATTGCCATATTACCCAACCTTAATGTTTATACTTTTATTCCCAGGTAGTAAGAGGATAGTGGGCTACCATTGGCCCCCTGACAGCAAAGCTGGTGGCCCACCTGCTTTTTGCTCAGCGTTTCAGGGTGGCTGGAATAAAATCCCACTTTTCAGCGCTCATTTTTCACTCACAGCCCAATTCACTCATTTTTCCTTCCTTTCTTTTTTAAAGTGTTTATTTTGTAAATTTGTTTAGTAAATAATTTTAGCAGCTTATACAGCTGCAACCAATCTAGCACAGCGTAATCGACAACATTTACAATATTTTAATATATAGAAAAATATAAATATATTTTAAATATTTTTATATTTCCCTCTAGCCACTGTTTGGGAATTACACTGCAAGTCCTCAATGAATGGGGGTGAATGGAGCTAAACGGCTAAAAACAAAAAGTTAAAATAGTTTCTAATCACTCGCCCAGAACTTTCCTTTCATTTTAGAAAGTAGAAGGACGTATTTCACTAAAAAAGCAAAGAAGACTCACCTGTATGTTTCATTTTTTATACAGCAAACGGGTTTTGGGCAGCAGAACGCTAACATTAGTGCTACTGAGTGCTGATTGGTTGGCGAGCGGAGTAGCTCATTGGCTGTTCGCGCTCACTGATGTCATGAATGTACATGTAGGTCATTTTAAACTATAACTCGTGTTCAAAAGTGTTTAAAAATATAACAGCAGTGTTAAAACGTTTTATGCTGTTCTGTGTTTGGGATATAAATGCATTCTTTTATCTTAAAAATCTTTAAGCATTTATAAACTAGGATTTTACTCAAATGCTCCATCTTAACCCATTCATTTTGGACCTGCTCGGGAGCGCCCTCTAGCGGTTGAGAAACCCAGAGGACATTACAGAGCGGGAGTTCTCCTCTCTACAAGTTCTCTGCTAACGGTGCTGTCTGTTCATTTTCCCACAGAGATCAAATTATGTTATCAAATTAATTACTGAAGCTGCAAGGCTAATATAGCTAAAAGTAAGGACAAAAGCAAGTTGCATAGCTAACAAAGGTTTTTTTTAATCATAAAAATGTGTAAATTTAAAGTAAACAAGTAGCCAAACTACTCCTTCACCACAGAGTTTCAGTCATTCTCTCCAAACTCAGAATCCTCATAAGCTCACATGACAGCATGACAGTGTGAATACAAGCCACAAGTTAACTCATTGGAAATAAGAGACTTATTCAAACCAAAAGCCCCCCTAACACCCCCAAGGCTTTGGGGGAAGAACCATTTGGCTTGTTGTGGAAGCGCTGGCATGGCGACGGCGGCAGGCTGACCTGGGAGATGTGGTTGATGGAGGATTCCATCCGGCGCAGCTGCGAGGCCTGGATGTCCAGCAGCTGCAGCACGTTGTTGGCTAAGGCATTGATCTGGTAGGCCACGCTGGCCAGAGACTGGGTGGTGTAGGCTTTGGTCTCCTCCAAGGCTTTCTTCTTATCCTGCGCCTGAGAGCAGAGACAGGGAGAGATGGTTGAAGTGATATGCCTGTAAATCTACCCACGGGACCAGAAGCCATCAGAAATCAAACGCGAGATAACGCCAACACGGATCAAGCCAGAACAGACGTTCCTTTGAAAATAAAGATGTTTGAGATTCTGAAATTTCTAAAATCAACTGATAAAATGTGATTCAACATGCTGTGAAGCTGGAGGAAGCTGAGCTGGAGCCTCAGTGTCTGTTTCCCAGACATGACCAGGCCTGCAATCAGTATCAGGTTGTATGGCCAAAAATTGATATTCCAGGGTAAAAAAAAAGTTGTGGTGCTGCGTTATCATATGTTCATTGTTAGACAACAAAAAGTTAATTTACAGCGATGGGCCGAACATTCTTCTCCTCTTTCGATGGTCCATTGCTGCTTGGCAATGACACCATACCATATAGGTTAGCAGTGGATTATTACTAACATTACTATTATATCATTGTTATTATTATTATTATTAACAATCAAAGTAAATCAGAATTGTTTTTATTGTGCAAAATAGTACAAACAAAACTGAACAATATATAGAGAAACCTCAATACAGCCCTGCAGGCCTGGCAAAAATGGTGAAATGCAGTTTCTTGTCTTCGTTTCTACGAGGCTGAAGTTGGCTTCGTATTCGCCAGTTTTTGATCAAATTTTCCGTTCCACCTTAAATGAAGCAGCAGTTCCATTCTGGCTAAATGTAATTACTGCACCATTTAAGGTGGAACAAATTCAAATAAGCAGCCGACTTCAGGTTCGTCTCACTTCTCAAGTTATTCGTCTCATACATGCGTCACAATACAGTTGCCACACCGACCATCAGACACTGTTTGAATTTGGAAAATATTAGAGTCGCGCATCCTTCAGTACCAGCTGCTCCACGGTCATCTATGTTCACTGCCTCAAATATAAAGTGGACTACGTCAGATGTAATGGACTAGACAGCGGGAGGTGACGGAGGGTCTGCTGTGTTTTCATTTTCATTTGAAATGTGAATAACTCATCCCTGACTCAGACACTCAGCTAAATGGGCTGGTGCACTTTTGTACGCCCTCGTTATCTGCACTTATTTGCCGTGTATCACTATAACTACACTATATAACACTATATAAGACATGAGGAAGGATTTCAACCGGTATACCAGATGGTACACACTGGTAGCAGTGGAGCCTGCACCATTAAATGCTGATTCACCATTAAAAATCCTAATTAATCCAGGCTTAGGTCAAACCTGAGGCCCCCTGATATCCTGAAGCTCTAACAGATTTGTAGTTATTTTCTACAGCCTTTAAAACTGCACGATCACTACACCCCAGATGAGTTTGCCATCCTATGTCATTTAGTTTAAAGTGCTCAGATCTATATTTAGCCTCTTCTGCCTTTTGATGGAAGAAGAAAATGTACCGTACTGTCACACTGCTGATTGTTAGTCAGCTCAACATCTCACAAAGAACTGAGAAGCAGTGATGCTCGGAAAACAACAAAGAATTCCATCCCCTCAGTGGGACGTCTGGTCTGACAGGGGTAAAGCTGAGCAGCATTGTTCTGCTAAACATTTAAAGCCATTAGAAAGTGTCAGTATATATATATAGTTCAGAATTCACTGTGCTGCTTTTGCCAGCAGTCACATCATTAATAAATACAAAGGTACCAGTACTATTGGCAGCCATACATGCCCATGTCTTAACACTACCTCCACCATGCTGGACGGATGTACAATTTCAAACTGTGTCTATTCCATTTTTTAACACGTTACTTGATTGAATGATTAAAGCCTATTAAACATATTGATGTATTTTGATGTAAAAAGAAGTATTTTGATATTAATAATATAATAATATTGTGTTGTGTATATACACACTTACATTTTTATTGTATCATGACTTTTTTCAGATACAAATGCAAATTTGAAAATGCTAATTAAATTTACTTTAATTTTGACCTCAGAAATGAAAATCATATCCAACTTCCAAAAAAAACTCCAACTCCGGAATGTTCAGTCTGATTGGGAACGGTATGCCTGTATACAGCTGTTTGATCCAATGTATGGTTTTCGTACAATCGTCGTTAGATGACAATTTTTTCCCATAGGAACGAATGGGGGCAAAAGTTTGTGCACCCAGCTCATGTCATGACGGTACAAGTCCATGAGCAACACCGTATTAACCACATAGGATACAACAGCAACCTCCAGCAACTCCCTAGCAACCACCTAGGATACCATAGCAACTGCCTAGCAAACCCCTAGCAACCACCTGGGATACCATAGCAACCACCTAGCAACACCCTTAGCAACCACCTGGAATACCAAAGCAACAACCCAGCAACACCCAAGCAACCAACTGGGATACCAGAGCAACCTACTAGCAACCATCAGGAATACTATAGTAACCGCCTAGCAACACCCTAGCAACCACTTGGGACACCCCAGCAACAACCTAGTAAAACTCTAGCCACCACTTGGGATACCATAACAACCACATAGCAACGCCTTAGCAACAACTTGGGATACCAGAGCAACCACCTAGCAACCATCAGGAATACCATAGCAACCACCTAGCAATTCTCTAGCAACCACTTGGGATACCCCAGCAACAACCTAGAAAAACTATAGCCACCACTTGGGATAAAACAACAACCACATAACAACGCCTTAGCAACCACCTGGGATACCATAGCAACCACTTGAGATCCCACAGCAACCAGGTAAAATCATGTTATATTCTCGATTAATCAGGACTTACCCCAGCACATTTACAAGCACATGGCCTCCATGAACTTAAGCGTTACACTACCAGTGAAACAGTTAACCTTTGACCTAGCTCCAATTAACAGCGTAATTAAATGTGACTTGGACAGAAACCCAATTAAGGAAGGCTGGACTCCAGGAATAAACGCTGTAATTACAGAAGCTGAGAGGTTCCACAGGAATGCAGCTCTGTCTCAACTGAACACTGCAGATCTTTTATTCCCTGTATATTAGTGATCACAGCACATCACATACTAGCACTGTTTACAGCACTTACTTCTCATTCTGGGCCTCGAATGTCAGCGAGTGTGTGAATCAAACATATAGTCCCCGATTTTGTGCTTCGTGCCAAGTAGGTCGCTCAGAGACAATGGAGTTTGGGTCAGTGGGTCAGCGCACTTCTTAATGAGCTGCGTTCTCCGGGCATCAGTATCAGTCAAAGTTAATTGATCTGACGCTCTGGAGACAGTCGACAGTGTAGAGCTGGTGTGGTCACAGGACATTAAAGAGAACTAGAACTAAGCAGAGTTACTGCTACTACCTCTCACCTCTTACTTACTAGGTTATCAGAAATGTTTTTTAAAAGAACGTGGGAACTGGCTGGGTCAAGGGCACATGCCACGGTGCAGTATACCTTTTTGAGGTATATATATATATATATATATATATATATATATATACACACACACCGATCAGGCATAACATTATGACCACCCCCATGTTTCTACGCTCATTGTCCATTTTATCAGCTCCACTTACTATATAGGTGCACTTTGTAGTTCTACAGTTACAGACTGTAGTCCATCTGTTTCTCTGCATACTTTGTTAGCCCCCTTTTACCCTGTTCTTCAGTGGTCAGGACCCCCATGGACCCTCACAGAGCAGGTACTATTTGGGTGGTGGATCATTCTCATCACTGCAGTAACACTGACGTGGTGGTGGTGTGTTAGTGTGTGTTGCGCTGGTGCAAGTGGATCAGACACAGCAGTGCTGCTGGAGTTTGTTTTATTATGTATCTAGTATGAAACTGAGGTGGATATTCTGCAGGTATGACAGTGAATAATGAAGTGAGGATAACCATCTGAAGACTCTCTGAGTTTAGAGTGTAAATAGAAGTTTATCTGTTCAGGTCATGAATCTGAACAAAAAGGAAGACATAAAAATGCAACACCAGCAGTGCTACCAAGATGATTGAAATGCCAGAAAGGCTCCCAGCTGGACTCCGGTGGCCAGTCTGAAGGACGATGAAAAGACGAGGTTTCAGACAGACAGGACATTATCAGCTGTGTGTCTCAGGTCAGTGTGTGACCTGAATTTTAAGCCAATCTCATTTTTACACCAAAGAACAAGACTTACACTCGACTCGCATATGTTAGTAATCAAGTTTGCCTGGCGTCATTCATTCTGATTAGAGTTTTGTTTGTAGCATCAAAGGTGCCGAAGCGCCTTTATGCTGATTGTTTGTGAGGTGTTATTGCTACTCGATGCTCTTTTTCCCTTCTTAAGTTCACCCACTTTAGTGCAGACTCAAACCTGTAGATAAAGAAGTTAGACTGAATGTAAATGGAATAAATTATGTAACTGTGTAATTAGTGATTATCTGATTGGGAATGGTGTGCTTCTATACAGCTGTTTGAACCAATATACGGTATCGTACGATCGTAATGATACGTAATGACAATTTTTTTTACCGTAGGAATGAAGGGGGGCCAAAATTTGCGCACTCAGCTTATGTCACAACGATACAAGTCATATAGGTATATATAACTATATAGGATACAACAGCAACTCTCTAGTAAGGATACCTAGGATACCTTTGCAACCGCCTAGCAACTCCCTAGTAACCACTTGACCTAGCAAAACCATAGCAACCACCTGGGATACCATAGCAACCACGTAGTTACACCTTAGCAACCATTTGGGATACCATAGCAACCTCATGGCAACACCATAGAAACAACTTGGGGTACCATAGCAACTGCCTAGCAACACCCTAGCAACTGTTAAAGCAATCATCTGGGATACCATAACAACCACCTAGCATCACCTAGAATACCACAGAAACAGCTTAGCAACACCCTAGCAACCACTTAGGACAACATAGCAACTGCTTAGCAACACTCTAGCAAAACCTTGGATACCATAGCAACCACCTAGCAACATCTCAAAAACCACTAAACCACTAGAGATCCCACAGCAACATCATAGCAACACTATAGCAATCATCTGGG